GTTGCCGTGTCTATCGACCGAGTGTGGGAGCTGAGAGATGATGTTGATTGACCAGATTTCCCATGGACCAGCGGAAATTTTGTTTGGTTGCAGTAGACCGTACGGTGGTTTCCTGACTGAATTATTCTGTTGGCAAGTGTTGCACCCTTGCACGTACTTCTTGACGTCGACTGACATGCCGGGCCACCAGTAGTTGCATGCAATGATCTCTAAAGTCTTCCACCTTCCTAGGTGACCTGCAAGTAACGTATTGTGGTGTAGTTTGAGCAGGTCAAGGCGGATGCTTTGGTCTTTGGGTACGTAGACTTTGCCTCATCATAACAGTAAACCGTTCTCCATGTTCCAATCTTGCAGGTACTTTCCAAACTGCCGGGGTCCACTAGCTAGCAATTCCTTGTAGTGCTTCGTCATTTTGTCATCTTTGAGGGCCTTTTTGATGCATTCGAGCAGCTCCTTGTCATCGACGATGGAGGCGTGACTAGGTTGCATGGCTTTAATTGCAAAAAACTCGGGTTTTAGCAGTGTCTGTCCGAAGTTATCACTGCTTACCCCCTCTTCATGATCTGGCCTCCTAGACAGAGGGTCGGCTCGTAGCATTGTCTTTCCAGGCCGATGCTTCCGAACAAAATTGAAGCAGGACATGAATAAACTCCATCGGGCTTGTCGGTGTGTGAGCTTCTGTGCTTGCTGGAAGTAGGTGAGATTGAGATGGTCTGACCAGATCTCAACCGGTTCGGGGTGTTCCTCTAGATAGTGTCGATATTCCTCCAAGGCTCGGATGATGGCTGAAAGCTCCTTGTCGTAGATCTCATAGTTTCATTTGTGGACATTGAGGGACTTGGATTAGAAGGTGACCGGGTGCCATAGTTTATCTTCTCCAAGTTGTTTCAAAACTGCCCCTGTTGCGAAGTCGGATGAGTCTGTCTCTAGCCTGTATGGAGCTGTGTCGTTTGGGATCTGCAGAATTGGAGCTGTTGTAAACGCAGTTTTGAGTCCTTTGAAGGCCTACTCTTGTTCCTCTCCCCATTTACACTGAATGTCCTTGCACGCGAGCTTAGTGAGCGGTCGTGCAATCTTGGCAAAGTCCTTGATGAATTGCCAATAGAAGTTGGCTAGTCTGAGGAAGGCTTGAATGTGTTCGACTTTGGTCGGAGTAGGCCATTCTTTGACACCTTGCACCTTAGACTCGTTCATAGAGATTGAATCCTTCGACACGACAAGTTCTAGGAAATGAACTGAGGGCTGCTCGGACTTGCACTTTTCAGGCTTGACAAAGAGGTCGTTGTCGCGCAACTTCTTTAGAACCCGCTCTACCAGTTGACGATGCAGGGCGAGGTCATATGTGAAGATGAGGGTGTCGTCGATGTAGACTACGACATGTCCGGTCGCGATTTCCTCCTTCAGAACCTCATTCATCATTGCTTGAAATAAACTAGGTGCATTGCATAAACCAAAGATCATAATTGTTGGCTCGAAAAGCCTTTTGTGTGTGATGAACGCGGGTTTCTCTTCATCTCCTTCGCGAATGCGCACATTGTTGTAGCCCCACCTTAGGTCGAGTGAGGTGAAGATCAATGCTTGAGAGAGCCTGTCTACAAGGTCTAAAATCCGAGGAATGGGAAACTTGTCCTTCTTTGTGACTGCATTCAGTGCCCAGTAGTCTTGGACCAAACGTAGGCTTCCATCCTTCTTACGGACAAAGAAGACCGGGGCGGCAGTGGGACTCTTGGACATATAGATATAGCCTTTATCTTCTTGCTCTGTAATCCAGGCTTCAAGTGAATTCTGTTCGTCGAGGTTGAGCAGGTACAATTTGGCCGGCTTAGGGAGTGAGGCTCCAGGGACCAGTTCACTAGTGTGATTGTAGGCTTTTCTTGTTGGCATTCTCTCTGAAGCTTTCTTGGAGAAAACATTCCCGTACTGTCAATACTGTTCAGGCACATGGTTTGACCAGTAATCGCCATCCTGTTCACCTTTTGCTGCAGGGTTGGTGTCCTTTTTCTCTTCTAACCCGGCTTGCATCTGACGAGCGCTCAGGTCATCTGAGAAGTTCACCCAATGACTGAACTGATCAGTGCTCTCCCATGATTCAAGGCTGAGGTCACCATACTGGTCCCGCGCAACATCTTCCACTCAGGGAAGTTGCAAACTCCGTAGTTCTTCATCCTGCACTGTGTGCCGGGTGCATGTTGAGGGACAGCGTGTGAATTCAATGTTCCCAGCATTCCAATCGAGTTCGGGGTTATGTTCATGTAGGAATGCCATGCCAATGATAATATCTTGACGCCCGATGTCTGTGACAAGAAACGACTACCAAGCGAGGTGGTCTCTGATATGGAGTAAACAACGGACATAGTGTGTGATTAACCCCTTCGTATTCTCGGTGGCATCCGCATTGAAGACGTGTACATCCCGAGAGGGATGTCGTAGGGTGAGTCCGTGTTCTTGAACAAACCGGTGGTGGGTAAAGCAAGAGTAGGCTCCTGAATCGAGCAGGGCTTCTGACTGAACTTTATGCGTACCTTGAGTGAGGGAAACTTTGAGATCGAATGAATTTCGCAGGTGACAAGCTGATGCGAGATAGATAACATTCAAACGCGGAACAAAAAAGTCCTCTAGGTCTATGCTATGATTACAGAGTCGGATACTTTGGTCAGTCTTCGAAGTACCTGTTCCAGAAAATCCTCCTCAGATTCTTTGACCTTGACGATGTGTGCGGTGGTCTCAGTTTCCGGCGCCTTGCCTTTGCCTTTTCCCTTCGTGGTCTCAAACTCCTTGAGAGCCCTGCGGATGTACTCCTATTTGTCTTCATCGGCCGTGTCCATTGTGTGTACCTTGGTTGGGGCGGCCGCCTGCTTTTTCATGTCTGGAAGCTCGTAGTAACCTATGTACTGAGGGTTGCGACACTTCTGGCCAGTCGTAAACTTGTGCTTGCCACAGCAGAAACAGAGCTTTTTGTCAAGCCATTCAAGTTGTTCTTTGGACAGCTTCTCTGGTTTGTGCATTGCATCGACGTCCATGGCATTAGGGTCCCGTAGTGGTGTCACAGCCAACGAGCTGTGTCACCAGACAAACAAAGACAAGCTTACTGGTGATGGGGTTGGTGCTGAGGGGCGAAGCAACTCCAGGTGACACAGCAAGAAATGAGGTAAAAGTGTAGATTCCCTAAACTAGAAGAGGCAATAGAAGGTAGGGCTGCTAGCTACCTACAGAGGAGATGGGTGATCGACGAGAAGATCAAGTCTGAGGTTCTCTGCCTCAGACCCCCTACTATTTATACAAATACAGTGGTGCACAGACCAGGTACCTATTGACCCTTGCTTGGTCAGAGTCCGCTGACTCATGCCCTGCCTCCTGACCTGTCACATGGTGTCCTCATGACTAACACCTGAGTCATGCTAAGTCCAAGCTTCCTCCGATGAGTAAGCACCCCTGCTGACATGTGAGTCACCTGCTAGTGAGTGAGGATGGGCACTCTCGGACCCCACAAGGTCCTGGGTTCGATCCTGGCTCCTCCACTTTCCGATACGAATTGTCCGTGGTCAAGGTGAGCGTCTGTCCATCTGTAAAAACCACCTTTGCAAATTACACCTATTCAGTACAAATTAGCTCTTAATAGACACAGTAGTTGAATAGTGAAAAATAGTGCAAAATCGAGAGGTCCCCCAAAATAATTGCCCTATTTTGCACTATTGATGCAAATTCGTGCAAAGTAGCACTATAGTAGATGGAAATAGTGCTACAGTAGACGTTGATAGTAGTGGATAGAGTGGGTCTATGATTTCTGACTGATGTAGAGATGCTTTCTATGACCTCAAAACCATCTATTTATAAGTCCCAGATGCATTTAAAGTGCTGGAAAAAATATATGGAAAAAAAGCCTCAGCCAGTCTTGAACCCTCAACATCACCTTCATATGACACCTGTTTCAAGGTGGTGCTCTATGCCACTGCACCACAAGAGCTTATGAAATCTCTCTTCACAAGTACTATATATATCCATTTCTGCTAGACCTAAACAAAGTGGTGACACCTCACTTTGAGATTCACCTGCTGAGGCTTGCATATGTGTAATGTCTAGGACTATGTATATAATATGGAGTGTGCTATAGAGTATGCCTCATGGTATGAATGCTGTGCTGACAGCCTAGTCCTATACATGATAACAAGGTCTATGTTGAGTTGTGCCCTCAAATATAAGTCAGCTATCATGGTGGTTTTGCAGCTATAGAGGTGTGTAATGCTTGAGTTGAGAACTATGAGCTATAAATAAAGAATTTTCATCTTATTTGAGTCTCCCCTAGATGAATAGTGCTAAAATAGTGCTAAATAGTACTACAGTAGTGCAAAATAGCAAAAATTAGACGATCACATTTGCAGTAGTGCTATAGTAGTATTACGTCGGCACTACGTGGCACTATAGCAAAAGTGATAGTGAAGAGTAGTTATAACTAGTACCAAGTATACTAATTAGTGCTTAGTTGCACTACTGAAGAAGTGCGTCTAAATAGTAGCTCTAATATAGATGTCATCTCTGCTAACACTTGCTAATATAGATGAGATTATCTGAATAGTGATAATTAGTGTCAATTCGCAAAGGCTGTTTTTCCAGATGTCCTGGTTCACATGACCCCCAGGTTACGTGGCATGAGAAAACTGTGACAAGCGGACGACTAGTTGTGTGCTGCTGTGAAGATGACTTGGCCTGGTTACCGCGAGTTTCCATTTCCAGCTTGAGTACCCAGTCCAGATAGTGTTCCCATTTCGTCGGGATCAGCATCGGGTTGACCTGCCGCATTGCTGTCATGACCGTCAGAAAATGCGATTTTCTGCCGACTTGTTTGTCAATGTGATGGATGAGCTCTACATTGGCGTAACCTGACTTCGAGGCGTAGCGGCAGAAGTTCTCGGCAAACTGAATAACGGTGGCGTGAGTCACCATTCTTCGAGGGATGTTTGTGCTGTCTTCTCTACAGCCAGTTGATGATAGCCTGCCTTGAGTCAATTGACGAAGTCAGCCCAGGTTCCGAGAGATCCACCGCTCGCTGCTGTTTCGATGTACTCTTCAACGTAGTTGTGCGTGCCGCCTTTCAGGTACATGAGTGCTAAGGTGACTTTGTCGTCGTCCGTAGTGATGTTCTGAACGTGGAACCAGAGACCCATCTTCTGCAACCATTGTTCGAAAGTGACGTCTGAACCCTTGTTCCCTTTGTACTTGGGTGGTTCTGAGGCCTTGATGCGTGAAACCTGGGATACGACAGGAGTCGGGGCGGTAGTAATACCAAACGAGGTGCGGTTCGACAAGCCTTGTTCCAACTGCATAAACTTGGCCGTGAGTTCCTTATACCGCTTGACGAGTTCCGTGTTGTTGTAATTGAGAACATCCAGGTCCGCTTTGACAGTGATCAGCTCCGCCTTCAACTGTTTGCTCTCCTCAACAGCTTTGAGTGCGAGGTTCCGGCAGTGTCAGCCTTGACATAAAGTCCTGTCATAGCGCTGTCCATCTGTCTGAAGTTGGCGTGGGTGGTGTTGTACTCCCTCAGGAAGTCGTTCTGGTGTTCATATACCTTGTTGCCGAGGACATTATAAATGTTAACTACTTCGCGCTGGGTGATGTCCCTTGTCATGAAGATGGTTCAATCAACATAAGCTTGGTTGGTGATGCCTAAACTATTTGCTGAGGCACGGGTAGCGTTTTCCAACGAGTCATACTCAACACTGGCATAGATCCATTGAATTTCTAGGTACGCTTGAAGCGTGGCAGTGGGTGAAGCCGGGCGGGTGTGTGCCTGTGATGGAGCTGGGTGGGTGTGTGGACCCGGGTCATCTGACTCAAAGTCATCCTCTGCCAAAGGGGCGTAACGCGAGCCTGAAGCCATTGGTAGAAAACAATGCCTGATACAAAACTAAACAATGATCCAATCCAAGTACCCAAACTGTTCTAACTCCACTAGAGCTTTTACAACATGTTCGAAGTTCTGTCCAAGTCCACTGAACTTGACCTTGCCAAATTCCTTACAGAACAAATTGATGTTCTGTTGCTGACTACGAGTCCACGAGGTGCCCTTCTCCATGATATTGTTGAGTATCCACTCGAGCCTGTCGCCGATGTGCTGAAGGGCGAGCCGATGATCGTGGGGGATGTCGAGCAACTGATCTCTGCAATCGAAGATAGCCTGCAGTCTTTTGATGACAGCGTTGACCTTGGAGCCTTGGAGCTGACAATAGCGAGAAGGTCAATGAGATCATGAAATGTGAAGGAGGGGATAGGTGGTGCAGAGATGCGGTACTAGAGAGGGACCATAGGGGTGGATGGGAACAAAGGCTGGTGGAAATGTGGTGAGACATGTAGTGAGCGGTCTGTCGAGAGGTTGGAAAGAGGGCACAGGTGGGGGGAGGGCCTTGCGACAAAGGACGATAGGGGTATGCCGATATTGATGGCAATGACGAAGGTGATCTGACATGTCGTCAGCAAGGGCGCAGTCAATCTGGGACTGGACGTCAAGGTGACCATGTCTCTTGAAGTGACAACAGGTAAACTCCGGTAGGTCCGAGTTGGATGGAAGGATAGTGGGAGGGGATGATAAATGTTTCAAAAAACTCCTGGGGGAAGAGATCTGGTCCACAAGTGGTTGAGACACTCCACAGAGGGGATGGGTAATAGACTTGCTCTAATGTCACAGCCAACGAGCTGTGCCACCAGACAAACAAAGATAAGCTTACTAGTGCAGATGTTGGTGCTGAGAGGCGAAGCAACCAGAGGTAACACAGCAAGAGATGAGGTAAGAGGTGTATTCTCTAGACAAGAAGGGGCAGTGAGGAGGTAGGGCTGCTAGCTACCTACAAAGGAGATGGGTGATCGACGAGAAGATCAAGTCTGAGGTTCCCAGCCTCAGACCCCCTACTATTTATACTAATACAAGGGTACACAGACCAGGTACCTATTGACCATCATTTGGTCAGAGTTCTCTACCTCATGTCCTACCCCTTGACCTGCCTCATGGCATCCTTACGACTAATACCTGAGTCATGATGAGTCCGGGCTTCCTCGGATGAGTAAGCGCCCCTACTGATATGTGAGCCACTTGTCAGTGAGTGATAGTGGGCGCTCCCAGCCTTCATGAGGCCTGGGGTTTGAATCCTGTTGCTCCAGTTCCCAATATGAGTTGTCTGGGGTTAAGGTAAGTGTCTGCCTTGGTGCACATGACCCCCAGGTCAACATGGCACGAGAAAACTGCGACAATTGCTGATATTGCCTGGTCTTGTAGGATATTGCCTGGTCTTGTAGGATATTGCAAGGTCTTGCAATATATTTAACACATTGCAAGACCACCTATGACAGCGCATGATCTGACGTATATTGCACGCTCTCGCTGAGTATTGCCTGAACGGGCAATATGGCAAAAGATTTTTACACTTTTGCTGATGGGTGATCTTGCATTTGACTGTCTCCCGGAAGTCCACTAGAGACTGCGAGAAACCCCGCTTGCACCTGGCGCTCATGTGTGATGAAGAGGTAGCTTGATTATACACTCTTTGGTGATGTTGTAAAGTCTCTGGTATCACAGTGGGCTTGCCACCTCTTGGGGGGGTAGCCTCGTAGACTTAGTTACAAATCATATTTCTATGGATAAGTACTTGTATGCATTCAGAGAAGTCCAATGTGACAAAAAGAGATCACATGATAATCATGTGATGGGGTTGAATCTTTGTTGGGCCAACCTTACAATCCTAGACAACATTTTTATACTTTTGCTGATGCCATTACTAAGCCATTTCCAGGAAACCCTAGGATTTGAGTTTTATCTCAATACACCTGAAATACGAAACTCTATAGACTATGACCCCTACACGGACTTGCATATACTTCAGAGGGGTCCCGGTCACCTCAGGGCGTCAGGTTTTCATGCACTATGTAGTTCAGGAATTTAGTCAGAACACTGTGCTACGGTTGGTGAGGCGGGCGGCTGCTGGGGGAAGCGCTGGGGTGGGCGGAGCTTGTGCTGAGGCAGCTGAGGTCGCGAGGACGGTCACTGCCTCAGCTGCCTCATCGTCCGCGCTCCCGTCGCCGACCACGACCTTCGTGCCCAGTCCTTGCTGCGCTTATCACACTCCCTCTGCTTGCATCCCTCACTTACTCTACATCCGCCTAGTCTTCAATCGCGGCCTCATGGGTCAAACCACATCCAGGAGGCGGCCCTCTCCCGACTCTCATTCGATACCATCTCCTTCCTCTGTCGCCGTCGCCCACTCGTCTGCTTACGGGGAAGCCGATGCCTCACGCGATTCCCCGTCGACCTCTTCCACGATCCGGCGTGGTCCCCCCATCAATCGTGCCTTCCGCAATCTACTCCCTCGTTCCCGTTCCACTCTGGACGACTCGACGTCTCCTGACCCCACTTCCTCCTTACGCAAACGTTGGCGCTCATCTAAGAGGTTCTCAAAGCGCCCTTCTTCTCTCCCCAACCTTCCCGAGACCAGTGTCGATGATCGCTCTCATACACCACCTGCCGTCCCAACATGCGACCCGTATTCTCCAACTCCGGTGGGAGATGGCCAGTCTGGCCGAGCTGAACAGATTGACGTTACGCCTGTTCAACCCTCCTCATCCCTTCCGTCTACACTCCGCCCCCCATCTCTCCAATCCTGCGCGACCGATAGTCCAATCGTTCGGCACGCGTCAGCCCCGGAGGAAGCGCCACTGGACCAATGCCAGTCTGACTTGATGGACCGCAACCTTCACAACGTGTGTTCCTCTCAACCTCTCGAAACGCCACACTTCACGGCTCAGATTGAAGAGGAGATCAATGCCTTCTTGTCAGATGGCAAGGAAGCTATGGAGAATAGGACCTTCGTCGAAGGCAGCTCCCGAGACCGTCAGCGACCACTCCCTTCTGAGACGATACCGGAACCCTCTGCTCCAGACACGGTTCCAGAGCCTATACTGGATCCACAACCCCAACCAGCCCGCCACTTCCAGGGCCCAGGCCCTCTTGTCGTTGTCCAGGGTGTCGTCAACACGAGCGATAACCCCGCGGCTCCTCAAGGCTCCTCAACGTCTCATCCCATCCGAAATGCTTCCAACAATCACCGCTCTCTTGCCTCTCCCATGTCTCGTCGGCGCTCCTTCTCTACGCTAAGTAATGATGCTCCTGCCGAGGACCGACAGAGTGCGAGAAGTCGTCTATCGGCACTCCTACCCCGGCCCAGCAGCATGCTGGGACGGCGGGCATCCACCCCGGATAACACGGCCGATCTCTCACGTGAAATATCATCCAGCGAACATCCGGAATCCCTTCTAGATGCGTCCGATGACCCTCTGGTCGCTCAGCGAAACGCCTCCGCAACCTCCTCCGAGGCGCACGCTCATCCAGGCGGTGAAAGTGACTCCCGCCCTCGGCCCCTCTCGCCTGGTAGCATTGATGTTCTGGGCACTCTACTGAGGTTCGTTCGCTTCGCGTCATGTCGTGTCCATGCCGTGACTAAACTTTGAACAGTGTGGCGGCTGCGGCAACTGCTGCGTCCTTGTTCTCTCCGAACCTGGGGTTCCAAGCTGATCGACATTCTGACCCACCATCACTTGCTGGGATTCCTCGTCCTATGTCTCCCACTCCCACCGCGGGTCTGAGCGGCGGAGAAGGCTTGGCCAGCCTTGCAGGTCTTGGACTTGACCACCCTCCCCCAATCTCTCCACCGTCGACGGCCGTCGCGCAGCAACGGGAAGGACGCGACAGGATACGCAATGTGTGGGACAGCTTCCGCGACCGTCTCGGCCTGAACCGCAACGCTTCCGGTTCACGATCGGATGATGATTCCGCATCAAGCTCTGAGGGTCAAGGCAATATGCGACCTGGCGAGATCATGCTCGCCGAGATGGCTCGAGCACTCAATGTCGGGTTAGGCCTGAACAGCGATGATTCCGGTACTGCGGGAACCGATGAACCTGCAGCGACGTCGACGGCTCGCGAGGCCCCTCACGTAGCAGACGACGTCAGCCAAGGAAGGCCTGTGCCTCCTGAGGATAGCTTCGAGCGTTTCTTGCTGAATTTGCAAGCTGACCTGAGGACCGCACTTTCAGACGACAGTGGCGTAACGCTCACGACTCCTGCTGGCAATGGTACCGATCAGAGCGGCGACGACGTTGCGATCTCGCGGCGACATCTTTTCAACGAACTTCCTGTAGGCGTCGTCGATACGGAAGATCAAGTCGAAGACGACGAGCCACCACCGCTTGAGGATGTTGCTGATTCCGATGGCGAGGACGATAACAGTGATGACGGTCAGACCTCCACTCGAACACCGACCCCGATGCCATCTGCACATCCTGTCACACATGGTCCACGTGATCAGATATCGCTCGAAGCCGCAGAGCAGGAGGACGCCAGCAATGCGGATCAAGGTCGACCGAGAATTAATCTTTGGAGATTATATCGCTTCCAGCCGATCCCCGCGAACCAAGTCGCAGGCCACGCCTCTGCCTCGACTTCGTCGCCGCTTGCGCAATCGCCAGCCCCGTCCCACCTTCCCTCCACTCCAATCTCAGCCGCCTCCCATCCATTCTCGCCTACTGACTCGTTGCTGTCGTCAGTATCACCGGTCCCGTCAGCCAGTACTCCAAACAGTGCGGGTCCGGCTCAAGTTGCGACACCTCCGGCGGAGGACGGCACGTCGGCTATGGTCGTGCCTGTCATTGTCGTTGGTCTTCAATCAGTTGAGATGGGGCAAGTGCAAGGCCGCGGACGCCCAGTCACAGAGGTTGGAGAGCCCGACTTCGGCGAAACTGAAAGGAGATCTCCACTATTCGACAACGTACGGCCAGCCGCTCCTCTGGATGAATCAAACACGACGACTACACGGGGACGTAGTTGGCAATCGCGTGCCGCTACCGCACTACGGAACTTACGACCTGGTCGCAGGAACAATTCAGGCGGAGGGAGGTCAGCAGATGGTGCGGGCTCCCGAACGTTCTTGATCTATGTTATCGGAGGCGAGTACTTTTCTCGGTTCCCAGCGGGCTTCTGGATAGACAGATTTTTCTCACGTCTGGGAGTATAGGGTACTATCCTCCTAATCATCACATGGTGACCGGATCGGACAATCTCGACTCCTACGAGGCCCTATGGTAAGCCCATCTGATTGCACACTCAGTTGAATATCTTTAACGATGTCTATCAGGGAGCTCGCTGAGCTCCTAGGCCAAGTCAAACCACCGGTCGCCACTCGGGAGGATATCGACAACTCCGGTTTGCAGATCATCAAAGCCACCGAACTTGATCAGTTCGAACAGCAGGGCAAGGTCGCCTCAAACTGCGTTGAGCGCGTGCGTCGTCTGTTCTTTCAATTACGTTCTCCTATAATCTCATCTCGTTATTCCAGTGTCTTATATGTCTAGATGACTACTCGCCGGAAGAGGACCTACGCCTTATGACATGCAAGCACGTATTCCACCGGGACTGCGTAGACAAGTGGCTCCAAGTTGGTCGTAATAACTGCCCTGCATGTCGAACTAAGGTGAGGTCACAGAGCAGTATTAGGTTCGCCAATCGTGACTAATGAAATCGCGTAGGGAGTGTCGACCGCAGGTGACTTGACGGACTGAGTGGTCGCCGTTGATCTCGTATCAGAACAACTCGGTATTTCTCATAATATGGACAGATTTTGATCACCCATCATGACCTGCTAACTGGCTCAGCCCTCTTTTCTCGCTCTTGTCGCATCGCCCGAGTCTCATGTGTAGCGCTTTTGGCTCTTGCATCTTGGTATGATCGTTATCTCCTCGCTCACGTCTCACCCGGTTTGGGAATGTATCGCTCTCCATTCATATGTATAATACGTGACAGTAGACAGTCCGAAATTTGATCCTTCGTTGCATCGTCCCTGGTTGCTTAGTCCGCGAGCGATCAGCATTACGATGGATGTATCACAATGGCGATATTTCGTCCGCTACCGCTTGCTTGATCAAAGAGATTGACCAGCTCAACAGCCATCGGTGTGCCCTACGTTCATGTGAGCTCATGTATTTAACTCGCGAAGGAGATGCACACCTTCAACTCTTCTGTGATCCACGCGAAACGGTCCAGCAAGATGTAGGCCTCCACAACCGGCCCTACAATGCATCGAAGCATGTGCATGACCTCTATCCTTCTCTCCACTCGAGATGGAGGTCTCGACCAATCAGCCAGCTGTAGATGTAATTTCGTTCGCACCACATCGGCAAAGGTCTCCCAATTGGCGAACGCCTGGTCATTCAGCCTGCCTAGTCGTTTTCTGCGGTTCCTGTGCATCTCTGCGGTGCCACCGTCGTTCGCCTCCGAGCCGAGTCGCTCATGACCCACGTCGTCCTGCGTCTCCTGAAGATGATCTTCGAGCAGCGCGCGCCATGCAATCTTCCGCATCGCCAACCGTGCCGAGCCCAAGCTCTGCTGGGACCGCAGCCATTGCGATGGCACTTGTGCGGCGAGCTGCAGATGACTAGGGGAGAGACAGAACGTCACCGAGTCTGGACTACACGAACGCACAGTCCGGGACAGCGGGAAATCTACAGATCTCCGGTCAGTCAGCGAGGAACATTTGCAATGTAAGTACGGAGTCGAACCTTCCGACCGCATCAAGTTGTAGCAGCAACCCACGATGACGGCGCCGTGGGGCATCCATGAGGTAGAACGAAGGGATGTACCTGCCCTCCTAGCAGACAGGAAGGCCCGAATAATGTCCGTAGTAAGGGATCCGCATGCATGTAGGCCGATGAAGAGTACAGGCGTAACCTCCGGGGTCGCGTCATTGTTAGATATCACGGCCTGACGATCTTCTACCCATGCATCTGTAGCCGAGACAAGCGAATCTGCATCGATCCTCGTAGTGACATATGTCATGGAGCCGGCCTTGGGGCCGAGAGCAGTCCTCCGCGTATCCGACGCCGGAGATGCAGTGTCGGCGTTGACGACTTCGGGTTGTGTTGGGCGTGCTCGACGAGCTATCTTCGACGCATCCTTCCGCGAGGCACCTCGCTTCTGAACCTCGCTCCAGTCGAGCGCAAGGACATGCAAATTGAGTCGATCACGCAGCATGCGTGATACATATGCCTTTGCAAGTCGTCAGCATTTGCACTCATGGTCCGCATGAAGCACCCTCATATGGAATGTACGACGGACTTGTCCCGCACCGATGTCAACTACATGATTTAGACTGCCCAGGGATGATTGGAACGATAGTAGTGTTTCCAGAAAGCCGACCATCTGAACGACTTCATGCGCCTTCTTTGGAGACATCCCAGGCAATGCTTGTGACTTGAGGTCGTTAGGCAGCTGAGTTATCGAGCAACGACCATCGGGATAGACGTAGCCTATGTCACGAGGGAGAGCAAGACGGCAAGCGTCGTTGATCAAAGACCGAAGGATAGGAGGTACTGAGGATGTCTTGTCTGAACACTCGTGTCCAGATACGCGAGAGTCGTAGTATTTCAGAAGGAGAAGCCAAGGATCATCTAGTTCAGTGCCAACCTCTGCCTCGCATTCACCACCTGCCCAGTCCCACCATCCCTCCCACTCTGGTGGTGGATCGAATGACGACTGGCCCAGGTTGTTTGGATGGTAGTGGAACAAGGTGGAGACCAGCGGTTGGGAAAGGAAGTGGGATATGGACGTGAGTTGATCTATGACACTGGCTAGTGAATCAGCCATTGTGGGCAAGTTTGACACCTTCGGCTGACAGGGGCGACGGTCGTTGTGCTGCGAAAGCGAAGGGGACTAGGCGGGTGGGTGAGGGATGTGGTCGTATCCGTTGTGAGTTGTAGATTTCATTGCAACGAAGAACTGCAAGGCTCGCCGTCGGTCCGGGTCTTGAGATCTAATGACTTCCGGGCCGGGCTTCCGACGTTTGACTTCCGCTATTCTCGGATCATGTGGATGTTTGTAGGTATTTGGAACCAGGCCAACCACGAAAAATTCGCCGCACGCTCTTTCCTTCCTGTCCTCTACTTCTCGTTCACTTCTTGTCTGCTATCCGCTATGTTTGCATCTCTTGGTGAGTATGCTTCACAGTATGACTTGATGATGAATTTCTTGCTGTGCACCAGTCGGATGCTTCAGACGACAAATACCCTGGTCCTCTCACATACGCTTGGGGATCCTGACTTCAACTTTCCACTATCGACTCTCACATAAGCTCACTCCTTGTCTTCTAGATTTCTAGGCAAGTCTTACGATGATTCATCTTCGTAATGGTGTCCCCATCGATTTGTTACATAACATGTACGACGTTGAACACGTTCAATGTAATGTTGTAACATGATACCCCGCTCGTTCATGCCTGTGCCATCCTCGCGAACAAGCTCCCACTTCGCATCTACCGCGAGAGTCCAGCAACATTGGACAGGAAGCGTTCGACGACGCGCTTTCCTCGCTGCAAATTCGAAAGAGATATGCGTTCATCAGGTAAATGGGCTTGATCCTACGATTGGAAACGCTGTCAGTTATTGCAAGTCTTCGCATAGTGTCGCACGTACCGTGCTCTGCCCTAGCGGGAGGTGGAGGGCATGGCAAGAGAACTCCTTCTCGAGATAAGGGACTGATGGGATAGACTGTTTACGCCACAGACGTCAGCCGCGGCCGTCAGAGGATTCCATAGACTTACTCCTCCTTCTCGGATCCGGAGAGGTTCGACCTGCCACTCGTCCCTCACTGCATCCTCGAGCGCATGGAACCATGGATCGTCAAGGTTGCCAAGCCACCAGTCTGCCGTGTGCTCTATGCTGACCTGCAGAACGGTGCACGATGAGCATCAGGTCGCATCAAGGCCAGCGTTACGACTACCTTCAGGTGGTTCGGCGATCGCATGCGCTTGAACGTGGCCTCCAGATGTTCTCGTACCGAAGACGCGATGGCTTCCAGGGCTTGGTCAGGGACAATGCGCAAGGAGACGTGGGCCTTCACGCTAGAGGGGATAACAGTGGAATCTGCGTAGATATGAGCGATGGTACTTGAAGTGATCTGGAGCCAATACGCACTCCTGGGACCAGATACTTCCACATTGTGTACCGTGAGCGATGGCTCCCGCCAGCGCGCTACCAGGAGTGTTGCGGGTGTTTGCGTCACGCTCGATAGGACCTTGTACGACTGTCGCTCTTCCTCCGTGAGCGGCCTCACGTTGTCATCTAGACTCCTTCAGAGTCATGAAGGACAGCAATTTAGCAGGATGCGCCTCACAAAAGTTGGGAATAACAATCCTATTGCTCTCATCCGTCAAAGTACCCAAGAGCTTTACCCTACGAATCATTTCATACTTCATCATCCGTAAAGAGGAGGCAACGACTCACATGTCAAGCATCGGTTCACGGGCAGCTCCGCCGTCAACACCTGAATGTAGGTCCGGGCCTTCATTGGATATCTGTCAGAGCGCGATAAGCTGTCTGGTCGACTGTTATGACGTGGCACACAAACCTCCACATTGCAATGCACCACGCCTCGCAGACCATATGTGATACACGGCGTGTCCTCCGCTATCCAGGTAGAGTTACTGGTCAGACCAATAAGCCAGTGTCAATGCACGCATGCTCGCACTACGTATATACCTAACAAGGATGGAGTCGATCGGCCCGATTGTCTCCTAGAATAAGATGGTCAATCAAATCGCTGAGCCAATGGCTACCGAGGATGTCGCACCTTGTGCCGCTTGACCGTCTCAACAAATCCTCCACTTCCAGCCTCTTCTTCACCTTCCACCAACAGCACCAAGTCAGCCCCAAGTGCTCGGCGCGCCAGCAGCTCTGCTGCTGCGCAAGCAACCGCCATCACGGGGCCCTTGTTGTCGGTCGCTCCACGACCATACAAGTAGCCGTTCCGACCCGTCAGGGTGAACGGATCCGACGTCCAGCCGCTGGGCTGGGCAGATATAACGTCGTAGTGGCCGTAGAAGAGGACGCGAGGCTTCGGCGTGGACGTCTGCGTCCCACGGAATGTAGCCATAACAAGAGGATTCGTTGCGTCTCCCGTTGGTAGCTACAGATGTATGTATCATCTACAACAAGCCGCCGTACATGACGACCTTGACTTACCAGAGACGCCTCCGCGCCCAACTGCGTGAGACACTTACGTAGCCATATCGCGGCTTGTCGACAATCCTCCTTATGGACCTGAGAGCTGCTGACACTTGGAATGGACACGAACTTGGTCAAAGCGTGAACAAGGAGATCTGCTACGTCTCCGTGAGAGTGCTTCCTTTAAGTCAGTAGACATTGTACTTGCCGTCTATACTCCTCGATACGTCGGCATGATCTCCGAAGCCATCAATGTTGTCAATGCTGCTCGTAGGAGCAGCCGGCGGAAAGACCTCCCAAACCTACACCCACCGTTAGCTGTCAGGCTTCACGCAGTCTGCGAAAGCTACCTTGATCATGTTGTCATTTGCGCCAGTGACAAGTGCATATGTTGTCGCGTGCTCTACGGGGTCTTCTGTATGTAGCTTCGGTGTGATGATCGACGACAGGACTATCCCTTCATGGCCCTTCCAAGACCCGGTCAAGACAAAGGCAGATGACCAGCGCTGCAAGTGCAAGGGAGGTCAGAGATTCGACTGCCACAAGAGACGAGAGCTGCGAGACCTGGATGTCACCGTTGGCGGAGCAAACATAGAGGTCCGAATGTAACATCGACATGGAAAGTATATCGACGTTCTGTACTTGCGTATTCCAGTCAGCAGAATTCGATTCGAAGTGTGGTGAGCCAACTTGCCTCCACCACGAGCAAAGTGCGAACAAGAGTACGCGTTTCAAGGTCCCAAACCTTGACCAAGCCATCTTGGCATCCGGCAAACACGGTATCTCCGCGGACGACCAATGCAAGCACAGCACCGACACCACAGTCAAACGTGTGAATGAGCCGAGGCGCGTCGTTCGACGATTGATTCTCAGGTAGACGCCAGAGCTTCGATCGAGTTCCGTTAGCGTTAATCCATGCTGTCTGGTTTTGGTCTTCCGGCCTACCTTTACTGTGGAATCTCCGCTACCCGTGACCAACTGCAGTTGGCGGCCGCGGCCGCTCTCGAAAGGGGGATCGTCGGAGCCGTCGCGGTAGCTAGGGAGGAGCGCCATGCAGTAAACATAACCGTAATGTGCGGAATCGATCACGTTTTCTGGCGGGACCTGGAAGATCGCGACCGGTGGGTGGAATCCGTCGGGATGGATGCAAGGGTCCGGCGGAGTCAGAGAACCTGTTGACGATCCCGAAGGGGGAGTTGTCGACGTGGCGGGTACACAGGACGCGCATGTGGGGTTTCGAGCGTTGAGATCGGCCGGCCTTCGAGTGTATCGAGGATAGCTATCGAAAAATTTGTGTGCCTTCCTAGACGGCGGAGTGGAGATCCCACTAGAGCTATAGGCTTTTGACAACAACGAGGGGGGACTAGACAGAAGCTCCGGAGTGGTCACCGGAAACACAAACCATTGGAGTGAGGTGTTTTGACAGCCAAAGTAGAGCGTCTGCGAATGAGGACACCATGCCAGAGAAAAGAGGTCTCCAGAGTCCGTCTCCAGATGAGGGTGGAGGATGTGAAGAGGATTAAGACTACGCGTGTTCCATACCTATGGAGAGAATGAGTAGACAATAGACGGCGAGGAAGTGTCTGCAACATACACGTATTGTGCTATCACCTGTCCAACGAAGCGATTAGCCACAGGTGTTTCCAAGAAAGGTAAGGCCTACCTGATGCGCTGAAGAGCCAGCGCTTTTCGGGGGCATACTCTAGGGCCAATATACTGCCAGTGTGACCACTCAGAACGGCTCTCAGCTTGAAGGTATGCTTGTCCCAGACCTAGCAACATATATAAGCCACGAATTCGACGTGTGTTGGACATGAAGCAACCAGCAAACGAACACATATTTGTCCGTCTTGGCTGCCAGTGTAGATGTTGCGGTCGTCCGCAGCGAGGCTTAGGACGGAGCTGTGCTCTTGGTGAAGAGTGTGAAGAAGCGTTGGATTGTGTTGAACGACAGAGGGACTCCTGCTCAATGAAGCTACACGTTTCGGTTTCGTAGACAGCAATGTAGAAGAACGGAAAGGAAGGAGTTGAGGCATTGTGGCGCGCGGCTGAATGGATGTACCTACGATCTGGGATGACGGGAGAGAGCGGTACGGATACGGCCATTGTTTATATAACGGGATGGGCTGCGTGCGTGATCGGCCCAGGACGCTGTGGGAGCTGTAGTGCGAATGTGCTGGAGCGTATTGGTTGAGGCGAAAGAGAGGTCGAGGGACGGGTCCGCTGTCGACGGCGGAAATGAGACTTGTGCTAGTGGCACCGACTCGGAGACGCGACTGCCACGCGACAAACGCCCGTATCGCGATCGGGTGGTGGACTTGCGCAAGGCTGCCCACTCGCGCCATCCTCATCACCCTCGAATTTGAATCTCTCCGCCAATCCAATCATCGGTTTAACATACATGCTCGCTGCAATGGACTCCTCAAGCTTAGCTGTCTCAAGCTGCCGTCCCGTTTCGGCACGCACGAACGTCGACTGCCAGCGTCGTGTGTCGGTAATGTCACGGTAACATTCAGAGCCTGTTAAGCAAGCTCCTGATAGACATTCGGTAGCGTGAGCTTCTTCGTAGTGTCGAGTAGAGCCATCTGGGCTCAACTCAAAGCTCGTTGAATATAGTTTCATGTCAACAGTACTGATCTGTCTTATGTAGCCGCACATGGCGCGTCGCGGGGTCGGCGCGGCGCCGGCTCCTCTGTGCCCGCGGAGTTCTCGATCGGGATGCGATGCCGCAACATACCGGGATCAGAACATAAGTGGACGTTGACGACATTCAACACTCACGAAACTGTAGGATGGCTGGATTCAATACGTCTCCAAGTCCCATGCTCTATGTAGCTGAGCTTCGACTCATCGTTTTCCCTTTTATGAAACGCCGCCCAGTATCAAACCCCCCCAAGTTGCGTGGCTCGACTATGACTTGATTGATATCGCGATATTAGTACATAATCATCGGTCTCTTGCCGACGATGATGTCACTGATGCCAGGGCTCCAGAGCTTGTTTGCAATCGTACCTTGCTCCGACCCGTGCATGAGAGAGGTGAGCACAGGTTCCGGGTAGACCAACCAACCAATCGCTTGTGGGGGGAACAACGGAGCGAATGCTGGATAATCGACATTCAGAAATGCAGCTAACACCTCATCAGAGGAGGATAGACGGACTGGGGGGGATAGGATGCAGCTGTACATATGCTAATCACGACGCTCGAATCAATATAACATACACGGCTACACCTCAAGCTCTTCTTCGGTTCTCCTGTTCGTCCCTGTCCCCCTGCCCACCTCGCCACTACCATACCCACATTGTCCACCCTGCTGTGCGGACCCAGCATGCTCCTGTCATGGATCTCATCCCGAGTCCCCGGCATGCACTTATCATGCAGGCCGTGTCGACCGAGGGTGGGGTCGACCTGGATTACGCCCGATCCCCCTGCAGGCGCAGGACGCAAAAGGATATCACACCACCTCCCTCCAAGACACCACCCGCATTCCCTCTAACGTCGCGAGCACCGATCGAGGGCAACCTGACGGACAAACCGACGGTCTCTCAGACCTCGGCGGGGGCGACGTGTTCCTTGTACCAATTCTGGAGCCATCGCTCCGCGATCGCGTACTCGCGCTTGACGCGCTTGAGGAGGGGGCCGATCTTCGCGAGCGCGGCTTCCTCGGTGAGGTCCGTGCCATTTGTCTCGTCCCGGAGGGCACCGTAATGTTGGATGTCCTCGCATGTGGCTTGGACGGCGGAGACGCCAAGTGCGGCGGATGACCCTTTCAGGAAGTGGCCCAGAGAAGAGAGTTTGGGGAGGTCTTTGCCCTCGCTAGAGACACGAGTCAGTACATGGATAGGTTGGGGGGAGGAGCGTCAATAGAAGGTCTGACGTACAAGGCAGCGTCCATGTCTTTGAATGTGGTACTCGCTTGAGTGAAGTATGCCTCGGCCATACCGAGCGAGAAGTCATGGGTATCGTCTTCGTCCAGATCAAGAATTTGGTTGAAAGTCTCGAGATCAATGACGGGCTCCGCTCCGGCCTAGTCGACAGTAGACGCAAGTACGGTGAGCATCGAGGTAGCAGAAGAGCGGACGGATGGCACACTCACCTCGTCATCTTCGGGATCGGACTCTGGCTCCACAGACGGGTCGATTGCGAATGGAACAGAGGCGGGTGCGGGGGTGCGTTCGCGCACAGCGACGCGAGAGGGGGACTCCGGAGGTGGGGAGGTGAGACGAGCGGCGGCGGGCTTAGGTGAGGTAGGTGAAAACGACTGAGCTCGGGCGTCGGAGGCGGTGGGCGGGGACGGTGAGCGGAGCCTTGCGGCGGAGAGATCGCGTTCGGTAGACTTGATGCTCTCTTTGACGGCAGTCTTTGTATGGGACATGGTGGGCATGAGAAGCTGAAGGCTGTGGATGAGGAGGGAGATGGGAGGAGGGACGGATTCAGAATTATCAAATCAATCGGAGGAGGACTCCACCAGAGAGGCCTTCCCTCTGCTTAATATCTTATTCTTAAGTACTTATATCGACCTCGAAGCCTGCCTCCGGCATCTCGCCCCATCCGGTCCGCCTCGCCGACCCGGATCAGCCTCCGTCTCCGTCTCCGCACACTCTCAACGGTAACTCTATAACTCGAGCGGTTCCAGCCAGGCCGCCTTCGACCATGTCCTCCTTCTTCTCCTTCTCCTCGTCGGCAGACCAGCCCGCCAAGGGCGAGACCATCACCCCAGACGTCACCTCCGGTCATCTCACCCATCTCACAGACGACCAACAGGCCGCCTTCGCCACTTTCAAAACCGTCCTCGCCAAGGCACAGCTCTACACTCCTCCCAGCGACCCGCACAGGCCACGCCCCAGTCACGATGACCCAACCTTACTGTCAGCTCCCAGTCTGCTATCTCGCTCCATAGCGATCCGCTCATATATCTTCCCTCATGTCCCTCCAGGCGGTTTCTGCGTGCACGTCGCTTCGATCCACAGAAGGCGATGAAACAGTTTGCCGACTCCGAGGCCTGGCGTGCGAAGAACAACGTCGAAACCCTCTACGCAACCTTTCCCGTAGATGAGTTCGAGACCGCCCGTCGGTACTACCCTCGTTGGACAGGTCGTCGAGACAAGGTACAGCCTCCGTCGTCATCGCATTCGTATAAACGGTATAGCACCAGCTGATACCCGCCCTACAGAATGGCCTGCCTCTCTACGTCTACCGCATTGGCTCCCTCACCTCTTCCCTACAGAAGGAACTCAACGCGGTGCCCCCCGAGCGTCGCTACCAGCGCATGTGAGCAGCTTCATCTCATGATCCGCCTTCCATCGCTCCACCTCTTACCACACCCTCATCGAGACTAGTACTAACACGCTCTCCGCGCCGTCGGCAGCATCGCGCTTTACGAGACCATGACGGGCTTTGTGCTCCCCCTGTGCAGCCACTTGCCTCGCCGCATCGAGCCCACTCCAGTCACGTCCGTCACGACCATCATCGACTTCACCGACGTCTCCCTGCCCCTCCTCTGGTCCCTCCGGTCACACCTTCAAGAGGCGTCGACGCTCGCCACGGCCAACTACCCGGAGACGCTGAGCACGATCGTCGTCGTGAACACTCCCTCCTTCTTCCCCACCGTCTGGGGATGGGTTAAGGTGCGTGCAGCGCGTCAATAACGTGCCCCGGGCGTCAGGCATACACTCATTGATCATTGCCGACAGCCGTGGTTCGACGAGGGCACTCGTCGCAAGGTCCATATCCTCGGCAAGGACGCCGGGCCCGCTCTATGTACTTTGATTGATCCCAAAGACCTCCCGAAGACATATGGTGGAGAGTTGGACTGGAAATTTGAGGATCAGCCTTCACTCGATGACGCTACCAAGGAGCTTATAGGCGAGATGCCCAAAGGTCCTGTTGTGTTCGAAGACGGCAAGGTTGTGCGCCCCAGCCCCCCCTCCGAGCCGCCGACAGCAAATGGCGATGTACCACCCTCCTAGCATTCAATGACACACGCTTGACTCGCAGGTGGTTCCAGCGTTCCTCTTGGAATTCTTGGTTGCATGGTTGCATTAGTCCATGTTACGATATACTATGTACTAGAAAGCTACATTTTGATGATTGGAGTCACAGCAAGGTCCGTCACAACATACAGTAAGCACGTACAGTATGATAGAACACGCACACGTACAGATAAATTATCACCTCTATACCCCCTCGTATAGTATTTACGGAGCCATATCGTCCTCGGGTTCTGCGGCGACGCCGTCTTCACTCCATATCTCTAAGAACTATGGGCAAAATATCAGCCAAAACGGCGGACAATCCCCCGTTGCTCGACTTACTCTAGCACATTGATCCCGGGCATCCTCACTGGTGACCACTGGAGCGGTAGCGAATGGAAGGGGCTCCCACGACAACGGTCGCTCATGTTTACGGGTCGCGGGCCTGTCTCCCACAGCGCTCTTCTTCCCGACCACGAATTTGGCGCATTTCCTGCAAGTGCTGTCAGCAGCGTAGTAACCAGCAGTGGATCTCGACTGACTCCTCAGACAGGCCGTAGAGCGTCTTGAGATGGGCCTTCAAGAGCATGACCATCGCCACAATGACCGAGCTGCGCAGTATTCCCATGTCGTGACAGCGAGCCGGAGGAAGAACAGCATGCGGAGGTTTAGACTGGGCTATCTGCAGCGTCCCCGTATCTACATCCATCGCCATCTCCGGCGCGACGGGGGCGACAGGCGTTTGCGGAAGATGGTCGGGGCCGTGTAATTGAGTGATCAAATGCGATGGCGAAAGAATCTCGACTAATTGCATCCCTGTCGTAGACAGAACCGATGTCAGGGATTTGGTCACCGTGAGGACTTCTTCCTGCGTCTTGTATTCAAAGGAGGCGAAGTTCTCGGACATGTACCGCGTGAAGTCGATATCATCCTAGTATTCTAAGTGGTAAGCTAGCCGATAAGAAACAAACATGCGAAGGCGGAGCAAACCTGTGAAGATTTCCCAAGCTCTACGTCGAATACCTTGACCAAGGCTCGGAGGAAGTCCTGTCGCGTGGCGCGCTTCTCACGGGCGAGCGTATACCATCTATGTAACAAAGCGGAAGGCGTTGGATTCAAGCGATACCCCTTGACGGCTCCTGCAGCGAGTCGTTTCTGGTAGTCGAAGGAGGCGCGCGCACTGTTAACATAACGAGCATTCAAGAGAGAAGTGTGTTTCGCATGGAGGATCGCGTGCAATGCGCTGGCCCTCGCGCTGAGATGGTGGTTTGGACTTGTCTCGAGGGCTACGATGACGGGGAACGATTGCAAAGGGTGAACCAAACCCTGTTTGATTGTGAAAGTGAGGATATCGACGGCAGCAGATTGTATCTGTGCGGTCTGCGACAGAGCGGCGTCGAGAATTGGTTCCAAATATCGCTGAACGATAACAGAGCTGACTCTGCACGGGTCGGTGAGCAACAACGCCGATGCTGAGAGGATCCTACTCACCCGGAGTCCGCAAAGCCATCAGTGTTTCCGATCAGCTCCTCCATGTTCACCTTGCCTGTGACCACCTTGCCTTTGGCGCTTGCTGAAGCTGCTCGCACTTTCAGGATTGCGGGTCAGGACGACGACCGACTGCACCATACCTTTCTCGTTGGCAGCATGCTTTGCCGCTTCCGTGACCAAGAAATCCTGCAATATCTTCAATAGACGGCCACGCGCTTCCTCGGACGACGATGAGAATATCGCGTCCATAATCTTCGCAGAGGGCTCTGCGGTCATTAAGGCAGGTTGCGCACGGAACAAGAAACCTGAGATGACCAGAGTTAGACGGTCCCATGTAGGCAGAGGAGCGAAGTGTACTCACCTAGACACTGCAGAATACGGCCTCTCAAGCCCTGATCCTGGTACTTGTCGTACAGTTTGAGAAGACACATATAGACGTGCTCTGTCACAGAGCCCTGGTTCATAACGGATATTAAACGCCCGTTCGCGACAACTGAGCACAACACCCATACCTTCGCAATCTTATCGATATCTTCCTTGTACTCTGTTAGACAAGGTATCGCGTCAGCGAGATTCTATAGGAGGATATCGATATCGCTCACTCTCTTCCTCGGAGCGAAGACGGTCGAAGTTACAATGTTCGCACAAGAGGGATGTGATGAAGAGCAATACGGTCAGAGTGCGTTGCTCAGGTGGAGCCAAGGTCTGAGCAGCGGGTTTCTGAATGCTCTGCTGCAGACGAGCTAGAAGGACGACCTCAATGACCAGCTGAACTAATATAAAGATAACGCACCATTGCACGATCGCAACAGCGCCACTAAGCGACTAAAGTCATGCGTAAGATAATGGACAGTGGCGCAAATGCACGCGACAGTCTCTTGCAAGCCCTGCATATCACTACAGGTCAGCATTGCCTCAAGCTAAGATGATGTTAGTTAACATACCAGCACACCGGCAGCAGCGGACGGCTTCAGAATCATCGGTTGGAGAGCGAGCTGTAGTTCCTGTCCAAACTTAGCCGCGGTCTTGGGCATGTGGGGGATAGACGCTCGGAAGATGCGAAGTAAGTAGTCTGATGTAGCCTGCTCCTCGGGCTACAATCATGAATTTAGTCAACAAATCAGTCACCATATCGACGAAAGCGGACTTACTGTGCCCGCATTCTTCAAGTAAGGAAGAAGGGTTGCTGCGTTCGACCCGGAAAGCACTGCCGGGTAAGCAGAGGTGAAGAGATAGATGGTTTGCACACAGTTCAATATGGTCTGCTATCGTGTCAGACCACCCGCTATGATTTTCAGTTATGAAGTACTCACGAAGCCTGGCAGGTCCGACGCATCGACCAGCCCGTCGATCAAAGTCTCACAGACCTCCACGTATCGCTGATGCAATGCAGACCTATCATGCTCCGGCTTGTCCGCCATGATGCGATGCAGGAGATCCTCGAGAGGAGATTGCTTATCCTTGAACTGAGCTGCGACACCCATGATGATTGCTACTTTAGTCAATAACTCCATTTTGCCATCTTGAGTGGACTTGACAGCTAGAACGGCATTCGTGAACCAAAGCTCCTCCATATTCTTCACGGCAAGGTCCTTGACTGTGTCGTCCTCATCAAGCATGCGAAGCACGATGCGGGTGCAAATATCGATGCGGGCGCTCCTATCTTCTGTGACACTATAGTATGCTTTGAGCAATTTGATGACTCGTTTGCGTACGCCCAAACCGGTGTCAGCTATACGATCGGCGATCTTCTGGTAGTAATCCGCAGCAAACCTAGGCGAGTCGACAATATACTTTCCGATGAGCTCTACAGCGGCATCGCGGACGGCAGGGGAGCTGTCCAGGAGATGATCCTCGATGCCTCTTCTAACGTTGGGCGCAGAGAGGATACTCGGATCGCTGGTGACGATCTGACCAAGCGCTTTCAGAGCTTTTGTCCTCATGAAGACCGGAGGAGCATCCAACGCTTGCAGTACCACCGCCAGTATCGGGTTGAACGAGTTCCTCAAGCTCTGACAAATGCCGATCTCCTCGGAGAGACGGTCGATCCTGGCGAGCTCCTCCTGTGAAGTACTGAAACATATGCCAGCGTTGAGCAACGTGGATCAGCGGCTTGTGAACAACTTACCCAAGTTCGAATATATCTCCAGATGGCTCATCCCAGATCTCCCGCATGGCGCCCTTCTCCTGCCTCGCAAGGGATTTTACCGCCTTGCGGTCTATATCGGCGTCTTCCGAAAGAAGCCTCTCGCAGTGTTGTAGGGTGAGTGCAAGTTCGTGCCCCCACATGACGGCGGTCAGTTCACGCGCGCTCTATGTACAGTTCAGGTATCACATAGAGAACGAGGAGGGATTGGCTCACATAGAATGCTTGGTCTTCGGAAGAGCGTCTGCACAGATTATTCTGAAGATCGCTATGTGCAGCGACTAGTTGCCGAAGCTTTTCGCCATCGAGCGAGCTCATAACCTGACAGCGATTAGCAAATCCACACTGACATCTCAACCTTCCCAGGACGTATTTACCTCGTCCAGAGGTGTGAGCCCCAACTCGCCCGAGTCTCGCTTGAACTTGAGCATGCTCGTCCGAAGGTGTGCAGCGATGACTCCTAGATGGTCAAGGGCAAGCGTCTTCACTGCGTTGTTGTCGTTCTGCGAAGTCGACTTGATGTCGTCCAACGAAGACACCTTGGGGACGAGTCAGTTCAAGCACAAACAACAGCATAGAATAGAGTATGAACGCGGGGAACCACGAACCATAAACTTGCATATCAGACCCAATATGAGACTAGCAGCAGGCCATTCAGGCCAGAACAAGACAGCGAGAAGATCCGAGATGAGATTGTCGAATATTGCGCGGTATTCAGCCTCATTCGAATTCTTCGTGGTCTTCGTCTTACCGGACCTGCAATGTTGATAAGTAGACATAACTTCGAGAACGCGCACAAGACAAAGTACCTTTGAGTCAAGAAGATGATGATCGTCTTCGCAGCTTTGGTCGCGGAATCCAGTCCTGATGCATACAGTCGAATCTCTTCCTTATCGTGCTCATCCAGCCAAGGCTCCTTCTGCGGCTTCTCGTTGAAGCTCTCCTGGCGTCGCAGGGCGAGCGCCTGCTCTCGCGCCTTGCGGATTGCCTGGGCCTCCACGCGCACGTCATGTGCGGATGTTTGTACGAGCTGCATGAGCAGAGCGGACACAGTCCGGATCGAACGACCATCCCGTAGTCTAGAGATTGTGAGACAGGAATAAGCTGCGACATCTGCCTACTGAAACGTACCGAAATTGACCAGCCCGCTGCTTCGTGTCGGAAAGCTTGATAAGAGATGACAAGATCTCCTCGATTATCCACGGCCTCTGGTCCTCGTGATTGGCGAAGATCTATTCGTGACGAGGTCAATCATGCTCGCACCTCAATACCTAACCTTTGCGGAAGAACTCACACTGCGGATCAATGCGAGAGCATCCAGCCTCAACGCCCTCATTGCCGTTTGTCCCAAGGCAGAAATCACGCCATTCGCAGAGGAACCCTTCTTGCTTCTGCCCTCACCCTCCGCCTCGACGACGAAGAATGGCCCGATAGCTATGTAAACGCCCTGTATGATGATGCTCTCGCTCATCGCCATGGTGTCTGCACATATGAGGTCGTTGATCCTAGGCAGGATAGACGAGACAGCTTGGAAAATCTCGGTGAGCAATTGACGAAGCATACTACTCGGAGACGCAGACAGCTGGATGAGCTCGCGAAGAAGACCGGGCAGCTGCACATCCGCCGGCGATGCCTCCACAAACGGGTAGAGGATCTTCACGAGGTGATTCTTAACGGTAGTGAGCGAGGCGGTGATGAGCTCCTCAGAGTACAACTACAGCAGGTGAGATGAGTCAATGAAACGACGCGGGGATCAGCACAATGTGCGTACCTGCTTCGGCAACCGATCGCTTCCAAGCAACGCAATACAGCAGTCTGCCGCCAACACACTGTCCCTTGCCAGTTCCAGCGTCCTTGTCAAGTTCTCCACGTCCTGCTCTGTCACGACTTGTTGTTCCGATGAGGGACCATCCACCTCCATAGCATCCCCATCACCAGCCTCTCCAGGAGACTGCGACTTCGAACGCCTGGTTTCTCCCTGTGCCTTCTTGCCGTTGGCAGCCTTCTTGGTCTTAGCTGTCTTCGTCGAGCTTGCGCCGCTGCCTGCTACCGAGGGGAAAGGATCTAGGTCCTCGCCAGCGCTGATGCTTCGCTCCAGCATCTTGAGAATACGCGAAAGCGTGGCCGTGTCGATGTCCGCCACCCGACCTCTAAACTTCGGCGTCCCTTGAGCGTGACCATTCGCGTCGCGCGAATTGAGTCGATGACGCTTGCTAGGACGCGCGGCCTTGGTGATGTGCGTGACGAGCTTCCGGACGAGATTGGGATGTAGCAGTGGTGGAGCACCAGGAACTGAAAGGGGCGAGAACCATTCCAGTGGAAGATCTTCGATCTCGATATCAGGCGGTAGTCCATCTTCAGCTTCGAAAATGTCCTCCAAGAGGGTAGCAAGCTTCTCTATGGGAGCTGCGTGAGAGCGTCGGAACCGTCAGCGTGGTAGAGTATATGCGCGAAAGTGCGTACCCCTCTCGTCTCTGTCACCAGTAGCTCTCTTAGCGGACGACTTGACGCCTGCACTACTCCTGCTGAAGGACAAAGATGTGGAGTCATCCTCGCTCCCAAAGCCTCCCAGATCGTCGTCATCGTCAGCAGACTTGACCCTCCCCTTCCCCTTCGTGCTCAAGCTCGTCGTAGTGATCACGACCTCTAAGCGCTCTTTCTTCTGAGACTTCGGGGTGTGATAAGCCTTCGGATGAGGAGGAACGGCGACATATGGCTGAGATCCAGATCCAGATGGAAAGCCTGAGCCGGAACTAGAAGACGAATGGAAAGAAGCAGGTTTGTGATTATTCGAGCCATGCGCCGGCGGAGTGTGAGGCTTCTTGTGTTTTGAGGGACTTGGGACGGCTATCTCGAAAGACGACTGCTTGCGATCAATCTGCGGTCGGGGTGGTGTTTGCCTGTACTGAGGTTGTTGCCGCTGCTGAGACTGGGAAGGGTACTGGTGTCGTGAGCGTGCCTGGGACTGCTGCGGCTGGTGCCGCTGTTGCTGAGCCTGGTGCGATTGCTGTTGCTGTGGGCGGGACTGTAGTGGAGACATAGAAGGCCTGACTGAGTCATTGACCTGCACTCGCTTCACCTTCGGAGATTCGAGATACTGCTCGACCTTGCGCTTCTTCGGAGTCGCCTTCAAGTGGTCAGGCTCCGGCGGAGCGATCTCGAGCGGGTCTGGGCTGCCAAGATCTACAAGAGGAATGTCTGCGAGCGGTATGGGCGCTGAACGCGACTGCTGACTGGGAGGCGGTGGCTCATACAGCGCAGTGGATGGCTGTTGGTGATACCGTACGGGTTGGGGATGAGACGCGGTAGCCACACGCGGTGGTGGCTGAACGGGCGTCTGGTTAAGGAAGTTACTGAAAAACGCAGGTGAGTCTTTTGGCTGGTAGACTTGACGGATGGGCTTAGGTGGTGCAGGACCAAGGGCGCCTGCAAGCGAGGAAGAGGAGGCGGATATTCCAGGGGGCGGAGGGGTGGGGTAGGACGCTGACGGGGATGTATGCTGGATCACGGACTGCGCGAAAGGAGTTGTCTGGTATGTAGAGTGGCGGGACTGGATTGGAGGCCATTGTGGAGGCGCTTGGTAGTTCGCGTACATTCTGCTGCATGTTTCAGTTTCGGCGAATGATGCATTGTAATAAGGATGGACACTGACGGTCCCTGTCCAGCTAAATGGTACACGACTTCCTCCCTCGTTTTCTCCACATACGATGCAGCATATGACGATTGCTGGGGATTCATGAGGTGAGCAAACTCCTGGGAATACTCCGGGTACTGGGGGAATCGGGACTGGTGGTAGGAGGCATTGGAGGGAACCGAGGCGTAAGGCTGGATGTAGGACGGCGGAGCAGCAGATATAGAGAGGTTCCCTAAGTGCCTTGCGACTAAAGAGCAATTTTGTGAGCATATATGCAGCGAAAAAGAGGGTCTCACTGACCATGGTTAGCAGGAGTCGCGGAGCCATACGGATACTGGGCGAGGAGTTGGTGAGACTCCTGGACGGCGTCGGTGGCAAGATTGTGCTGGGGAGTGTCAGGGATCTCGTATCGCCTCGGCTGATAGTGCTGATTGGGGTGATATGGATGACCGTTCATCGATGTCGGGGCGACGAGGAGAGCTGCAGCAGGTTGGGGACACACTTGAATTCCACAACGCGACCAGTCGCTCATAAACGCCCATCCCGACGCGCCTCTGTCGCGTACAGGTCACGACCCAGTCACACTCCCTCGCCCATTCCGCCTTTTTGAGCCACCTCCCCGTCTGTGCCACTTCTCCAAACTTCGAGGTACGAACGAGCACTCGCTTACGCACAAGAAAAACAAGTCCTCGATGCTATGAGTAACGCACATCAACACGAGGTCCATGCCATTACAAGAATCGACAGCCAACCACTGCTTCCTACTACGGCGACAGAAAAAGTCACAAAATATCAGTATCAAATAAGTAAGCTCCAAACAACACAGAGAACACTAGTCATTACTGAGGTCGTAAGCATCTCGTAACATTTCGTAAAGGTCGTTAAAGCTACCGCTTCGCCTCACCCGCGCCAGCACCATCCCTCCGGTGCTGGAAGCCATGCCCCGCCTTGTTCTTCACATCACTCCAGAATGTATTCCAATCGTGCCCTCGGTGCGGGCCCTGCTCGCTCTGACTGGTCACTGAAGGGGTCGACAGCGGGAGACCGTCAGTCTCCCTCGGGTTCTGCACGAACGCTTCCTGCTGGGCAGCGTTCACCCGCTCGATCGCCTTGATGAGCGAAGGCGTCGCAGGCACGGGGGAGAACACCGGCGCGGTGAGCGTCTGCGATGAAGCCGTGCCCGCTTGCGAAAGCGCGATAGACGATGATTGGTGCTTGAGACTGTGCCTGCGGATGAAGTCTGGTGTCCATTTATCTCTACCATGGCGGTCTGTCCGGACAGCCGTGACGTCTTGTTCGTCTTCCGACAGTGGATCTTCCTTGGCCCTCTTCGCAACTCCCTTGGAGCCTTTCGTTGGCTGCTCCTCCGTGAGCGTCGCCATGGAATCTGACCTTGTCGGTGACCTAACGAAGGGCGGGACTGCCTTCTTGAGATCCTCGTCCTCAGAGTCGGACGCGCTATACGGATCAAGCGGATCGAACTTGACAACTTCCCTGGTCCGCTGGCGACCCTTTACACCTGGCCTACGCTCCTTCCGCAAGTACTCCTGCGGAGGCGTGAACGGACGCGGCTTGTCGTCGCGGAGAGTGTGAGGGGCCGAAAGCGACTGCTTCTTGTATAATTTGAGCGGAGAGTCAGGAATAGGCTTCTTGAGGTCGGCATCAGTAGGAAAGACGATGTCCTTGTCAATGGGGTCCAGGCCGCTTTTATGGCCGAAGTGACGAGCCCAGAATGACTGTAGGGGGCGGAATTGTCCAGCGCGATCGTGACCGCTAGGGAGGGTTGCAGTGTAGTCCGCAAGATAGCTATCCCATTTCTATGGACGCGATGTTAGAAGCGCATTGCGTCTGTCACGAAATACGCACCTCGTCTGGGTTCTCCCCTAGCTTCCTCTTCAATAACCAGTCCGTGGTGACGCCGATCAGGACGAAGAGACAAAATGCCGCACTGATCCCCTTCTCCTGCACTGTCCCCCAATTGCTTCCGTCTTTGAGCCAGAGCCGATCCCAGACCTCGATCCAAGACGAGATGTGGGCAAGAAGCGCGATGGACTGGACGGTGCCAAATGCGCCAACGGAAGCCATAGCAAGTCGGACGAAAGTGTGCTGAGTGCGAGCTATGGGTAGCAGACACATGATGAGACCTATAGGCGTGAATATCGCGACGAGGATAAGGCGGGTGAGGAGCGAGGGGTGGAGGATGACGGAAAAGGCGAGAGCGAAGGTAGAGCTACAATACAGAGCGGTCAATATGAAGGCATGCCATATGTTGAACGGGAGAGACGCACTATCCCGCAATGCCGGCAAATGCAAGGGTCACAATTCGCCACCTCGCAGATAGGAGGGCACTAGCGATCGCTGCGAGCAACCATACAGCGAGGAAAGCGCCGGAGCTGAGTGCTTTCGATGAAGCTGAGACATTAGGGATGAGAAGGGCGAGAAAGGTGGTCAAATGGACTGCACGTTGTTAGTCTGTGGGCTGATTGGGTAGGCGGGTGAAACATACCTCCGAAGACGAAGCCTAAGGCAATGCCACCTAAGCCACCCTCTAGTCTGAAGACCTTCTTGAGCAAAACCTCAGCATGCTGAATCCTTGTCGCCTCGGGCGGCTGAAGTGCGTCATAACGGGGTGCGAACGCCCGTGTGCGATCCAAGGTGAGAAACGCGCCGGCAAAAGTCAAAAGCAGGGAGAGGAAGAAGAGGGGCAGGGTATAAGCGAGCAGGAAGGAAGAGGAGGGCAAGAGAGAAGCGAGAGTGAGTAGCGACTGAGTGGACATGACGAACGAGAAAGGCGTTGGAGGCAGAAGGGGCAAGTAGCGGAGGTTGTGGGGTAATTGAAGTCGTGAGGATTGGGTATCGTCGTAAAAGTCGTCTGAAGTTGCTCTGCGAGCGACAAGAACGCGGTCGCTGAGGGCACAAGTAACCCCGCCTGGAGAGATGGAGGGGGTCGCGTCGGGTAGCTCGAGAGATAAGGGCGGCGAGGAGGGCAGGTCGAGGTCGACGGCAACTTGCAAGACGGAACGACAAGCGCTGGTGGGCTGATCAGAGCAGAATCGCCTCAGGCGCTCAACGCGGGAAACCTCGAGCGCCTAAGGGATGTGGCCGCGGGGAATGCCGATGCGGCCGATCTCACACCGCTGATTTTTTCGGTGCAGGCTCTGGACGTTGGTCTCATCGAGCGTCCGACTCTTGCTTGCCCATGCTTTCTAACACTCTCACTGCTCCCCGCGTATATCGTAACAACCACGAGAGAGCGCATTCTTGATACCCTCCCAAAATGCCCAAAATCGCAGCCCTTCATGGCATCTCAAACATTTACTCAAAGCACAAGCCTCCCGGGCATGCAACCCCTCGCAAACGGGCCCACAAGCGCGAGCATGCCTGGGTCGACGTCTCCGACGACGATCTCGAGGTGAAATCATCAAAGAAGCTCTCTTCCAAGGGCACCAATAAATCCGACCATGGGCCTCGCAAGAAAGCTCGTCTGTCTGCTCCTCCTGGACCCTCTTTTAAGGAGTCGCTTCACCAACAGCGCAAACAGCTTCCTATATACTCTGGTATGTCACAATGATACAAATGAAATATTCTCGTCTGAGCTTATATCTATTACGGTAATGCATAGGCAAGGACGCCGTCGTCGATATGATTCGTGAAAACGATGTCACTGTCCTCATCGGCGAGACTGGTTCAGGCAAGACAACTCGTGAGTCTCGAGCGCCCACTTCACCCGAAGACATGTCGCAAGTCCTCACTCGCCCCGGTGCTATCAATCAGAGGTTCCACAGTACTTGCTCGAGGCTGGACTCTCCGGTTCTGGCATGATCGCAATTACCCAGCCCCGCAAAGTCGCTGCTACATCCCTTGCCTCTCGCGTTGCGTCCGAACAATCCACGTCTGTCGGCTCTCTCGTCGGCTACTCCGTTCGTTTCGACGAGGCCTGTTCTTCCGACACCCGCATCAAGTATGTCACCGACGGTATGCTCGTACGTGAGCTGCTCGGAGATCCTCTCCTCTCTCGCTATAGCGTCGTCATCGTCGACGAGGCACATGAACGTACCCTTCGCACCGATCTCCTCCTTGCCAATCTCAAGACACTTTTGCGGACACGCAATGCGCCTACCTCTGCGGTCCGTGAAGGGGCCAAGGGTAAGGGCAAGGAAAGGGCTTCCGAGAAGCTCAACCCCCTCAAGGTCGTGATCATGAGTGCAACGCTTGAAGCCGAAAAGTTCAGCAAGTTCTTTGGCGGGTGCGTACATACCCTACTCACCTTCGACCCCCCTTACCCCTTCCCCCGGCTCCCTTCCATGCTTCTATCACGCGTCCCCCGTCCATGCCGACTCAGCTCCCGGCTAATCTCTCGGGTCTAGTGCGCAGGTCGTGTACGTGAAGGGTCGACAACACCCGGTCACAATTTACCACACCAAGACGAGTCAGCCGGATTATGTAGATGCTGCCTTTCGGACGTTCTTCCAGATACACACCGATCGGCCCTCTGGGGATGTCCTCATATTTCTGCCGGGTCAGGAGGATATCGAGTCTTTAGAAAAGTCCATACAGTTATACGCCAATCAGCTACCTAAGGACGCCTCGGGGGTGAGTCTGCTCCGCTGATCAGTATTGTCAAGCAGCCATTGACTTCGCTTGTCATGTGCGTTATGTGCTACGCTCGGTTAATACGCTAACATCAGGTACTCGTTTGTCCTATGTATGCGGCGTTACCGCCCAGTCAGCAAACCAAGATATTTTCACCTACGCCAGCCGGTATGCGCAAATGCATCTTAGCGACAAACATCGCTGAGACGTCTATCACCATCCCTGGGGTCAAGTACGTGATAGACACCGGCAAATGCAAAGAGAAGCGATATCTTGCCAAGCATACCGGCACAGGTGACTAAGTTTTCCCATACACGCGTGTCATATGTGTCTGTAGCTCACCGCCGCGGTCGCAGGTTTTGATACTCTGTTGACAAGAGACATCACTCAGTCGTCCGCCGTACAGAGAGCAGGCCGTGCAGGCCGCGAGGCAAGTCCCATCTGCCCGACCTCCTCCCACTGATTGTCATATTATATGCAGGGCAAAGGCTTCTGTTTCAGATTGTACACCGAGGAAGCCTTCAACGCGCTCCCCATCACAGCCGAACCTGAAATTCTTCGGTGCACGCTAACCTCGAGCGTCCTGCAGCTCCGGTGCCTTTCCCAAAACCTCGAGGAACTGGACCTCATGGACACGCCCGAGGAATCGTCCATCGCATTCGCCCTGATAGCCCTCGTGCTCCTCGGCGCGCTCGACAACCGCAGATCACTGACGCCCCTCGGGCGCAAAATGGCGGCGTTCCCGCTCGAGCCGCCCCTCGCCCGCGCGCTGCTCGCGGCCCCCGAGCTCGGCTGCACGTCCGAGGTGCTCGCGATCGTCTCGGTGCTCTCCTCGTCCTCGAGCCTCTTCGTGAACTCGCACGACGCACGGGACGCCGCGGCCGACGCGCGCCGCAAGTTCCGGCACCCCTCCGGGGACCACCTCACGATCCTGAACGTCGTGCGCGCGTACGAGGACGTCGCGGGGGCCGAGAGCAAGGCGGGGCGGCGGGACTGGTGTCGCAAGATGTTTCTGAACGAGCGCTGTCTTGCCGAGGCCGTGAACATCCGCGCGCAGCTGCGCGACGTGTGCGAGCGGCAGCAGATCGACTGGCGGGTCGGCGTCGGCGACAGCCAAGGGGCCGAGAGCGCCATCCTGCGCGCGATGGTGCAGGGGCTGGTGCAGAACACGGCATTCTTGCAGCCGGACGGGTCCTACAAGCAGGTCATGGGCCACACTGTGAGTGGCTTGGTGCAATCGCCTCGCGCTGCCATTTTCTGATTGACGTTTGTCCCCCTCGCTGCTACCTTCAGATCTTGAAAATCCACCCAAGCTCGTCGCTTGTAGATAAGAAAGTGCCGGCGATTATATACGACGAGCTCGTACGTCATCCCCATCTTGTTCGTGACCGCTGCCCAGGCTAAGCTCGCAGTGGCGATGCGCAGGTATACACCACACACATCTACGCCCGGGGAGTGTCCGCCGTACCGAGGAACTTCATCGCCGAGGTTCCGTTGTTGAAGCAGCGGACACGCTGAAGCCGGCCTCCGTCGGTCCGCCGCAGAGTCAGCAGGGCTTTGAATGCGATAGCCACAGTCGTTTGGACACGCCATCTATTCCTGTTCACAGCGCATCCACTCTGTTCGCCGGATTTCGATTGAGGCGCACATGGCTCGCTCGTGCTACACCCGACCTCATCGCGCAATAGATAGCGTCATATGGACACGTGGGATACGCAACTTCTCATCTTAACCCGCCGTCAGAGTGAAGCGTACCAAACAAAGTTGCGAGCATACAGTGCCTGCCGATTGACGCAGCCGGCAAGCACTAGGATACATTTCGCAGTTTGACGGGTTACATTCGCCGCCGTTCTGTTGGTTCGCGGAGTGCCAGACCATTTGCGGAACCATAAAAGTTGCATAACACGATAAGGCAGTCCAAAAGACGACTCACTTCCCGCAGACGCGAGATTTCCGGGAAGGCGCAGCAGGGTCGATGTTTTCAGTGGCTCTCAACGGGCATGTCGTGAGACTCATCCGCACGCCGTCCTCATCCTACTATCAATACATCATCTCAAGACTTCTACGAATACTCGTTGCCCTTTAGGTTGCGATCTACGGTGATCGGAGGCCTGGGAAGGGCTCCACTGGGCACTCCTTGGAGATTAGATTCGTTTCTACCTTCGTTTCGAGGACTTGGAGGCTACACAACTGGCATGTACATGGTCGATCCAGATTTTGGCTCAGAGAGGACGGAAGAGCTCGCGCCAGCGAATGTAATTCAGTGTCCCGAGAACCTGTAATACGCACGGACTCGAGGAACGCCCGAGTCCTTCGGGGAATCCATGCCGATCGCAGCTAGCCCCCCTCCGTCGTCTGTCCTCTATATACCTCCTCAAACCCCACCGCTCGAGACCCAATCTGGCGGAAGATTGTCACATCCCTTTAGCTTTTATTATTATTATTATTATTATTTTCTTGTCTTATACCAAACATAGCTACAGGGTACGGTAGGTATGTAAGTAAGCGTGTTATCCGAGATTGACATCCCTTTAGCAACGGGCCCCAGAGTATGGCTACAGAGTTAGATCGAGCGCTTGTTTCTAATACTTAATGTTCGGCTGTGGACCTGCCACACATCGCCGTCCCGGTGCTGCACACACGCCGCACCGAAAACTGTCTCCCTTGTCGGCTCCCACCACGGTTACCACGGAAGGCCCACCTGCTCCGACAAGGTCCGACAGCAGATCCACAATCTACTCGCACGTCTAGCACGCCGCGCGCACGTTCATCTCGTGGGACATGCTATTACGCAGCTAGTACTGCCCAATCAACATGAATACCCGTGGTGGATGCACTTCGCGCGTAAACAGGGCCGCTTTTGTGCGGAACTTTCATTTCGCAGCATCGTTTATTGGAGGTACATGCGCTCTCCGCTCCAATTCTTGTCATTCCCAGGTTATGTTCGTACCATCCGCAGCCGCAGGGAATCCGCCTTCGGGTCCACTATGGCTCGATAGGCCAGTTTTCGCGTTATGTCCTGCAGTCTGAGCTGATCGACAGCGTCGGGTGTGGGCTTCATCGCTCCACATCCTGCTGGTCGGTCTGCGCCCTCGTGCCTCATTACGCAAGTATCCTGCATGGCACTTGACCCATTTCTTCCGGACCGAGGCCTTGCGCGGAAAGCGGCCACGACTGCCCTTGTGGGGTGAGCGGTTTTATGCGCTATGTAGCCCGTGTCTAGATTCCTGGATCTTGAGAGACGAGGTCAGAGAGGTCATTTTACGATCTGTGTCATAGCGATCGCAGGGTCGATTGACGTGCTCGCTACCAGTGTGTGAACCAGCCCGTCCGTTCGAATTGGACTGCTTGGCCAGGTGTTGACCCGTGACAAAAACACCCGGACTTTGTAGTTATCAGATACCGGGTAGATTGGAGCATGTCGATCTGAGCGCCTACGATGCTGGTGATCGCAAGGAACAGCTGTACCTGGGGCTGACTAAGTACTGTACAAGCACATAGATAATACCCGGCGATCGGGGTGTTCAATGAACGAGATCTTCTTGATCGAACGAGGTCAGGGCCCTGGGACAAATATTCGATAGACACGACGATGCTGTGCACCGGCGCGCATGGCGAAGGCGGACGAGGGCGGCGCTCGCGATCGTTCGATATGGCTGCAGAAAACTCGGAGATTTGAGTGGGGGATGGCGACGTTAACGCGGAGCGGCGAAGAGTGTGAGATAGAGACGAAGCGCTTATGAGAGGCGACCGGGTTCGGAGGGCAAGTGCAGGGATGCATAGCTGAGGCGGACGCGCGCTGGAACAGGCCAGGTTACACCCGCAGTGAGCCCGATTCGAGCGGCGTGCTTGAGTACGGATGCATGCATGTCGGTTCAATTGTGATGCGGTCTGCGCTGACGGTGGCTGTTCGCAAATCGGCGAGCGTGGCAGGTTACGCACGAATGGAGTGTTCAAGGACAAAATACATAGGAGGATGCAGCCCGAGGGGAGAGTGGACTTCGAATCGGGGAGCAGTTCGAACGGCACGGCTGGGCAAGTCGACACGTGGGAATATGCGAATGACTCGAGGATGAGTTGAGTGATGGCGCAGGGTGGACTGCGGGGCCGTCTGAGGAGTCAGAGAAGGTCGAGGTTGGCGACGTCCGACAAGGGCGGGGAATGGTAGGTGAGGTAGAGATGGGAGAAGGACGTCGTTGTATATACATAGCAAGGCCAGAGGAAGGGCAAATAGACTGATTGCAACAGGCTCAACGTTCTCGAAGCGGGGAATGTGGGCGCGAGAGGGTGTTGGCCGGGGTTGACGCAGGCTGCACGGCTGCCCCGGGCAACCCATCTCAGATCAGAGGCCCGCCCCCCGCCCACGTAAGCCCCTCAGCGTCAGCGGATCTCCTCTCTGCCCGGCATTCCGCCGCATCCCTGCCCCCGCCCGTCGCCATTCTACCCTGCTCGACGTCGCAGGCGGTGTGCGTGTGCCTTGCAAAGCCTAATCGACGGGAACAGAGTGGTGGGGCCAACGAAGACCGGAAAACGGGAGTGCGAAGACGGTGCGAGAACTTGGCACTCGCAGCACTAGTAGGCGCCCAAGTGCCGCGTAAGATGGGAGTAGGCGCCCAAGTGCCCCGTAAGATGGGAAGTTTATATAAGTCCACACGCCCTTGGTCGGCTCTGGTCGCCCTCGCTTGACTGGTCCTGCCTCCGCCGTCGGCCTCTGCCACCACTATATAGCCCTCTCCGTTCCTAGAAGGCAACCCGCAGTTCTCTCGCGGTCCTTACTCCCCCTCTCACTATGGCGGCCAACTCGCCAGAACCCTCTTCTATCAACGAGAAGGCCGACACCACGCAGGCCCCATCCGTTCCCGCCCCTGCACCCGTCAAGAAGGGCTTCTTCTCTCGCAAGCCAAAGAACCTCGACTCAGCTGTCTCTCACGAAAAGCATAGCCAGGATGCCGTCGTCGAGGGCGCGGGCACTACTCCCGTAAAGCAGCTTCAGCCAGCTTCCTTCTTATCCCTCTTCAGGTCTCGTCCTCCTCTCCTACAGTCCCATCCTCTCCTTATTAACCTGCTCCTACCAGGTTTTCGACCAAGTTCGAGCTTATAATCGATGTCATTGGTTTGGTAGCAGCAGCCGCTGCCGGGGCTTCCCAGGTCCGTCCCCCCTCTTTTTAATTTCTGTCCTTCCGACTATCGCTCACGCCCCCGTCTGTTCCATTCATACAGCCGCTCATGTCCCTCCTCTTCGGTCGTCTCACCCAGGACTTCGTCACCTTTGGCACAGACGTTATCAATGCCCAGAATGGCGTTGCGGGTGCCGCAGAGGACTTGCCCATAGCTGCTGCCCACTTCAAGCATTCCGCTGCTCTCAACGCGTCCTACCTCGTATATATCGGTAAGCGTCTCTTTTCGCCCGCTCTTCTCCCGGTTTGGTATCTTACGTTGTTCCCGTCAGGTATCGGCATGTTCGTCTGCACCTACACTTACATGGTCGTCTGGGTCTACACTGGAGAGGTCAATGCGAAACGTCTGCGTGAGGCGTACCTTCGTGCCGTCCTCCGTCAAGACATCGCCTTCTTCGATAACGTCGGCGCTGGTGAGGTTGCTACGCGTATCCAGACCGACACCCGTACGTCGTTTCGTGAAGCTTTCTCCGCCACGGTTGGCGCTGACTCTCGCCCGCTTCACAGATTTGGTCCAGCAGGGAACCTCTGAGAAGGTCGCTCTCGTGGTCAACTTCCTGGCTGCCTTCGTGACTGGTTTCGTCCTCGCCTACGTCCGCTCTTGGCGTCTCGCCCTTGCCATGTCCTCTATGCTGCCATGTATCGCCATCGCCGGCGGTGTCATGAACAGGTTCATCTCAAAGTACATGCAATTGTCTCTCCAGCACGTCGCCGAGGGTGGCACTCTGGCCGAAGAGGTCATATCTACCGTCCGTACAGCGCAGGCTTTCGGCACTCAGACGATCCTCGCCGACATCTACGACTCTCACGTCACGAAGTCCCGCCTCGTTGACCTCAGGGCTGCGATCTGGCATGGTGCCGGTCTCTCGTTCTTTTTCTTCGTTATCTATGGCGGCTACGGTCTTGCGTTCAGCTTTGGTGTCACGCTCATTAACCGTGGCGAAGGTACGTCTATTCAGCGAGGTGTCTATTACGAGTCAGCGGTGTTCACCTCGTCCCCCAGCCAATGCCGGTGAAATCGTCAATGTTATCTTCGCTATCCTCATCGGTTCCTTCTCTCTCGCCCTTCTCGCCCCCGAGATGCAGGCGATCACCCAGGCTCGCGGTGCCGCCGCTAAACTGTACGAGACGATCGACCGCGTTCCTTCAATCGACTCCGCGTCTCCCGACGGCCTCAAGCCCGAGAAATGCATCGGCGAGATCACGCTCGAGCACGTCGACTTCAACTACCCCTCTCGCCCCGGTGTGCCCATCGTCAAGGACCTCTCCATCACCTTCCCTGCGGGCAAGACCACCGCGCTTGTCGGCGCCTCTGGTTCTGGAAAGTCAACCGTTATTTCTCTCGTGGAGCGGTTCTACGACCCCCTTGCGGGCGTCGTTAAACTCGACGGCGTGAACGTCAAGGACCTGAACGTCCGATGGCTCCGTTCGCAGATCGGCCTCGTCTCCCAGGAGCCCACGCTTTTCGCGACCACCATCAAGGGCAACGTCGCGCACGGGCTGATCGGCACCCCCCACGAGCACGCGCCGGAGGAGGAGCAGTTCAAGCTCATCAAGGAGGCGTGCGTCAAGGCCAACGCCGACGGCTTCATCTCCAAGCTGCCCCTCGGCTACGACACCATGGTCGGCGAGCGCGGCTTCCTCCTCTCTGGCGGCCAGAAGCAACGCATCGCCATCGCGCGCGCCATCGTCTCCGACCCGCGCATCCTCCTGCTCGACGAGGCGACGTCCGCGCTGGACACGCAGTCCGAGGGCGTCGTGCAGAACGCGCTGGACAAGGCCGCGCACGGGCGCACGACGATCACGATCGCGCACCGGCTCTCGACGATCAAGGACGCGGACTGCATCTACGTCATGGGCAACGGCCTCATCCTCGAGTCCGGCACGCACAACGAGCTGCTGCGCGACGAGAACGGGCCCTACGCGCGTCTCGTCGCCGCGCAGAAGCTCCGCGACGCGCGCGAGAAGCGCACCCTCGATAGCGACAGCGACACGGCCGCGTCTGCCGAGGAGGACGACGCCGCGGCGATCGAGAAGCAGGCCGCGGAGGAGGTCCCGCTCGAGCGGTCCAAGTCGGGCCGCTCGCTCGCCTCGGAGATCCTCGAGCAGAAGCAGAAGGAGCGCGCGACGGAGGAGAAGGACTACTCGCTGTACTACATCTTCAAGCGCATGGGCTACATCAACCGCGACGTGTGGAAGCAGTACCTCTTCGGGATCATCGCCGCCGTCTGCAACGGCGCGACGTACCCCTCGTACGGCATCGTCTTCGCCAAGGGCATCAATACGTTCTCGGAGACGAACAACCACCAAAGGCGGCACGACGGCGACCGCGACGCGCTCTACTTCTTCATCATCGCCCTCCTGTCCATGGTCGCCGTCGGGCTGCAGAACTATCTGTTCGCGTCGTCCGCGGCCGAGCTCACGGCGAAGCTGCGCTCGCTCTCCTTCCGCGCCATCCTCCGCCAGGACATCGAGTTCTTCGACAAGGACGAGAACAACACGGGGCAGCTCACGTCGACGCTGAGCGACAACCCGCAGAAGATCAACGGTCTCGCGGGCATCACGCTGGGTGCTATCGTGCAGAGCGCCTCGACGCTCATCATCGGCTACATCATCGGCCTCTCGTTCAACTGGCAGGTCGGTCTCGTCGGCATCGCGTGCACGCCCGTCCTCGTCTCGGCTGGATACATCCGTCTCGTACGTCGAAGCAGCATTCGTGTCCTTGTTTCATTCCAGCTAACTTCATTTTGTGCAGCGTGTCGTCGTGCTCAAGGACCAGCAGAACAAGAAGGCGCACGAGGCGTCCGCCCAGATCGCCTGCGAGGCCGCCGGGGCCATCCGGACCGTCGCGTCGCTCACCCGCGAGGACGACTGCTGCCGCCTCTACAGCGAGTCTCTGGAAGAGCCCCTCCGTCGTTCGAACCGCACGGCCATCTACAGCAACGGCATATTCTCCCTCTCGCAGTCGATGGCCTTCTTCGTCATCGCCCTCGTCTTCTGGTACGGCTCCAACCTCGTCGCCGACTTCAAGCGCTCCACCTTCCAGTTCTTCGTCGGTCTTATGGTGCGTCTTTGTTCGACATCTCTCCATTTTTTACTCTTGAACTGATCATGTTTTTCCTCTTCACAGTCGACGACCTTCTCGGCTATCCAGGCCGGCAACGTGTTCTCGTTCGTCCCCGATATCTCCTCGGCCAAGTCAGCGGGGTCGGATGTCATCAGGCTGCTCGACTCCAGGCCCGAGATCGACGCCGAGTCGACTGAGGGTGACGTCCCCAAGAACGTGCAGGGCCGCATCCGGTTCGAGAACGTCCACTTCCGCTACCCGACCCGCCCCGGTGTCCGCGTGCTCCGCGACCTCAACCTCACCGTCGAGCCCGGTACATATGCCGCTCTCGTCGGCGCCAGTGGCTGCGGTAAGAGTACGACGATCCAGCTCATCGAGCGTTTCTACGATCCGCTCGCTGGCGCCGTCTACCTCGACGAGCAGCCGATCACGAAGTACAACGTCTCCGAGTACCGCAAGAACATCGCGCTCGTGTCCCAGGAGCCCACGCTGTACGCCGGCACCGTCCGATTCAACATCCTCCTCGGGGCGACGAAGCCCAGGGAGGAGGTCACGCAGGAGGAGCTCGAGGAGGCGTGCCGCAACGCGAACATCCTCGAGTTCATCAAGTCGCTGCCCGACGGTTTCGACACCCAGGTCGGTGGTAAGGGTTCGCAGCTGTCTGGCGGCCAGAAGCAGCGTATCGCCATCGCCCGTGCTCTCCTCCGCAACCCGAAGGTGCTCCTGCTCGACGAGGCGACGTCTGCGCTCGACTCGACCTCGGAGAAGGTCGTACAAGAGGCGCTCGACCAGGCCGCGAAGGGCCGGACAACAATCGCCATCGCGCATCGACTATCCACCATCCAAAATGCTGATATCATGTGCGTATTCTCGTCGTCGCTGTCTTTGATCGATACTGACCCTGGTCGTCCAGTTACTTCATTAAAGACGGTGCTGTCAGCGAATCTGGTACACATGACGAGCTCCTCGCGCTCAAGGGCGGCTACTATGAGTTCGTGCAACTACAAGCATTGAGCAAGAAGTAGAGAGCGCCGCCACGCATTCGTTTTCCCTTCGTTATCGCATTATGTTCGTAATCCATACCTAGAACGTGACGAGACAACTGTGCGCTATGACTGGCGTGTACGTATATTTACCTTAATACCCCTCATTGCGCCCATTTCCACTAGTCATCCCTCCATCCACCAGCAGTCGTCGGATATCGGCGACGCTGCCCCTTGCTTTGTCCGATACATCGTCGCACCTCCCGCAGCCTCGCCGTATCTCCCCATTTCAGCGTTATGACCCTCACGATGCAGTGTTTTCTCAAGGACGTTCCTCGCTCGGTCTTGTGGGTTACGTGTCGTGCAGCTGTGTAGCACACTGAGCAATACAGTCTTCCATTCAATCAATCGGAATATCATGGTGTCGTTGCTACTTGCACATGGAGGTAGGTGCCGATGTTCGGATGTTTTGTGTAGGCCTCTTGAGGTAGCTGGAAATAATTGACTGGAACGGCGAAGCCCAATACATGAGCGGGAGGAGCGTGGATTTGAAAGGAGGAAATGACACTATCGTAAGCAGGAAGCGAAGATACAAACCCACCATTCAGGGTGCTTCCCTACTGCAGGAGAGCCTCTCCACTGAACGACAGATACGAGTGCATTAAGGGGTTGGTAAGGCACGGGACAAGTCACTGAAGTCCATAGAGGCCGACCCTCTCTCATGTAGAGTCTCGATGCATGCGCTCCTACTCAATACCTTTCACGCATGACAGCAACAAACTGTTATAACCGTCGAAAGTTGCGCTATTCAAGGTTTTGTATAAAAGTCAAGATTAGAACAAAGTAAAATGTTGCAATTGTCATCTGGCAGGGAACTGTATCAAGTACTATCGACAATAGCTAGCTAACATACATGAATACCTGGGAGAGACAGATGATGGTCAGGAGTACAACAAGAAATCTAAGCAACTCGATGGTATTCATGCTCCGTAAGAAGCTGCACGTCTCACTCTTGGCTTTCGAGAGCTCCCCCTGCCCGTCTCTGACGTCGTGCGCGTGCGAGTAGTCTTGGATGCTGTACCAGCAGCGACTACCCTCGCACCTCCCCTACCCTTCCCCCGTGCAGTCGCTTTCTCCGCTGCTCGGTCTTTCTGCCTCTTCTCCTCCGCTACACGCACCTCTTCCTCCCTCTTCTTCACCAGCCGCTCGCTGCGTCTCCTGCCTTCCGAGGGAGACCGTGCACACTCAAGCACTCGATCATCCTTCGTGGCCGCCTGCTGTACGCGAGCACGTCCAGAACGGAAACGCTTGGCCATCCGGGATTCAGCGTCCGGATTCGGCTCGGACGACGGACGTTTCCTCGACTCCTGTTTTGGGCGATCCGATGTGTGAGATGGGACGAGGGGTGGAGTATGACTGGATTGCAGATGATGCGATGGCGGTCTTGAAGCGGGAGGGGTAAAACCATCTTCGCGCGGCGAGCGGAGAACGTGTACGAATCGATTGTCTCGTTCCAATGTGTGCGTCTGGAGGAAGGTAGCCCAATACACATCAAGATGCTCTGGATTAGACCACTTATCCTGATCTCTGCCCTTCCACCTGTCGCCAGAGCTGAGGAAGTCTGCGACGGTGTTGATCCACTCCCCGAGATGCTTACTGCCGAATTCGATAGTCGAGGTATACGATCGAAACATGACGTTCATCACCTTGGCGCCCCCTCCTCGCACAATACCAGGCCCGAAGGGCATCCGCTCGTCGAAAAATTCAGCGACGAACTTTCGGAGTTCCTCCAGAGTTAGGTTGTGAGGTTGATACATCAGGGCGCACCATAGGACGACATAGAAGAGAGCTTCCATGTCGTCTTGGAAGGTGTGCTTGAGCTCGTAGTCGTCGGGTCTCAGCATCCGTCTCGAAAGGTATCGCCATGTGCCCTAGGTGATTTCCGCTTAAGAATCTAGTCTGACCAAGCGAGAGTACAAGGTGACTTACAGCACGCCCCACTTCGCGAGCCTCGCCAACATCATCCACTTTGCATGATACCTCCCAATCGATCAAGTATCCTTTTCGAATCGGGTGGTCGGGATGCTTGACCAAGATGATATTACCGACGCTCAAGTCCCTATGGATGCGGGAGTCCTTCGCGAACGCGTCCCTCATGGCTAGGTGACATTGAGCAAACTTGCCTCCGGGAAGCGGGGTATGCTGACGTACCAATATATACATCATAACCTGCATGGAGAAGCTCTTCTGCACCACGGAGACGTGAGACGCCGTATCCGACGGTCCCCAGGACTACACGATAGTGGCGTCTCCTGGAGATGTGAACCTTGCGTTGATTCACTTGGCACAACCAAGACGCCGATCGTACTCTATCCGTCGAGGTCCTTTGGTAGTCCCTGGCTGGTCAACGTCAGTCAGTCAACGAAGGGGTAGAAGATGATCGAACCGTACCAGTGGGTCGCTCGGACGAGTGAGTTGACTCGCAAACATCGCCGTGCCAGGCCAGCAACGGGACGTGGCGCACTCCAAGATCGTTGAGGCGCTGCAGGGTATGAGCTTCCAATTCTTCCACTGCAGTCAGACGCCAAGTGTCCTTGAGGAACGCGACCGAGCGCGTGACCACATCCACGGCCCAATAGCCTCTTGTGCCCCGTCCAACCAAAGTGAGTGGCGAAATGACTGGGCGGGAGACGAGGTAGCGACGCGTAGTGTCCATGCTGGCCGGCAAATCCTGGCGTAGAATGTCGATGGTATAGACATGTCCTGGGGAATAATGCTCCCGGACGGCCTCTTCGATGGCCGGATCGTCGAGTTCAAGTTGGGCGCGAACCTCAATTCTGAGGGCGTTTAGGAAGAGTGATTGCTCGTTGGGCGGGGCGAGCTGCACAGAGGTGTCATGGCCACGACCTGCGTTTGACGTCTGAGAAAAACGCCATAGGAATTCGCATAACGTCTCGGGATATTTTCGAATGTCGAAGGCCTCAGTGACCACGCAACCTGACCGATCCCAACGGAGAAGTCGCGCGGAAGAGCCAGACAGGGAAATGGAGAAGAGAAAGGTTCGGAATTGTCGAGCAAGAATTTCAGTCACAAATGCGACATGCTGTCCGAGGGTATGGATGGCATTGACAGGATCATCTTCCACAAGACGTAGAAACTCATGAGAGTCGCGCAATTCGTCATTGATGTTCGAAGGCGGGTCGATGAAGAAATCGTCCATGGGGTCCGGCTTCATGTCTATGAATAGCTCGGCGTAGCCCAGCTCGACGCGAGACTCGAAGGAGGAGTTATGAACGGCTGCTACATTATCGGAAGCGTAGCAGCAGATCCCGGGTTTCATGAAGCCCGGTTCCCTAGGATGTAGACTGCGTGTGGCAGCGACCTCGAAAACAAATCCAGGACAGCGAGCTTGCTTGGGTGTGCATTTGTTCAGAGCAGGAAGCTACCCATTTCAGACAATGAAACGACAGATGCGAAATAGAGACACTCACCAAACGGCTACACATTTCGTCGAATGCGGCCCAACGCACGGGCACATCCTTGAAAGCATTCCTGCTCCGAGCTTTCCCGCTCTTGTTTTCCTGAGAGCTCAAGGGTAAAAAGGTATCAAGAAAGTCGTCAGGAGGCATGGGACCCAGTAGATGGTCTAGACAGTCGCTGAGATGCTGGTTATTGCGCTCCATAGCAGAGCTGGGGTCTAAGCCACGTGTGCGAGACAAAGTGGAGTCGAGAGCCATAGGAACATCATAGACGCACGACTGAGTAGCCATCTCATCGGGGAGCAAGCCAACAGTTCCGACAGCGAGTGGCGGGGGAGGACGAGAGCGGCGATGGGGAACGAGGTGTGTGGCTTTGGACAAGCTGCAGTTCGGAGTCAAGCGCTCGAACACCCGAGCGTCGACCTTGGGTGCTCTAATTAGCGCTTCGGACTACCGACTCAACACAGGGCTGCCAGCTGTCTGATCCACTCAATGTGCTTACCCATAATAACGACGTATAGTCACCGAATGCATTCAGGTAAGATATTTGCATCACACGCAAGCCCCGCTGCCAGTCGGTCCACGGTACAAGTATATATGGTCGTGCGAGTGACCAATGGTGTACAGGGGTACTTAAGAATGTTAGTCGTCGCGGGACCACACTACACAGCACCTGACGAGCTCCAGCCCCCGCAACTCCGTCTTGGAATCTCCTTCTCTGACTCCTGAACCACATATATGAGTGTCGATAAACAATCGACATGGGACGGCGAATGGAGCGCTTACCCGTCCGCCGCCTGACAGCCTTGCTGCCCACGCAGATGTGTTTCTTCTTTGCGGCAAGGGAGAGAGGGGAGGGGAGGGAAGGGAAGAGGGAGGAAATTCCGAATTGAAGGAGGAGTGGGATTGATGAGGGTGGGGGGCGAAGGAAATGTCATGGTCATTGGAAGCCAGCATCTCGTGTCGGCTGGGACGTAAAAGCTAGTGATCGCGAGGCGAAAGTTGGTGGGCGTGACCTCCCCTGGACGTTCTCCCTTAAAGTGTACCATCCCACTCAATGCCAAGGTCTCTCGAAGACGAACCCGCGACTCCATAGGGTGAGTAGTCGTCCATATCGTCTCCTGAGATACTCGCATCTCCGCCGGGCACAGTAAGTGAAGTCGAGGACGACATTGTATGACTAGTACTTCGGTAGCTGTGGTAGTTCCACGCAGGCGGTCGCAGAATTGTTTCTCCACCTTTGCGCGCACGCTTAGGAGCTGGAGGACCGTCGCTGTTGCCTGTGGATGGTATCTCCGTGTCGTCCTCCAATGGGCGTTTGTTGATTCTCCGGCTGGCTGAGCTGCTTGCCGCCGGAGTCGTAGATTGATGAACAGGCTTGTTCAACGCGGTTAGGGGCTTCTTAGACTTGAAGACATGCTTGATAACCTCGACCTTCGTATTGTCGTTCCGTTCGCTGATCTTGGAACCTTGCTGAGCTTCAAGAAAATTACCATACCACTCATAGAATGCCTCCAGAGGCGAAACATGGTCTTCCCTCCAAGTACAGTAGTCCAGAGCCTTGGATATCCACTGCTGTATGGCAGGAGTCGCCCATTCCAGGCGTCCTGTATAGGTTTGGTCCAGCAGATTAGTGGCTTTGTGCACCCCGCCCGAGGGGGCACCACCGTCTGCATAGCAGAACCAATAGTCAAACATCTGTAAGGCAATATTGATTTGATGCGGCAAATCTCGATCAGATGGGTGTTTGAAGGGGAGCCAGAGAAGAGCGCAGTACAGGACGACATAGGTCAAAGACTCCATGTCATCCTGGATAGTATGTGTAATCGTCATGGCGGTACGACGTAGTTGTGAAGCGACAGTGACAGACAAGAATTGCCATGTCGCCTATTGATAGTCAGCACACTATGAAAAGGCAGGTTGTTGAGCCAGAAGACTTACCGAGACTGGCAGGTCTTCGACGTTTGTTGAATGCGAGCTCCCATGCTCACATTTCCTGGAAAGCTCCCAGTCAATGAGGTACCCCCTGCGGCACCTCTTTGCATGGCGCTTCTCGGATTCTGACTCAGAGTCAATGTCACGGTAAAGGATGATGTTCCCAGGAGTGATGTCTCGATGGAGACGTTTCTCGACATCATACGCACTCTTCAGCGCTGCGGCGCAAGGTCAGCTGGAAGGGCAGCTCTAGAGCATATTTGCACTAGTACCTTTCAGCGCATCGTATGCACCATGCAGGAGCTCTTCAGAGTGGCGAAAACGTTGAAGAGGGTAACCGGCGGCTCCCAGTACCAACCGGTGATGGATTCGTCTTATTACAAGTTGTTTCATCCGGCCAAGGGTACGTCCTCCTCGACAAACCCAGGGACACTCAAGATAGTCTTGAGTCAACGTAGTCTGCACATCGCCTGCAGGAATGGCATCAGCTTTCGAACAGACACATATTGAGCTGTCATACCTGACGTGTATTGGATCTCAAGTAGCTGACCGTCTTGCAGGTCATCTGCGACGACAACGGACTTGAGGACGTCCTCTTCGTGCATCACAGGGGGTACGTGTTTGGTAATTGCACTCAATGCACGAAGTATCTGGCCTTCAGTCTCTTGTCTGTATTGCCCAACGTCGTACCGCCATGTATCCTTCAACAGCTGTACTTGCTTTGTGCGTGAATCGACTGCCCAGTAGGTACGGGTACCACGACCCGTGACAGACAATGGGACGGACATGGGTCGAGACACAAGCAAGTAGTGGCCATCTTGTTCGAAATACGGGGAGTCCGGCAGATGGATGGCAGTGACAGACTGCTCGTCGAAATGCTCCTTCAGGGCATCCCGAGCGTAGAAATTGCGAGAAATGACGCCCTGCTGAGCAATGTGCTTTTCTACGGCACTCCTGAACTCAGTCACTTGTTCTGGAGTGGCAGGTTCGACAGTCAGGTCATAACCCCGGGTAGTGTGAGAGGCAGATGCAAATCGCCACAAGAACTCGCACAAGAGCTCAGGTTTCTCTCGCACGTTGAACCTCTCCGAAACAATAGCTCCTGCGCGATCCCAGCGGATGAGACGAATGAACTGGCCAGTCATGGAAATCGAGAAACAGCAATGTCGGTGTTGCCGTTTGCAGGTCTCGCTGGCGTAGGCAACGATCTGACCTAAGCGCCTTCGGGCTTCCTTGGAGTTGGACTGGGTGATGAAACTCCATTTGTTGCGATCGGAGTCAGGAGAGCTCGGGTCACAGAAGACGTCTTCATGAGAAGTCGCCTTGACCTCAACGACCAGGGCAGCGTATCCCATGTCGGTGCGCTTCACAGGGACAGTGACAGGCTGATTCGCGGGGGCACTGGCAGGAACGGGCGGGCGTACACCATGACTTTCCCATTCGGGAAGTCGACCGTCTCCACCTGCGCTTCCGCGCTCATGGGGTCCTGTGTGGACAACGCGCCCACGCTTGCTTGACCCGCTTCGAGCGCCGCCGCGTGCACTCCTGCGCATCCCGGAGGCTGGAGAATCGCCTTGATCCTCAGTAATGGAAGCTCCGTTCGGCCCTCCTTCCGCGTCGCCAGTTCCGCGGGTCCTGGCCTGCTTCAGAGCAGGAGTCTCTATTCTATCGAGGTGCTCGTTCGCATAACCGCAAACGTCTGGCTTGACATGTCCTGCCTTGCCTTCGGAGGGATCGCTGGTATCCTCGTGCAAATGGGTGTCGCAGAAAGTGAAACCAGGACATCGCCCGGCCGCGTTGATCGCTCTCGCCTGGGGGAGATTCGTTTCATAAACTTATAGCTCCATACAATAACAGCCTCACGCACCAATGGCTCGTAGAAATCTTCCTCTTTAGCCCCCTCTGTAGGCACAGCATCGAAGGCACCTGCTGGAGAGGGCATATATCCTTTGACTCCCACTTCATCGAGGCTTAGGAACTCGTCTATGAAGGCCATCGGAGGCATAGGTCCCAAAATCCATCTATTTGCTTCATCGGCTAACCGGATATAACGATCGTCTGACGTCTTCAGAGCGAAGCCGTAGGTCTGACCGCTTGTCTCAGTCATTGTGATGTGCGCTACGGGGACGTTCCAAGCGCCGCCTCCCGATCCTTCCTTCCTGAGCGCACGACTCTGGGTGGTCTGGGACCATTGAGAGGACTGGGACAACTGGGAAGCTGGATCGTTGGTGGTGTAGGGAGAATCGGCGTGGTGTATTTCGTGCCTAGAAGACTAGGCCATCGGCAATTAGCTTCCCCGTATCTGAATTAAGACAATGAAGGCATATGTACGTATACTGATTTCGGCGGCATGATCTCAATCCGGGCCAAGGGATCTGTAGGGCAGTAGGAAAGAATCCGAAGGATACAGTAGGGGAACGGTGTGAGGGGGGAATCTCGGGGCGTTAACCATTTGACCGAGCTTACATGGTATGGCTGTCACCCGAACTCATGGGAACTTCTTCACGTGTCGCCATGAGAAAGCTACTGCACTGCAGCCGGAAGAGCGTATGTATAGCCTGCGACGAGGCAGTTGGGAAGCGGTGTTCGGCGCCGTATACCGAGAGATTTTACTTCAGTACTCAACTTGCCCCATATCCACTGCATTGAATACCACTGCACCGTCTCTGACCCTAGCGGGATCAAGGTATTCGGAACGCGAGATGATGAGACTACAAAATGTTGAGTAGTGACAGTTCGATCTGAGTGCCTGATAGACACGGTAGCCGACGCTACCGCTGCAAACGGATGACTTCCTCAGCGCCCGCACCTGTTGCAACAACGCCATCGCCTTCTTCTCCTCAGGCTCCATCACCACAGCCCGCTTCTGCATATACGTCGCCCGGTACTGCACCTTCATCAGCGCCGGCTTCGACACGTACAGCAACGATGCCTGCAGTTTCTTTGGCAATTTCAGTGAGGTGAAGCGTCGTGCAGACCGCCCCACTGGCTTATACGTCGAGCTGACGTTCGTGTGAATCTTGTGGCCCTGATCGTGCCGCACTGCACCCATGAGGCGATTCCCCTCCAAGTGTTGCTGGCTCAATTGTAGCAGGGACGTCACCGGGTGGTAGAACGTGCGGGGCTGGGTCGAGAATCATGCGCGAAGGAAGACGATGTGTAGAGAAACCCGAACATCTATGAGTACACGTGGACACGAATAGCACAGCAATACGCCGGCACTCCGACATGAGCCACGTAAAGTACAAGACAGTAGACACGCACCGCGTATCAGGATCAGTTCTCGAGCGCTGCTCGGAACGCCCCGCTGGGCTTAGACAGGGCCTTCTTGACCTGCCCCTTATCCCCGACACGGCACGGATGTTCGTGCCCTCGAACTGCGCGACCTCCAGAGCCGAGTTGGATGTGTTTGATGGACACCGTAGTCTTCGATATATTGAACGGTACACCCGTTGGCTTCGTCTCTATACGGTGCATGTCGGTCTTCTGATGTTGAGCAGAGAAGACAAGAGAGCTATGCGTCTTGAGCTTCTTCGCAAGTCACCAGTAACATTGAATACGGACCTAGGCGAAGCCGAAGCACTGTTCGTCGGGTAGGAGCTGCCAGACGTTGAGGAGGTATGTTGGGACGACGCTTTCGGCCATCTCCGCCGCGATGGACGTGAGCTCAACGTAGACGTGCGTCCCGGGCCGATAACCTTCCAGGAGCGCTCACGTTTCGGGATTTATGCCTTCAATCCGGGGCGGTTGAGCTGCTGTTGGCGGGCCATCGTGTCCTTTGCCTCGGTGTAAAAGTCGATCTCTGTCGTGTTTACTTCGTCGTACTGCCTTTCAAGTTGCGCTTCAACTTGGCCTTCTCGGCAACGGGGGCGGGTGCAAGGTCAGCGAACGCGACGAACCGCCTAAGGAGGCTCTTCGTCCTCAAGCGTCGCGTTCAGGTCCTGGAGACCGATGACCGTCTTTCTGTATACCCCCGGGATCTGCCGAAAGATGGGGTTAAAGAACGACGGTTAAGAGATAACGCCACTTGTGGTTTGTGAATATATGAGGTAATCTTACTTCTTACGCCATGCTCGTTGACGTTCCCGGGCATGTTGACATAGAGAACACCCTGGTCGTAAATGACGCCATCGACGTTGCTCATTGGAGCATGGGACGAGCAGTTTCTTCCCGCTCAGCTTGCGTCACTTCTCCGTCTCAGCTTCAGGCGGGGGCCAGGATTCCCTAGGATCTGGACGCTCTTGAAGACCATAGCATGTTCGTCCAATCATCCTTGTCCTTGGTTGCATTAACCTCCTCGCGGAGAGTGATCTTGTCGAAGTGTCCTAAAGCACGTAGGGGTATTGATCAAGTGAAGATGAGGCGATGAGAACTCACGTCTTCTCTTCGAGGGACTCCGCACCCCGATATGTTGATAATGTCGGGCAAACCATGGGCTTGGAGAGCGTGAGCCGTCAATCACGACCAAAGCGCGACCAGCCAATGTTGCATAGAAGACATCTCAGCGAAGTAGATACCAATCAACCAACACAAAGCAACAGTTCAGCGATAACGAGGCCTGTGTGCAGGTGGCCCTAACATTGACACAGTAGGCACCTCAAGTGCAACCTCGACAAGCCTCGTACCACACACAGACCATCCAGCTTGATCCTATTCTCTGCGGACGTCTCAGAAAGGTGATTAACTGTAAGGTAGTGAGGGAGGATGTCGTGACTGCGATGATGGCAGTGGGACTCACTAGTCAATAGGACAAGGAATCCGAGATATGAGGGAACATCGAACGATGTCCCTGGACTTCCTCAGTGTAGACACCCGAAGTGACCCTCTCATTCATGAACTGCCCCCAAACACGCGGTAGGATGGCCGTCACGCTGACCTCCCAGTAGTCAGGAAGCCAGCCGGCCGACTCCCAATCAAAGATGCCACAGACATGCCCGTCCGGGCCGACCATGATATTGTGCGGGTTCAAATCGCCGTGCGTGAAGACGACGGCATGTGTAGGATGCGCGAAGAGCTGTTCAGCAGGGGCAACGTCCTTCTTATCTTTCGCGGCAAAATTTCCTATGTACCGAATCTGCTGGTAGAAGGCCGCCTCGTCTGTGGATGCCGGAAGCTGGGATAGAGGAATAAGAGGCCCCGCCACAGGTCCGCCATCGACGCCACAAATGGAAGCGCCCCAAGGACTGGAGAAGGAGCGCATCAAAGTGAGAATGCGCACGAGGTCATCCTTCACGAGGTCAAAGTCGATGTCCTCGTTGCTGAACGCATCCAGCTCGATCCCTGGGAGCCTCGTCATGAGGAGAGATGGCATGGGAGATAACATACTGCCACTGAAGACGTGGCCGGAGGGCGGTTCAGCGAAGGAGATGAACCTGGGTGCAGGGACACCCATAGCGCGCGCGAGGTTCATCGCAATGCCCTCTTGCTCCCGTACGCGGGGCCCGTTCTTGAGGAGGAGACCGAAGGGGAGAGGGTATATGCTAGGATGCGTCCTGATGCCACGGAAACGACAGTACGCAGTCGAGAGTGGCTTCAGAAGCCACTCATGAATGTAGAAACAGATTCTCCTGGAAAGAACGGAAGAGGGACGAGGAATGCGAGGACATGGTAGAGGCTGGAGGTTGTGCAGAGTTTGCGGAAAGAGTGGCTTCGGGTGGCTTGCGGCTTGCAGCATCGTCGCGGATAGGATAGAGAGAGCGTTAATCGCCCTCAGCAGCTGGCGTGAGTTGCGTGATCGTGGGAATGGCTCTGGCCTCCATCAGGACATACTTATGCATCCAGTTCTTCGACAGACACTCACCTCGCCGTCAGTAATCTTGAGGTTGCCTTCGTGCACTGTGCCTCGACTCTGATCATCGGCTACATCGTCGGTCTCTCGTTCAACTGGCCGGTGGTCCTCGTCGGTACCCCCTGAGTCCTCGTCTTGGCTGAGTATATACATCCTTCTCGTGCGTTTTCTCCGGACGCAGCCGCTCGTTTCACTTGAGCTAACTTGATATGTGGCAGCGCGTCGTCGTGCTCGAGGATCGGTGGAATGAGAAGGCAAACGAGGCGTCCGCCCAAACTGGCAGTAGGTAAGAAATGAGTGATCGAGTGGCACCTATCGTGATGGCGCCCAAGGGCAGTACCGGTGCACAGACACTAGACAAACCATTCAAGTTCATGGCAGAAGTCCTCATCCTGTTGGTTAAGACTTCCCACATATGCCCGCTCAGTCAACCGTCGACTCACGCCTTCAGATCGGCGCCATCTACCTCCTCCTATTCATCCGGGATCGCGATATCGACAAGGGCTTCCACTGGGCACTATACCACCACCGCACCCTTACTGGTTTTACAAGTTCAACGTGAAGCAGATGGGGTCAGGCTGGATCTGTGACAGCGCCCCCAACAACGGCATCATGCATTCCTTCCTCCTCGACGGCGCCCTGTGTATCGGCTTCTGCGACCCCGCAGAGGCAGACGCGCTCGCGTGGATCGATCGCGTGTGTTTGACGGAGCCCCCCGCTCCGTTTGACACGTTCACATGTCGAACGTGGACCATGCACTGTGTGCGTGGCCTTATCAAGCAGGGCTTTGTCAAGTGTGACGACCCCGACGCCTTGGAACAAGAGGCCAAAGCCTGGGGGGTGCTCCACCACCAGAGTGCCCACGACGGAGTGATGCCCCGCCCCATTAACGATTCGAAGGTTTGCAAACTTTAAGCAGGCTAGTTTATATGTACGTGAGCCCTTCTTGAATTCTTGCAGGTTGACGCAATGAACACTGATCATGCCACATGCAGATATCTGCTATTCGTCTGGAAGATACATAACTTCGATAGCTACCACGCTACTGTTCGAGTCTTAGCAGCTCAGAGCTTACTGATCTTGATTCTTCGCATTCCTTACCACATCAACTAGTGTAATATGATCATCGCATCGGGATTGTTGCCCACGTCCGTCGGGACCTTGCCATTCTCCGATCCCACAAAAGTTGAATACCGGCAACATTGCTGAATGGTTGTTCGGTCCAGAACAGCTGAAACACGGGCCCCCGCAGAGAGCCAAGCACTGACATTCTCTTCCCGTCGCATCTCAATTCGACGGCAAGGTGATCTATCATGTCTTTCTGCGTTTGCCGCTCCGACTACCGTCCAAGGCATCCCCTTCACGCTTGCTCTTCAACCCCGCCGCACGCATGTACTCCTTCCGCCTTTCCTTCTCTTTCTCACCCTTCTTCGCCTCCTCCTTTTCTACCTTCTTCCGGTGTGCAGCCTTCCGCTCCTCCTGCTTCTCACGCCGCCTCGCGACCTGGTCCTTCCTCAGCGCCCGCACCTGCTGCAATAACGCCATCGCCTTCTTCTCCTCAGGCTCCATCACCACAGCCCGCTTCTGCATATACGTCGCCCGGTGTTGCGCTCTCATCAGCTTCGGCTTCGACGCGTACGGCAGCGATGCTTGCAGCTTCTTCGGCACTCTCAGTGGGTTGAAGCGCCGTGCAGGCCGCTCGACAGGCTTGTACGTCGAATTGACATTCGTGGGAGTCTTGAGGCCCTGTTCGCGCCGCACTTGACCCGTAAGGCGCATCCCCTCCCAGTGCTCCTTGTCTGATAGCAGGAGGGATGTCACAGGATTGTAGAACTTGCGCGGCTGGATCGAGTACCACGCGCGAAGGAAGACGATGTCTAGAGATACAAAAGCGTTGCTATGAGCACATCCACGGATAGCACAGCAGTATGCTGGCGCTCTGGCACGAGCCACGCAAGGTACAAGGACAATAGACACGCACCGCTCATCAGGATCTTGTCCTCGAACGCCGCTCGGAACGCGCCATCGGGCTTAGGCAGGGCCTTCTTCACCTGGCCCCTGATTCCAGAAACCGTCCGGATGTTCGCCCCCTCGAACTTCGCGACCTCCAGAGCCGAGCTGAACATATCCTTGATGAACGCCGTGTTCTTGAAGATCTTGAACGGCACGCCCGTAAGCTTCAGCTTCTTCACGATGCGCGTCGACCTGTCAATGTCGAGCACCACGCCCGTCGCGCTCACACGGAACCCAGGGGTGTCCCGGCTCAGCGCGTTGAACGCGCAGAAGCCCGTGTTCGGGAGGGCGGCAGGGCCGTAGAACGTAGCGTAGCAGTGCATGTGCTCCGGCGTGTACTTAAGCATCCGCATGCGGATCGAGTGATCGTCCAGCGAGTAGATAGGGACCGTCTGGAAGCGCCGCCAACCGAGGGAGAAGATGAGCGGGTCGTTCGTCTTGAGCGTCTTCGGAAACCATCGGTGACGCTTGATGCGGACCTGGACGTAGCCGAAGCGTTCCTCTGCAGGAAGGAGACCACCCACGACGAGGGGATACGTGGGGTCGAAGTTCTCGACCATCTCCGAGGGGACGGACGTGAGCTCGAGACGGACGTACGTCCCAGGCCGATAACCCTCAAGTAGCGCTCGTGCGTCCGGGTCGACGCCCTCGAACTCGGCGCGGTTGAGCTGCTGCTGTCGGGCCATCGCCTCCTTCGCCTCGGTGTAGAAGTCGGCCTTGGCCGCGTCCGGCTCGTCGTATTGCTCGTCGAACTTGCGCTTGAGCTCGGCCTTTTTCGCGGCGAGAGCAGTCGCGTCCTTGTTCGGAGACGGTTTGGATCCGCCGTCGCCCTCACCGTCGTCCCCGTCCTCATCTTCGTCTCCTACGTGAGACCCGTCCTCGTCGTCCATCTCCTCGTACGGTTCCCCATTCGAGTCGACCCCCTCGGCGGGCTGGGCTGACGACGAGCCAGTGATGAACAAGTGTCGGATGGAATCGAGGAGCTCCTCGTCCTCCCACTCCGCCAGCTCCTCGACGTTGACCGGTTCCTTCGTGCGATCGAGTTCTTCCTCAATCTTGGCTGGGGCACTGCTCTTGAGAGTGAAGAAATCATCGTCATCCATGCCGGCCGCGTTCGACGACGACTCTCCTCCACCATCCAGACCCAGTATGGACTCGGGCGAAGCCGTCGAGTTGTAGATGAGCTTTGTCCAGTCTCGTCGTTTTGAAGCGCGCGCCGTGTTCTGAAATGCCGCCTGAGCCTTCTCGCTGAGGTTCGCCTTCCACCTTGGGACGTCCTCCTCATCCGACGCCTCCTCCTCCGCGTCCTCATCACTAGGGACGTCGTACGCATCGTCCCCCTCGAAACGCACAAAGCGTCGAGACGGCCCAGGATCGTCGTCATCTTCGCCGCCCAAGTCCGAGTCGCTCTCCGCATAGTCGACCTGACCGCGCTTGCCCCCGCCCGACGACGGCAGGCCTTGCATGGACCGCCGGACCGTACGCGGCGCTGAGCGACCCCGATCCCCCAGGCCCTCCTCGTCTTCCTCAGCACCCGACCCATGATCCTCGTACTCCTCTTCCGAGCCCAAGCCCTCATCCTCCCCACTGAAGTCCCCTTCCTCCTCGTCTTCGCTGTAGTCCTCTTCCGAGCCGGACTCATCCGAAGTCGCGCTACTTGACCGGAGAGTACTAGGGCCCGCTTCAGCCTGCACAGCCAGCGGACGCGACGACGAGCCGAAAAGCCTGATTTGACTCTTCGCCACTGCGTCCTCGAGCGTCGCGTTCACGTCCTGGAGGTCGAGGACCATCTGCTCGCCCTCGCCGGGGTCTGCCGGACGATGCGGTTAAAAGATCGCGGTTAACCAATAACGCCACTTGTGCTTTGCGAATATGCAATCTTACTTTCTACACCGCCCTTGGTGAAGTTCCCGGGCACGTTGATATACACCGCGTCCTTGTCGTAGATGACGCCTCCCACGTCGCTCATGGGCGCGTGAATGAGCAGCTTCTTCTTCTCGCTCAGCTTGCGTCGCTTCTCCGATTCAGCATCGGGCAGAGGACAGGGGTCGCCTAAGATCTGCACGCTCTTGACGTCGAGGTCGCCGACCCCGGGCACGTGCACCTTCGTGCCCAGACGGTAATTGGTGCCGCGCAGATAGCCGTAGAGGGTGACCGTGCGGTCGCACTTGCCCTTGGACGCGCGGACGTCCTCGCGGGGGGTGAGATCTTCGAAGCGGTCTGCGAGCATGTAGGGGTGCTGGTTGCGGAAGACGAGGGGGCGGAACTTCATGACGGAGATGAAGCGGGAGAGGTTGAGGATCTCAGTGTCGGGGTAGCGGCCGTTGAGGACGCCGGAGAGGTAGAAGAGCTTCGCGCCCTGGTAGATCTCCGTCCAGAAGCGCTTCTTGAGTGCCTTTTTGGTAGCGCGGAGGGTGGCGGCCTTCTTGACGAGGTCGAGGTGGGTGAGGACGCCGATAACTTTTGGGAAGCCGTGGGCTTGGAGGATGTTGAGGAACTCGAATGTTTCCTGAGAGTGCCGTTAGCGCAAAACTTAGGGCATCATAAGACTCGCGCTCACCATCTCGAAGCCGTACGAGCCGTCAATCATGAGGAGAACCAGGTCTGCGACCTTGGCAATGTCGATCATGGAGTTGAGGTCATTATTGCATTCGATGAATGTGATGCGCTTCTTCTTCCCACTGACGACGGTGACAGGGCCGTGTATGTGGTTGAGGGTCTGCTTAGTGTAGCGCCTGATGAGGGACTTCATGAGGGTGGTCTTGCCGACGCCGGGAGGACCGACGACGGCGACGACGGTGGGAGGGGGCTGGTCATCCGGAGTGCGGTCGACGAGGGGAACATGGAGGCGAGTCTGGTCGCGCTCTGCGGTGCGGCGGCCTTGCCTGTCTGCTTTGCGGCCGGACCTGGGCGCGAATGCCTGGAGGACAATGTAAGGAAGGTGTAATTATGCGACGAGGGAGGGACGCACCTTTTCGTTGAAGCCATGTTGCTTCTCCTTGCCCTTGCCCTTTGCGGACTTTTTCTTCTCTGCCTTTGCGCCCGACTGGGACGGCCGGTGGGCCTTGTGCGTCTGCGAGTCCATGGGAGAAGGGGAGGACGGGACCGGAGTCTGCTGTGGGAGGAAGAGACCTCGGACTGAGAGGACGATGGAGCGGGCGCCTCTGAAAAATGAGGACAATAGGGTTAGGGTCGGGTATTCACGGGCACGTGAGAGGCGCGTAGATGTTGAAGACGGGCGCCTGTGGCCCGAACCACGGCCGTCTGCGTCGAGGGCCGACTCCTGCTCCTCGAGTCTCTCCCACACACACACACACACATCACAGCTCATCGCCCACCTGCGATACCCTCCACGCCATGTCGAGGCGGTCATCTCACCTCGACTTCTCCATCAGGGGCGACGAGCTCGAGCAGCAGCGCGTTCAGCTCGAACACAACCTACAGCACACCGACCTCTCCCTCCACCTCTCCTCCACCCCAGACGAGTACTCGGACGTAGAGTACCCCAGACACGCCTCTGTTCCCTCACCCCCCTTCTCTGCCTTTGCATCTTTTGACCACCGCTCCGGCGACGACTACGATCCCCATGAACAGAGCAGGTTCCACCACTGGTCGTACCACACAGACGACGGTGTCCACCCCTACGCCGCGGAGTCCTTGTCCACCGCCGCGCACCACGCGAGTGCTCTTACTATCAGCGCAGGGCTCGGAGGAGGAAGGGGAGCCAGGAGGGATCTCAGCATGAGCGGGGCAGAGTACGACCCAGAGCGGCCGCTACAGGGCATCATGGCTGGCATAGCTGGTCGCTTCAACGGCTTCGATGCCAACTCGACCAAGTCAAGACAAATCGTTCGTCGTATCATGTGCGTCTACTCGCGTCGTAATCGTTGATTTCTTCCCTCCCACAGACAGCAAGCGTCGTCGACTTTGATCCCCTCATCGTCGACGACACCGCCGAACTCGACCGCGTCCTCCAGTCCGGGCATGCGCCACCGGGCACGATCCGCTCCGCCCGCTCCCTCTCGTCGTCATCCAGCTCGGACCTCACCGAGCCCATCTCCCCTCAGCCTCAGCAGGAGTCTCGTCCGCGCCTCGCAGACGCCCTCAGCCACCTCACCTTCTCGCCAAAACGACCACGAAGCGCACAAGGCTTCGCGTCGCCCCGTGCCTCCAACGTCATCATCCGGAGCTCGACTCCTGACCGCTCTGCCATCGCTCGCCACCTCCCTGCCTCTACTCCGCGTCCACAGCGCCGTGTAAACCAGTCCCTGTCCTACGCCCAGAACAGCGTCAGCATCTCGCAGGGACATGCTGAGCCCGAAGTGCAGATCACGCCTGCCACGCCCTCCCTCCGTCAATCCCATCGCGAGCAGCAACAGCAGCAACAACAACAGGACAAGGAGAAGGATGAGTCGTCCAAGTTCACCGCCATGGCACGCGGCCTCGCGCGGGAGATTGAGGAGGAGGCTGACGCGGCCATGAAGCGCAACGCCCGCCAAGCCCCTACCGCAGAAGCGACCCCCCGGGCGGCCTATCGCCACAGCACGATCCCGATGCGGAAGCACCAGCACCACCGGAGCCCGCTGAAGGAGATGGTAAACGAAAGGCCTGAGAGAACATCGTACACCGTCACCCCGTTCAAGAAGAGCGTGCAGCTCCCGGACGTGACGGGTCTCACGTCGGCCATCGCGTCTCCGACGAAGGTGGACGTGGAGTTCTACGGGTACGACCCAAAGGATACCACGGAGGCTGAAGGTATGCGAGGGAGCGTTTACAGATCAACTTGGTCGCTCACTCCGTGCCTTAGCTCGTCTCATAGCTACCCTAACCGTCGTCCAGAACAAGCTCACTCATCTCGAGGCGGAAAATAGCGTCTCGCGACGGCGCGTACGCGAACTGGAACTCGAGCTCGAGGCGTGCAAGCAGGAGGTCGCTCGTGAGCGGACGCGCATCCTCGAGCATGAACAGAGCGTGATGAGGGACGACGAAGCGCCAGCGGGGAGGAAGCGCGTTCAGCGGGAGCGGCCACAACAGCAGCAGCAACAACAACAGCAGAAGAAGGCTGGAGAGGATCAGGCGGAGCTCGCAGCTGCAGAAGCAAGATACCGAGCCGCTGTAGACGAGAAGAAAGGTAAGGAGCGTTCACCCCGTCTCCGACCCCGGTGGACGCCGGCATGCTAACCGAATCGACGCAGCCCTGGAGGCACTGATAGGCACCCTCCGCACGCATCTTACCCGGCTCACCGCCGAGCTGTCCGAGCACAAGCAGCTCCTGCTCGAGCTCCGCGCCCTCCGTGACTCAGACGCGCGCGCCCTGGCGGAGAAGAGCAGGGAGGTGGACAAGCTCAGGCAGGAGGTCGAGCGGCTCGCGGGCGAAGTCGAGGTCCTTCGGGGGGTCGTCGAGGAGGGCCTCAAGGAGCGGCGGAGCTTCCGCGAGCAGTCTGTCAGCCACGAACAGGGGTCCGCGACGGAGTCCGCGGGGCAGAACAGTGAGGAAGAGAGCGGCGACGAGGAGGATGCTCGCGAGCCTCAGCAGCAGCAGCAGCAGCAGCAACAACGAGCAAGGCCGCCGTCGGTACACTCGGAGGATAGTGAAGACGAGGCCACCGAAGAGGATTCTATCAGCCGTCGTTCTCCCACCCCTTCTCCGCGACGGAGGTTGAGCACAGGTGCGGCGGACAAAACTATGCGAACCGACATTGCCACCGTCGCGTCCTCCCAGACACACAATCTCTCCGTGAACCCGAACGCGTCCAAGCCATTCCTGGACGAGGAAGAGGTCAGCCGCATCGCCCAAGAAGTCGAGGAGCGCCGCTCCGAGCGCTCCATCCAGTCACGATCGCAAGATTCTCAGTCCGCGTCCGGATCGCAAGAAGGCTCACGGAGCTGGTCGCGACAGCCCAACCCCAACCAGTCCAGGCGGCCTTCGCGCGCAGGCTCGCCGTCGGTGATTCTCGAGCCCGACGCGTCGGGGTCCACGGCTCTCCAGAACGCCGTGCCCCAGCTTGAATACTCCGTCCGCTTTGCCGAGGAGGTCAACCGAGCTACGAGCAGTCGCCCGACGTCGCCGTACCTCGACACCACGCAGGCGCAAGCACAGTCCCAACCCCGCCCATCTGCACCGACGCCCGCCACCGCCGCCGCTGCCCGAGCCGGCAGCCAGAAGCGGAGAACGCATGCTGCAGCCCAGTCCGACGGTGAGACGCCGTTCCCCCAGATCCGGGGGGCGCAGCTCGAGAGGTTGTTCTTTTCCGCGCCCGAGCACAACTCTGAGACGTGCACGGTGTGTCATCGGAGACGGAGACGACGCCCAGCAGACGTAGAGCAGGCCGCGTCGTGGTTGAGAGAGCAGCGGCGGCACCGCGCGAAGGACGAGGATGAGGACGAGGGCTTTGTCGAGGGTGCCGAGGATGCGCGAGATCGGAGAGCATACGCAGCAAAGGCTGCGAGGGACGGGGAGAGCGGCCGCGTGCCGCCGCAGACCGTGCTCGCGCGGGTACTGCGGGAGCTCGAGGATGACTTCACGCATTACAAGAGGTACGTGATGACATGTCGACCTCGTGGGCCTTTTGGTTCCTGGCTGACTGGGCAAACAGCATATATGTGGAGCTTGCGGACCAGTACAAGGACATGGACCCAGTGTCCAACGTCGTCAAGCGAAACGTACTGGCGGACCACTTGCGGGAAGTGATCGATATTCTCGAGCAAAAGGCAGGTGCCTATTCTCGGCACAGTCAATCAATACTGAATTTTTGTTCGCTATGCAGGGCAATCAAATAGCCTCGTTGTACGACCTGTTGACTTTCAAGGACAAACCCGTCAGTGAGTCTGTCGTTCCCGACAGGGCACAATCGAGGAATGTCCCTCGGAATGCAGGCACAGCGCAAGGACGTGTCCCTATCCGCCGATATCCTAGTTCATAGCCGTGTTCTTGTTCATACCCCTCGACTCTTTCGCTATCTCATCTTATAGACTAGCCTTAACGCTGACTTGACTGTCCTCACGGCCTAGCCTCACTGTATATCGTCGCAAGCACGCACGTACACTATGTATCATACTGTAGCTTAGCAAGAATTTATCGGACGCCGAGTCGGTTCTCGTTGCAGTATCGTAAACCTTGTCAATATCATTGCGTCCTGAATCTGGAGCGAACTCAACAGCAACCTTAGCGTTAACCAGTGCACGTCGGGTGAACACCAAAGACCAAGAACAATTGGGCGCAGGTGTGTGTTGCAAGGCGGCGAGCAGCTTGTTTCATCCACTGAAAGGAATACAAACGGATTTACTCAAGGTAACTCATTCAAACTTGTATCTTACTGGCACTGTGAAGGAAAACGCTCGTATTAAGTGGGTGACTACCACTCGAGGACTCAATGCCCACCTGGTAGTAGTAAGGAGGCGACACAGCGGTGCAAGTGAATGGGCTTGCGCAGACAGTCGGGCCGGTGTAGCCAGTTCCTACAATGCGGCGTGGCATACGAGTTAACACTGGCTCAGCAAGTTCATAGGAGAGTGACATACCGCCGCACTGTCCCCATTGACTCTGAGCAGGGCCGGAAGCCGATGTGGTGGAAGAGACTGGGGTCGACACAGGCACCGTCGAGGTAGGTGGGGTAGTCGGAGTCACCGAGGTTGAGCCCGGGGGCGCAGGAGAAGATGTGCCGGAACCGATGGCTGTCGTGATGGGACCCGATTCGATGTACACTCCAGAGACATACCAAGTCTCGGGCGTCGGGGTGTTGACGATACGAAGGATGCCAACGTGGAAGTCCTCAGAGTTGGTGGAGGTTGAGGCCGCGATGTTGTTAGCGACTTTGGTTAGGGGAGCGGACCCGTTTGATGCCCAGAGACCAACCGTCTCCGCTGAGAACTGGGAGAGGCCATACGCAACGCGAACTTGGTAAGAGAGGACGTAGTTCACTTACATCAATGTCGTACGCGAAGTTGTACCACTGTCCTGCGACGAAGGGCGTGCTCCACTGCGGTTGGGAGCTAACGTGCCACTCGAGGTTGGTCGGATTGGGGGCAACACCGTACTTGAGCTGCACACGTTGTTCAGACATGCGGAGGTTACCTAGGAAAGCGCAGAACTCGCCTCGGTAAAATGAGACTCGAAGAAGAAAATTTGATGCTCGAGAGTAGACTGGGTTTGCCCAACATATCAGGAAAACACCGAGGGAACGAAGAGAGACTCTGGGACTCACGTCAGGAGGACTCGTGTCATCATGCATCAGAGAGAAGTGGTAGAACAAATTCCCAGTACCCAAATTCTGAGTAGTCTGGGGAATAAGCTCTGCCCTAAAGGAAGGTCAAAATCATCTCAGAAGATGCATCATTGAGCACTGACCGCTCCATGTTCGAGTTCCAGGTGGCAGTAGAGTCGATGGTGATACGAAGACCGTGTGTCTCGGCGGTGTCTGCCGGGTTTTTGTACGAGGGATCCAAAGCGAGGTAGTGCGAAGTGGGTTCGCTGCCGTGAATGTACTATGGGCCTTAGTGAACACTCATTCTCATTCTCCTTAGTCGAAGACCCAGTCCTTACCCATTGGTAAGTTCCGACCTCGTTGGCCCAAGACCCTGCGACGAGAGCTACATTAGCGACTGTGAAGGACAAGCTATTGGTCGAGCACTGACAATTGTCGAAGTCGGCAACAGTGGTGAAAGGGTTGAAGGAACCTGAATGTAACTCGTTAGAGGCAAGTCCCGTTGGGAGCGAGGTTTAGGAGCGCACCATCCCAAATCGTAGTACCGCCGCGGACGGCACTGGCGAACGCGAGCAAAGACGCAACTGTAACCCGGCCAATCATGTCGACGGTGCTCTCGATCGTAGGCGAGACTCCTACGTGTACGTACCGTTGCCTATCCTTATATACCCGAGCACGGATCATAGTGCAGGGAGTACCTCGCATAGGCTTCCTTGTAGACTCATTCACAGTTGTCACCGTGTCATGAGCGAGAATAGCCCGCCACTATGATGGGATAAACGTCGGGAGGACCGGAGATGCGGACGCCCCACATGATCACGGCCACGAATATAGAGGGGCCCTTAGCTTCATGTCGCGACGAACGATCCACTGCGCCCACGGGGATGCGCTCGGAAATACCGTGGATATACCAAAGGTGATTAAACTGGTACAAATGAGTATGCCTTCCGGGGGTATGAACATGACGTTAAAACAAACGCGTGAGCTTGCGTGCAAGCGGAGAAAGTGTAGGGATAAGTTACGGCCGCAGACGTCGTCCGGCACTAGAAAAATCCAGCAGGTGATGCGTAAGTCGTACAGTTCGTGAGCGTCGTCGTCGTGGTCATGAGCGTCGGAACATCCAAGACGTCAACCAAGATTTCGGTTGTTGGGCTTGCTCCTCCTCTTCCTCGTCTCGCTCCCGAATGTCCTCCACGGCATCCTCTTCCTCGGCAATTGCAACACCGTAAACCGCCTCCTGTACGGAGATGATTTTTGAGCCCGCAGAACCACTGCTGTATTGTCCGGCGAGTGACGGGCGAATGGGGGCCCCTTCAATGACGGATAGTGCAGACCTCGCACCCAAACTCGGGTAGTTCCGTACTCTTCGCATACCGAGCTCGTGGTCCATCGAAGCTGCGCGGTTTCGACGATGAGAACCCGCGGGTAACAAGGAGGACGGCGGACCCGATGGCGCCCCTCGACTGCTAGCTTGGGAGACAGCGGAGCCTATGGACATTGAGCGGTAGCCGGGGGACGAACCAACGTCGTATGTGCTGGGGCGCCCGAGGCCGATGTGCGATCCCGTGGATCCCGTAGTACTGTGGGTTGACTTCCGCCGCTTGGACTGGCGACGGTATACAGGGGCTGTCTCGACGTCGTCTTCTCGGTTACTGCTACTGATTCGGGATGCGATCAAAGGCGGGAGTTGGATCTCTTCCGATCCGTCTAAGCGTTTGTAGAAGCTCGGATGCACAGACTCCGCATCCTCGTCGTCACTCGCGAAGCTCGCAGCAGCCAGCGGCAACGAGAAGCCGCTCTCCAGGAACTCCTGGTCGCGCCATGCAGTCAACCTCCCGGCCGCTGGTTGAGTCGTCAACGATATGCGAAGGTCGACAGTATCATCAAGGTTCAGGATGCCGAGCGGATTACGCGGTAGCCATAAAAGGTTCTCGATATGGCGGGTATAGTAGGGATTGTCGTAGGTATGGTTCGGAGAAGACTCGTCTTCCCAGGCCGGATGAGGAGGATGTTTCGACACAACGGCGGGGTCGGTCTGCTCTTGATCCGCTTGGCTCTCGCCTCCATTGCTGACCTCCCGACAAGTCTCCAGCATCGGCCTGATGGCAGGCGATTCTTCGACAGGAGAAGCAAGTGTAAGAGGTACCGTAGAACTCGATCGCCGCACGGGACCAAAGGGGTTTGGCAGATGCCGCGGAGAGTTGTGCGGGCGCCTCGCAATCGAAGCGTATGCGAAGTTGATTTTCAAAGGAAGACGCCACGGCCAGACGTTGCCCATGGAGTTACCGCTGAGCCTCGCTTCCAGGTCACTTCGACCGGCCTCGCTGTTGGTCGGTGCTGCCTCGTCAATGAGGTCCTCTGTTGCCTGTCCTGTTCCGCAGACAATCTGAGCCTCTAATTCATCGTCGTGTTCGAAACGAGCGCGACAGAGGCGAGTGAGGCTGGACATAAATCCATGAGCTGCGCGTAGGGCACCGGCGAGGAGGAATTGTACGCACAACATCTTATATGCGGCAGTTATGATGATAAGGACAGCGGAGATGCCCACGTTGACAGTCTTCTTATTGACAACCATGTATGCAAGGAACACGACTTGCGCGAGGATCAGCCCTGAAGATACATCAGGTAAAGTCTTCGGCTTCGGTGACGATATGACGTACCATCCAGCGAGAATCGGACCATCCGGATAAGCAACTTCTGACCGTTGCCCTCGTAGTTCTTCGCATAGACATGGAGCAGCTGGCAAGTCCGTTGGTCATGCATGCCAATTTAGGACACTTACAGGGTAGCGTGAGCCTCACCTGATTCTTAATAACAGCTGGAAGCTCAGTCAGAACACGCAACACGAGGAAAGTAAGCAACTACTCACTTCGCTCTACCGCGAAGTACACCAGGGCAAAAGGGATCACGAGAGGGTTCAGCAACGCGAATACAAGCAGAACATGCATCACGAGCACGTGGTTAGGCAGCCAATCTTAATTGTCCCTAATCAGTCAGCAGTCCTAGAGGATTAAGGCCATGCCACCCACAGTAGTAGTTGAAAGTGCGCGGACGGATACCCATTGCGCGCTTGCGAGGCGTGACTTGCCGTCGAGTGGCGGGGTATAGGATGAGAGGTAGCTAGGACGACCTTAGTACATACACCAACGGCGATACGTCGCAGAACTTACGCCCACTGAGAAATAGGGCGAACTATTATCAGCGAGTGCGTCGCGAGGTATGCGGAACCTACTCACACAATGCAATTTCGAGTCCACTGTGCATAGCAGTCGTGAAGATGACTGTACAGCCGTCAGCGACTATCAGGCGTGGGTGGGATCGGAAGCACTCACACCAGCCAACATAAAATGGAGCAGCAACCGGGAAGCTCTGAGCAATAACGTTGACCACTTTACTAGTAGCGACGGATTTGAACGAGAGCAGGAACGACTGCAGAGCCACGGTCCCCACGCAGAAGAAAACCAAAACGTTAACAACCAAGAACTTGTAATATCGCGTCATGATACGGTCGTGCAGAGCAGACAGCGTTGCGATCGTGTGTGCTCGCTTAGCAATGAGTACTACCGAGCCAGCAGTCAGAGTCGGACAGAAAGACATACAAATGCAATAGCTTACGAAGCAGCAGCGGGATCAGTAACGACAACAGTGACACCAAAACTGTGGGGACGAAAGACTGCAGGAGCTCCTCTTCCCATTGATGGGAAGAAAGGAAGTTCAGCTATGAGATAGATTTAGCGGTTGAGTAGCGTTTGCGTGCTTTGATGAACGTACCAATCCCGGCCAAAGCGTACTCAGGTTCTGAATGTTCACGAGAGCGACGAAGGAGGTCACCGGGAAAACCCAGAAGATCGTGAATGCCCTTCGTTGTATCGTCAGACGGGATTGCACTCCAATACGACAACAATGTAAGTGGACATACCAGACGCCCAGCTCTACCACCCAGTCTTTGACGAACTGGACAAATCGCTTAGCAAAGACGCAACGACCGACGCGCTACACACATACCTCCACCCTGAACGTCGGCTTCATCAGCCGCGTCCAGTCCAGATCCTCGTACGACGGTGCCATAGTCACCAAGCACTGCAGGGGGTTGTCCGGGTGCACCGCGAGGTACTTGCACGCCCTCCGCGCGTCCGCCGGGTCGACGAAGGTGACGAACGCCGTCGACATGGGCTCGAACTTTGTCAACGGCATCGACCGTTTCTCCGATATCATGTTCGTCACGATCTGGAGCTTCGCCGTGTAGTAGTCGATCGCCGGCACGGTCTTCCCGCGGAAGATCGACGAGAGGTGGATGAGCGGCTGGTAGGCGTCGAGGGTGCTCCGCGGGAGGCTGAGCAGGGCGTCCCAAACGGTCTTCCCGTCTGGGACCTGCGGTGCCTTCTCGCGGACCTTCGTGTGCGCCGCTTCCAGGTCCGGATTGCTCTTCGCGAAATGCCTGCGCCATCCGGAAGAACGACCGTCCGAAGCCAGATCTGTATGCAAGGCAGGCAGGTAAGGCCTGAGCGTGCGGATGAGGAGCTGCATCCGGTCCTCTCCCTCCTCCGTCCCATCATCACTCTGATTGACGGCGTCAACGTCTAGAGAACCCGAGATACTCCCTCGCATGGCGGCAACGGACATGCGCCGCACCGCTGTCCGGAGCATGCCAGGAGAGCTGTTCTGTCTTTGGATGGCAGCCTGCACGTCCATGAGGGCCTTGCGCGCCAGCTTGATGTGTGCGGTTTCCAGAAGGCGAAGGGTCTCCTCCCGTCGTTCCAGCATCGACGCCAGGTCGTTCATCTTCCTAACGAGGACAACGCGGTCGATAGCTGGGGGACCGTTCTCTCCTGGTTTGGGTTCCTGAGTAGGTGAAGAGCGACCCGGAGTGTTCTCGCCACCAGACCCGCCCGTAGACAAGCGCGTCAGATGAACCTGGGTGGGGATACGTCGGGCCCGGTTAAAGAGGAACGCGAAGGTCTTGTTCAAGAAGCCAGGCTGGGTCGATGATGTGATACCAAGGGCTGGCAGTGCAACCCGCCGCGACAGGTAATATTCGAAGTATTCCTTCAGATCCTTCTCAGACCGGAGCGAGTGGGGAATATTGGTGACCATTACTGTTCGTAGCCGGAGCCCGCGGTTGGTGTGGTCGTTGTCCAAGGGAGGTAGAGCATGGAAGGGGTACTGTGGATGCGGGTGAGGGTCATATTGGGCGCGTCGTTCGGCTTGGACATCAGAAGCGGCGCGATTGGCGGCGGCGAGGATCTTCTGGGCCCTATAGTGGAAAGCCCCTTTGCAGATCCAGTACAGGGTTCCAAACCAGGTGAAGGTAATCCAGACGAGCAAGACAATATGAACCCAGAGTAGAGAGAGTCCCTTTGGCGTGGTAACCAGAGAGGAGATCGACGCGCGCGTCATGGATTTGGAAGAGACAGTCCCGTCAGAGAAGGTGACATGTATGGGGAAGAGGATGGCTAAGGTTGAGAGGCACTGGAGGCCCGTGAACCAGAAGCATCCTCGTAGCCAGCGTATATAGAGCGAGGCATCGACACCTCGGAGCTCGTTGAAGCGGTCCTCAGGAAATGTGAGGACTTGCTTGATCCATCCTAGTGGCCATTTGCGTGGCAATGGCGGCGACGGTCGCCTGCAGCTAGATGAGATTCTCTATAGGACACACGAAGCGAGTCGCACTCACTTGGCCCATGACCTGCCTTGGTACAAGCTGGAAATGGACGCGCGCGATGAGCGCTAAGACCTCATACGCGGAGCAGGACGACCAGGACTCACTATCCAAACTCCCAAGACTCGACGCTGCCCAAGCCCTCGTCATGGGGACCCTTGCCCCGACGTTTCCTTCGCATTATCTCATGGGCGGTAATAGTGACGAGCAAGATGCCCCCAGCAACAACAGACTGGTTGATGAGCCCGCTGGAGACGCCATTAGTTGGGGAATGCGCCAAGTTAGTGAGAGCAGACGCACCTGTAGTCCTTGGAGAATGGTCTGTTCTGAATGGTGGCCATCTCCGATGCCGACTAGCATGCACGGCAGCTCGAGACGAGGCAGCCTAGGCCAGGAAAGCTCGGAGCGGGGAGGCTGGCGGATGCCTGCAAAACCCCAATCCACTCTATCCAGCGCGCTTCTCCGGTGATCCCACCACCCTCGGTTGCTCGGCGCCATGCGTTCCATTCTTGGCCTCCCCTCCCAGCAACCGCACCCCCGGTTTGAACCGGTTCACCTCGCACCCTCCCTCCGCACCGTCAGACAGGTCCCGCTCGTCGCCGGCTGCAGCCATCCGCTCACCAACGCTCACCATGTCTCTTCTCCGGGCCTGCCAGCAGGCCGCCTCCAAACAAGCCTTTGGGAGGTCTGCCTTCGCGGCGTCCCGGCCATACAGCACTCCCACCGCAAACGACCCTACCATTCCTGCCGCCGCGCCCAAGCAAGACACGGACATCGCTGAGGCCCCTGCACGAGATGTTGTTACCGCGGATATAGTCAGTGGCGCACCTAGTGAGTGATCTCTCCCGAACACGCGTGCTCGCCATGGGGGTCTGCAACTCTTCGTCACAGAGGAGCTCCGTCACCGCGCAGTCCGCATCTTCCAGCCCACTCGCAGCACAACCCAGAGCGGGTCCGGTAAGTCCAACCAGTGGAGAATCGACTGGGACATTCTCCCTGGTGGCGGTCGTTGGGAGAATCCCCTCATGGGATGGGCGAGCTCGTAAGTCCCATGCGCAGCTGCGGCCGCGCTGCATGTTCGTTGACGCGTACGGGCAGTGCGGATTACATGCAGGGCACGCGCCTGAACTTCAAGACTAAGGAGGACGCCATCCACTTCGCCGAGAAGCAAGGTGAGTGTTGACTAAGACCACATGAGGATTTCGGACCGATCCGCTCATTGCAATCCGAAGGCTGGGATTACTATGTGTACGTTTGCTCGTCATCTACGACCTCGAATCATCCTCATCGGATATTCACCACAGTGCGCAGGAGGAGGTTAATCGTATCCCTCCCAAGAACTACGCAGAGAACTTCCTCTACAAGCCCAATAAGCTTCGCCTTATCCGTACCAAGTAGAGTCAATCCATTTTCTCTCCGTCTCTTTATTCCCTACGATGGCTTGCGCACGTCCCACTTCTTCAATGCAAGCAAATTCGGACATGAATTGATATACATAGATGAGGTACAGCATTCACATAGCAACACACAAGGACGCATAGCATAAAACAACAATCGACAAGCACTAAGCAATCCGATCAGTCAGTCCGACGTCCTGCGATCCCACCCCCTCCCCTCAGTTGAACCCAATGATCCTGCTCTTCGGCCGCAGGCTCATAACCGGCGCCCTCCGCTTTTTGGCCGCAACCTCCTTTTCCTCCACGTCTGACTCCTCGTCCTCGCTCTCCGACACCACAGGCCTCGCGGGGCGCGGCCGGAACGTCTGCACGACCGTCTCGCGCGGCTTCTCCTGCACCGGGGACGGATCGGCCGCCTCCGGGGTCGCAAGAGGAACGCGCAGAGAGATGGCGCAGTCCGAGAGCTGCTTGACGACGTCGGCGTCCAGGTCGATGTTGAATAGGTCGAAGATGTACCGCCGGACGGGCATGCGGTACTTCTGCGACGAGATCGTGTGCAGCGCGCGATAGAACATGCTGGGCGACGTGAAGATGTGCCGGTACTCGGGTTTGCTCTTCATCCTGTCGCTGGGGTCAGCCTCATGTCTTTGAGTAAAGCAGCGAGAAGACGTACTTCGTCAGCGATCTTGATGCGGCGTTGGCAATGACTGTATTCGCGAGATTGTAGATGGCCGTCATGACCTCCATCTCTTCCGGGCTTTCCGGAGGTGCGAGTCTGCTGTCATCGACGGCTTCGTTCGCGACGCATTCCCAGGCGGGTATCGAGACAAACTTGTCGACGTCGACAGGAACGCAGAGACCTGTAGGAAGGCCAAGCGGTGACAGCGTCGCTTCCCATTGGTAGTCATCCAAGATCTCCGCCCCTTGTGGCGTCGAGGAGATTAGTCCAAGCACGAAGAAGCATGTCCTGTTCGTGTGATCAGACGTATATGTGCATCAAGAATTTGCAGGTCTACTCACCCTCGCACAGAGAGCACCAGTGACCGTTCTGCGATCTCCAAGATAGCTGGGATTACCTCTTCCTCCTCGAGGAACGGCAAGCCGCGTTCGGTGGCACCAATGTTGCCCTGAAGTCCTTTCAGACGTTGCGCAAAGCTTGACAGTAATTTGGTGGCTTACCACCGCCCATAGGATACTCTTCAACTTGAGGATGAGATCCCGGTCCTCGCTTTCCAAGCCATGCCTCCGGATGAAGTGAGCAAAGTCTGCAAAATGCCCCTTATCCTGCAGTACTTCGCAACCAAGATCTGTCTTCGCCATCACACCGTAGAAATGCGGTGGAACAATCCCATCAAATGCACTTGACAGGACTACGGTTTAGTAGACACGCACATGAAGGAGGAAAGAGGCTTCTCACAGAATGTCATCGTCGTCTTCAGTGGCCGCCTGGCTGAACGCTTTGGCGAGGAAGACTTCGATATGCACCACATAGTGCAGGTTGCGTTCCTACAAATATGCATGAGAAGAGCTCACCAGCAAGGGAAAGGACGACTCACGTGGAACCATAACTCCATCTCTCGGTCAATATAATCTGCAGCATAGAGGTACCGGAAGCCCGTAGGCGTAGACATGAACCTAGGCTGTCGTCAGTCTGACAGCTCCTCACTCTTCCCAAATAACATACTTGAGCAGTAGAGGATGGCCAACTTCTCCTAAGTGATCAAGCGTCGGCTGCATCTCAACCACCATCTGGAGAACGTCCATCGACTCGCAAGCCCCTTCCAAGAGTTGCACGGCCATCTCGCGCACTTCGAGCGCAGGGTCATATAGCTGCGTCAGGAGTAGACGGAGTGTCCACGCGCTGGCTGTCTGGCTAGAGCGGATGAGGGCACCCAAACGTTCGGTTGCATAATGGCGGATATGCTGTAGAGTAGTCATGAGTATACATGAGCCTTTGACAACAGGTCCGTAATACCGTGTAACTGGAGGTCAATGCCTTCGAGAACACTATTCGCGAATGTCCATCACTAAAGATCACACCGTCAACAATTGCCTCTCGCCAAAGCGAATCAAGGCGAGTATCACGCACATGCTGTAATCCAAATTCTCGATGATGGCCGTGACGAGGTCTTCTCGACCCCGGAGCTCGGTGAGGACATAGAAAGCACTGAACAGCTTGAATTTCTCCAGGAGCCTGGCCAAAATCGTGAGCTATGTCCGTTCGACAAGATGCAAATAAGTAAACATACTCTATTCCCTCTTTCCGCTTGCTCAGCGTACCCAGCATCTCGAAATAGCCGTATGTGAGAGTGTCTTGCATGCGCTTCTTCGAGAAGATCGGATCGGATGTCGGCGTTGCCGTATGCTACAACGGAATTAGGACGAGCACACGAGGGGTCTCTATGACTTGCTTACCGGGTCCAGCTGGTCGAAGCTCTTATACAACTGGGGCAGGAACTCGTCTTCGGCGAGGAACTTGACACCCTCCTGGCTGGCCAAGAGTGCATTGAGTAAGGAACAGCCCAAACGCACCCATCGTCCGTTCTGTAGAAATCGATGCGACGAAAGTCATACACCAGTTGCTACGGTAGCAACACCACGACTTGCCTTCGCTTTCGGCTGGTCACTGAACCGACGAGCCATGGGGTGGAAGAATGACATGAGCTTTCGGATGTATCTCAACACTTTGATAGCCTCTTCCATTCGTTTTGGATTATGGAGCGGGCCCTCAACGAGTTCCTGGAGGGTGTCGAAGTTCCACTTTGTATGGTCCTTCGTCAACATTACTTGGGTTTCAAGGAGCAACGCCTGGAAGGTCTTGTCGTCCATCTGCATCCTCGCTTTCAGCTTATCCTGCTCGACGGCCCGTTGACCACGGCGTACGGACTCTTCTACAGAGTTCGCTCTGGAGAATTATGAATACGTCAACTTCGCAATGGAAAGAAATCAAACCTACCGTGGACGTGGAGCATCGCCTTTCACCGGAGGCTCCAGCCGCGCTCGGTGGCGGTTAAAACTGTCGATAGCAGATAGCACGGATGAGCCAATTATCCTGTGCTCGTTTTCATCATAGTCCGAAGCGAGCTTGAAGATGCGCGGTAGAGCCTAGAAAATACAACCAATTGAGCATTTGCGCAGTCAACCGAATGGGAGCCACTTAACCTGAATCTTCGCAGCTATTGAGAGGGGTAAAACGCGATTCGCTTTCTGCAACATCTCTGCTAGAAGCAACGTCGCCTTTCGCGAGAGCGCTGACCCAACACCGGATTCCTCGAACATAGATGTCAAGGCCTGTATGGGCTCGGTTTACAAAACATGGTACAAGGGGATAGCAGAATGGCTTACGTCAATCAGCCCTGCTTTGGTGAATATCAAGATGAGTAGTGCGATATATTGGTCAGTTAACTTGAGGGTATCTTGTGGTCGTGAGGGTATCTCGTTAGAAGCTTGCATTTCGGCGCTCTGTCTTGATCTACGATACACTGCAGGGACCTCATCAAGAAACTCATGCGGAGTGTAAGCAAGGATCCCACTTACTAGTCAACCGGCGCCCGTCGATGAAAGCTCGATGCCATTCTGGAGGTTTGATATTCAGAAGGTCGAAAAACATGTCGAGAATGACTTCCTGCTCGTGGGTCGGCCGACGCCTCCTGTGTGAACACAAAGAGTACTCACTCGTGCCTCCAAGGAAGGTACTCGTAAGCAGTCGATGACGGTCTTGATCGCCACCTTGTCATTGATACAGCAGTACATCAGCCCTACACGTCGGTCAATTACAACACGACGACTCCAGTACAATCGCACATACCGCTCCATGTTCGGAGCATGGACGAGACTATACGCGCACAGCCCTTGACACGCTCGGTGTGCTCGCCACCTTTGCCGTATGCATCTGTGATGCCAGAAAGGGCGATCTGCTCTACACTCAGCCTCGTGAAGATGGTGGAAAAGGTTAGGCTTTACTTCGAGGTCTGTACCAGGACGCAGATAGGCTCGTGTCCTCGGTGAGTCGATGATGTGCAAGAACGCAGCCGAGAGCAAAGGGGCCATTTCAAGGGGGCCCTCCGCAAGCGCATGCAGCAAGACTCGAATGCCCCCAGTCCGTGACATAAGTTCAATGTCAATGAGCACTGTACGGCACCATGTCAGAACGATCCAATATAGTAGAAAGCAGTGAGCTGACAGATCTCGGTAAGCGTCTGCACACATATCGGCTTGAAGGGGTCTTCGGGATACTCGGCCACCGCAATCACCGCACGCATTACAGCGTCCGAGAGGGGCACCGTTCCCGTGCCAACCGTGGAGTGAGGCGAATGTCGTTCGGATCCGATCTCGACTATGGCGCGGATCAGTTTGATAGCTTGCTCCTTCTCCACAGTGTGCTTATTGTCACGACATAGAGACCTATGGACTAAGTTATTAACCCTGTTCAGGTCACAAGACCAGCAGTGCGAAATGTGAGACCTACTTGACGATGAACCAATCCAAGTTCTGTTCGCCCAGGCGTCGCACTGAGTGAGCGTCGACGAGGGAATGCCGTAAGAGCCTGTAAGCTGTCGCACGAGATTGCTTCGAAGCCTTATCTGCGAGCGAAGGCAGCACGCTGAGGTACGCTTAGTATGCAGACGCCGCTAAGTCAAAAATCAGGTTACTTACGCACGCACGACCTCTCCCACTTCAAGTTCATATCGCACCCGCAGGTTCCGTTGGAGGATTCCGACAAGCCTATTCATGGCCTCAACGCGAGCACGATTGAGCTCCGTATCCGTAGCAGTAGCGGGGTTCGGTAGTGTTGAGGTGGACGGGGAGGTGGATGGAGAAGGGATAGAGGAATTTTGGGTACCATACGAGTGCTGTCTGTGCAAGTGGAGTAATGCCCTGATAGCACTATTCGCCTGGTGCATGGCGGAGTGGAAGTCATCTAGAGGCCATAGTTCAGCACAGTGCTGGTAGCACGACAGTTGTCAACGCACCTTTTTCCGCTCCCTCCTCCTTCCAGTTTGTGGCGGACATCAATGGCTGGCCGTTGAACTTTCGCTTAGTCCCGTTTGGAGTCTCATTGCTTCTCTTCCGCGGACCATTGCGACCAGCCACTACAAGTTGTAGATGTGAATATATTAGAGTACACGGCAAGTCAAATGCAAGCTCACTAGTGTCCATAGACCGCTGTATAGTCGCGATCTTCTGCCTGGCTGTTGCAAGTTCAGACTCGACTTGACTCCTCAACGCGTCCTTGAAGACTCCATGAGTTCCCATGATATGGACAAGGAAACAAATCTCTGCAGGTGTAATCACGCCAGACCAAGCAACAACTTTCACATCATATTGCTGTAAACACTGATGGGACGGCACATGCATCTTAGGCGGAGGGAGGGAGTACCCCGGTGACAAGCCCTCTCGGTCGCACGGTATGGGGTGATCACATTCAGAGATCTGACGCAAAAGCACTCACAGTCAATGGCATTTGCAGCAGGTTCTCGGCCCCCTCTTTGATCCGGTTCTCGACCTTGAGCTGATCAGTGAGGTACTGCAGCTGAAGCACGTAGCGTGGTCTTGCTCAGTTACCCCACAAATGCGCGTAAAACCCTGAGACGCACCTGGGCCTCCTTGACACCCTCTCCAACTACTGTGTTCTCCGATGCCGCCCAAGATTGTCCGGAATTGCTCTGGGCAGTCGATAGCGTGCCAGACGGTGTGCCGCCATCGTTGGAAGCCCTCGGGATCGGGATAGAGCCATTGCTGTGAGGCTCGCCGACGGTGGTCGGCATTTTCTGTTCCACTCTAGGCTGTAGTACTCCAGACAGAGATGGAAGCTAAGAGCCGTCGGAAAGCAGAAGATGAAGCATAAACAGAAATGTGCATCCAACAGGCCGTGGACGTCAAAGGTGGTAGACGCGGCCGTGCCGCCAAGCCCGGAAGCCCGGCGATCTCGATCAGTCAATAATACTTTGAACGTCCGAGCGCCTACCCGGGGCAAATCTCGCTAAGTACAGTACCAGTACTTACTTGCTGCCTTACGGTCACCTTACCTTCCCAATCTTCCCCGTTTCCGCGGAAAGTGCTATGTACTTTCCTGCACTGCGAAGTTCTGCTACCATATACACGACAAGACTAATGCGCCACGAACAAGAGCTCACTGCTATCGGGTAGTCCCGTTGCCAATACAGTTCAGGCTTTTGACAGCCTGAGCCCAAGCTACTTGCTTCACAAAATACAAGGCAAATCTATTTCTACATGCTTTGCTACAGCGTGATTCTATTTGCTCACAATCACAGCCTCGCCGTCTTCCTTCCAACCTTTCCGCGGCCCTTGAAGCCCCACTCAATCTGGTGCGCAACGGTGATAGTCACGCCCAGCTCCTCCGCGAACTGCCAAACGGAACCCGGATTCTTCTGGAATTGACGTCCAAGGAAGACGACATCGGCTTGACCCTACGAAAATCACCGCGCTTCTCAACTTCCGTAAGACACAATGTGCTCGCTGAACACCCTACCTTGTCGAGACATGCTTGGGCAGTGGGACCGTCGGTGATCGCTCCGACGGTGCTGACTAGAATCTTGTCTCCGTGGGCCTTCTTTACAGCCTCGGCGAACGGCGCCTGGTAGGCTGGACCGCCCTTGATCTTCTGCGAGGGATGAAGACCTCCGGTGGAAACGTCAAGAAGGTCTACACCGTGCTCAGCTAGGATACCTGCCAGCCGCACGGTATCCTGCAAGCGCCAGGACGGCTCGTTAGGCAAGGACTCCTCAAGCCAGTCCGTTGCCGAGATCCTGCGGGATGCAATACAGTGAGTCTCACTCGGATCGCGCGCAGTCCCGCCATTCGTGCTCCGCCTCACCTCAGGAATAGAGGCGTAGTAGGCGGGATAACAGCCCGAACTGCGTCCACGATCTCGAGCGTCAAACGCACGCGGTTCTCGAAGCTGCCGCCGTACTCGTCCGTGCGCTTGTTGCTCACCGGGCTGATGAACGAGTCGAGCAGGTACCCATGGGCATTGTGGATCTCAATGACGTCGAAGCCGGCCTGGAGGGCGCGCTTCGCCGCCTCGACAAACGCGGTCTTGACGCGCTTGATGCCTGCCTTGTCGAGCTCCTTCGGGACGGGGAATTTCTCGTTGTACGGCACCGAGCTCGGCCCCACCACGTCGTTCGGCCACCCGCCCACTTCCTCCGTCGCGAGCGCACCCATGTCGAGCCATGGGGCGACCGTGGACGCCTTGCGACCTGCGTGCGCGAGCTGGATGCCGATCTTCTGGTTCTGGGAGTGTGCGAACTCAACGATGCGCTTTAGGGGCCCGATTTGCGCGTCCGTCCAGAGACCAGAATCCTCTGGGGTGATACGGCCCTCCGGAGTCACTGCGGTGGCTTCGATCATAGTGAGGCCTGGACCGCGCGTGAAGATTCCTCCAACTGAGTGGTACACATCAGTAAGAGATAAGTGCGGCCAGCAAGCGCGTGAATACGTACGATGGGCCAGATGCCAGTCCGTTAGTTGTCCATTTTGTGCCGAGTACTGGCACATCGGCGAAACCTGCATGCGTTCCGCCCCAACGAGATTGCATCGTAAGATTCACGGGAACGACGTGGGGATGAGTTTGACCGGTCAGACACTCACCCAGATGCGGTTTTGGAATTCCACGCCTCGAATTTTGATGGGCTTGAAGAGTGTAGGAACTTTGCCAGAATCATCTTCTGCTGCTGCACCAGCTGGAGGGTACTGAGCGGGCGTGTAGTAGGATATGCCAGGAGCAGGAGGGTTCGGTTTGTTAGCAACCATGGTGCAGTGTGAGAGTAAATGCTGCACCGGAGGAAAGGTCAGTTGGCACCGGATGGTGGGAGACAAACGCGACGCCAACTAGTCTACTGCTCTATATAGGACTGTCAGATAGATGAATGCGTGCTCGAAGTTGACAACATGCACGACGTCATAGGACTCATCAGACAATGGCGTTCCTTTGAACCCGGTCCCACGGCTAATCGTATCACCCGTTTCTCACCAGAGCATCCCCCAAGAACCTATTGAAACTTGTACAAGTTGGTGAAGCACGCAATCAATCGGCCGCGACCGCTTGTGGCTACAGGACGACAAAACGGCCAACTTCGAAGTTTGTTGCGCAGGTTTCGAGGATGACTCGTGCAAGGGAGCGGCGGACGGGTGAAAACGTGAACCGCGTGCAGGATTGCAGACATCATGCACTCCTGCTGTCATTCACGCAGACTGTTATTAGTAAGTCTCGGAGGCAGTTGTTGATGAATAGGAGTATCCATGGCATGCACTACATCAATCACACTTGCGTCGTTTTGGTCACGTTCATCGGAATACGATAGTCATAGCGGGGGAAGTATCCCAACCCAATTTCGTGGTCAGGGCCACAACGCCTACGACCGCGCAATGGGAACTTGGGCCTTGCGCATCAAGCCACCAAGCCTTCACAGTAGTGTCCGTGTGAGTATGAGGAGTATAAAAACATTGAATACTGGCTGCTTACCGATGACACCGCATGCAGCGCGTCCTCCTGCGTTGCCCGTTTTCAGAGATTCATCGTCGCCGCCACGGCCGAGATCATCGGTGCCCTACGCAAGGATGAGCACTCTACGCAGATTCCTGGTATACCGCAAGATACGCACAGCATGAACCACCACAGACCGGCTGAAATCACCAACCGCCTGTCAGAATGCCCACAGAAGAACCGAAAGATGAAGAACGCACCCCACAATACTCAGTGGCCCATTGAGAGAGATCAAGCTATCCTCAAACGTGAACGACGCCACGCCCTTCGAGTCCGTCTCAATGTTTCCCAAATCTCCGACATGCCTGTCAATATCTGTCGGAGCACCATGTGTCCTTTCGAACGGGTTGAAGTGCGATCCTGCAGACGCGCAGCCGTTGCTCAAATCCCCAGAAGCACTACAAGGGGATGGTTGGTCAACTCTAGCCCCGGGACCAGCACAGATTTATGTATGCTCACTGGACATGGAAGCCATGGTTCGACGAGGTCTTGAGATTCTTCACCTCACCAGACACAGTGACTGGTGCGGTAGGGAACAATTGTGTGAACGTGACCGTGCCGCTGACGGTCTCGCCATTGAGCACAGCAACGGCCTATCAGGTAGGCAACGTTGATCGGTCATGCCTCGTGTTTGGATGCAAATACAGTATGAATACTAGCCTTGGAAATCACAGGAAGGGAGAGCACTTCGTCCTGGGGGTCGGACCTCCGCGGGAGAATGAGCCAGATTACGAAGACAGCAATCAAGGTGAAAGAGGCGGTGATAGCAAGGCGTGGCGGCCTAGACGACGGACGTGCGGTAGAGAAATCCATGCTGGAAGTCTTCTCAGCAGGAAAGCCAAGCATGAGCACAGGGGGAGGCGGTTGGAAGAGGAAGACGGCGACGGCGAAAGTGCCGCAGATGCTGTATACATATCACGCAGCGGAAGATCGCATTGCGGTCGTTGGTCAGACTGTTCACACACGCACGCTGGTCCGGCCGATCCATCATCCCGGCGTCATGCCCCCATCTGCTTGCCTCTTCGACTTGCCAAGAGAATGGAGAACATGGCAATTTGATGAAACCAGCTATGTTGGTAGTGCGGAAAGGATGCTCGTCGTCGGGTGCAGCAGCGAGAAGGATGCCATAGGTCAATCACTCGCTTGCGCGGCCGAGTCGGGCCGGTGAGCCAGAGACTCGGCGTCGACGTCACCTCGAAGCTCGTCGGCGTTGACCATGACCCTCGTATGACAACCTTCTCTCCAACATGACCACGTCCTGGTTTAGATTTGAAACATCATCTTTGGGCTCATGTTCTTCATGAGCCATCTCAAAGTGTCGAGAGTATTGTTGCCGACTCGCCTGTTGTGGTCTCCCCCCAGCACGATCCACTCAAAGCAATCTCTGAGAATACACAAGTTTCCTCTGGCTCGGCCAACAACCATTCCTTCCCGCACGCACATTTTTGCCAAGATAATGAGTACCGCGCATGGAGGAAGCGGACACAAGAATCGCTTAGCGAAGGCGAAGAGTCCGTACCTACTGCAACATGCAGAGAATCCGGTGCGTCAGTGATTAGTTTATGTGAATCGTAAAGACGACCTCAATAAGTCTGTAGGTCGACTGGTATGAGTGGGGTCAGGAAGCCTTTGACAAGGCGAAGCTCGAGAGCAAGCCAATTTTCCTCTCGGTATGTGCGCTCAATTTGGAGACAAGAAACAGCTTGGTAACAGGATGGCAATTAGGTCGGGTACTCTGCTTGTCATTGTGAGCGGCCCTTCTCTCATACTCCCGGGGGACCAACCAAACACTAGTCTCCCAGGGTGTCATGTACTCGCACACGAGAGCTTCGAGGACGAAGTGACTGCAAAGATAATGAACGAATACTACGTGAATATAAAGGTGCGTACCTTCATCTGCGCAAGCATCGTCTGATCAACGTAGATCTCGGCAGGTTGACCGCGAAGAGCGCCCTGACGTTGACCGGTTGTACATGACATTTCTCCAAGCGACGACGGGCGGCGGTGGATGGCCCATGTCAGTATGTGAGTTCGGAGCCTGCATATGAGCGTGGGCCGTGTCCTAAGTCATTCTTCATAGGGTTGACACCGGATCTGCATCCATTCTTTGCTGGGGTACGGACCCGCTTCTCCTCGGGTCGAGCGCATCATCCTGACTAAGGGCCGCAGACGTACTTCCCTCCCGGGAACTTCAGACAAGTCCTCATCAAGCTCGCCGAGATGTACGTCGTGGAGCCTCTCGAAGTCTGATGCTTTGCCAATGCCATGATTCACAGTTGGGAGCGGGATCCAGAACGTTGCATCGCGTCCGGGAAACAAATAATCGAAGTGTTGCAACAGTCGTCGAAAGTGCGCCTATCTCTTTCATTCACATGTATCTGAATGTGCTAACCGCATCATAGGCCGCTCCCGAGAGTGGTGTTGACGTGAAGCCCCTCGCTGAAAAGATACTTACGCAACTGCAGAAGCGCTTCGATGCGAAGGAGGGAGGGTTCGGTAGGGCACCCAAGTTTCCTTCACCGTCACAAACCATGTATCCGCTCGCTCGGATTGCTGCTTACTATCTGAACAATTCAAGTGCAACCGCTCAGGAAAAGGAGAGCGCTGAAAAGGCAAGGGACATGGCAGTATTCACCATGACCAAGATCTACAACGGTGGCATTCGGGATGTCGTCGGGGGAGGGTTCTCTAGGTACTCCGTCGACGAGCGATGGCACGTACCTCATTGTGAGTCACACGTTCCGTAAAGGGTGGCGTTGTTATGCTCATGCTTGGTCAACTTGCACCAGTCGAGAAGATGCTGTGAGTACATCGACACCTTCTGGGACTCATGGTTTGACGGGACACATGCCAACAGTTACGACGAGGCGCAGTTGCTCTCTTCCGCGCTTGAGCTCTACCAGCTCTTACCGAGCGGTTCGCACGACAAGACAACTCTTGAGCTGATGGCGAAGGACATCGTCTCGTACGTGGCTAGGGACCTGAGGAGCCCGCAGGGCGGCTTCTACAGTGCCGAAGATGCGGACTCGCTCCCATCGCATGAGAGCACGGTCAAGAAAGAGGGCGCGTTCTACGTATGGACAGCCAAGCAGCTGGACGAGCTGCTCGATGCGGACGCGGAACTCTTCAAGTACCACTTTGGCGTGAAGGCGGAGGGAAACTGTGATCCGAGTCATGACATCCAGGGCGAGCTGAAGGGACAGGTTCGTTTCAAGTCCCTCTCACCCCATGGCTTTACTAACATCCCTGTACAGAACGTCCTGTTCACGGCCCACACCCTAGAGGAAACGGCACAGAAGTTCGGCAAAGCGTACGAAGAGGTGCAGAAGACGTTGGAGGTGAACCTGGCCACGCTGCGCGAGTACCGTAACAAGCACCGTCCGCGACCGCACCTCGACGACAAGATCCTTGCGTGCTGGAATGGGCTCATGGTCAGAAGCAACCTTCAGGTCGATGCAAGCCTTGAGACTGACTATATGCACAGATCTCTGGCCTCTCGAAGACATACGAGGTTCTCCATTCCCACTCCGAGATCGCGAAGAAGGCGCTGCAGTTGGCGGAAGACTCCGCGACGTTCCTCCGCGCGCATCTGTATGACGAGAAGAGCGGTACACTCTGGCGCAGCTATCGCGAGGGTCCAGGTCCCACTGGTCAGGCGGACGACTATGCGTTCCTCATTCAAGGCGAGTGCTTAACGTGCGACCGCGCTCGGTACGGCGCTGAGCTCCTACAGGTCTGCTTGACTTGTACGAAGCGAGCGCGAAAGAAGAGTACCTCCTCTGGGCGCTCCGTTTACAGGAGAAGCAGGACGAGCTGTTCTACGATCCTGAGGGCGGCGGATACTTCGCATCTGCACCCGACGAACACATACTCGTCCGCATGAAGGACGCTCAAGTAAGCCCTCGTACCTATGCAGCTACACCCCGTGGCTGATGGGTCTGGGTAGGACGGTGCCGAACCCAGCGCCGTGTCTGTGGCAGTGTCGAACTTGCAACGGCTGGCACACTTCGCCGAGGACAACCACTCTGCATTCACTGAGAAGACGACGAGTACCCTCGCCTCAAACGGGCAATTCCTGAAGCAGGCGCCCCACGCGCTTGCGTACATGGTCAGCGCCGCCCTCACGGGAGAGAAGGGGTACATGCAGGTGCGTCCACGGTCTGGCGCTCTTCGAGTTGTTACGTTCTTACTAACGTTCCTCCAACGCCCCAGTTCATCTACGAGGGCACCTCACAAGACTCGCCGTTCCTCAAGCTCATACGGTCGACTTTCATCCCCAACCGGGTGCTCATCCACTTCGATCCGTCGAACCCGCCTCGCGGCATAGCGAAGCACAACGGGAGCGTGCGCAGTCTCGTCGAAGAGCTGGAGAAGAAGGAAGGAGAGCACAGGGAGAACGTCATGATCTGTGAGAACTTCACGTGCGGTCTACCAATCGAGAGCGTGGACGAGCTGAAGCAGAAGTTACCGATCCTATCGGGGGCATGAAGCGATGTGGCATCCAGAGTCGTGTACGAATACTAGTCATTAGGGAATGTATTACTAGGAGCGGATGTTCTTGAATGTGCGATGATATGCAGTCCCACTTGCCAACAGATCTGTCAGCTCACGATTGCTGGTTAGGCAGATCGTCTTATGAATCACTGTACCGTCCTACGTTGTATTGAACGCCAATCGGACGTGCACTCCCTAAACGTGGGTACTAGTATAATATGCACAGGCTAAACACTGTCGCTTGTACCGTATTGAACCACCACGAGCGGACAGGGGGGAGAGAAGATGCGGAGGGAGGGAAAGAAGGAAAACATGTCACAACGACGCTACGAACGTTTGGGCTACACAGGAAGGAACGGAAGGAACTATTGACAACATGCAATGGTTCGACAAACGCGAAATGGTATGGGGGAGGAGAGGTATACCCTGGTGCGGAGGTGACGAGGCATTGCGCCGCGCTATCGGGTCCTCGCGGACAGCCAAACAGAGGAGTAAGGAGACTTTACGAATAACACGACAGAACGCGAATAAAAAAGAGCATCCAAGGACAACAAAGAGGCGGACGGTCAGAGGGAGCACTAGGAAGAGCACCGCGTCCGGGTACGTCTTGCTACATATCGTTGTCCACCCCATCCCGATAGAGAGACTGGATCAGAAGAACAAATAGGTGGTGACGAAGACACCAAGCGCGATGATGATCACGACTTGTAATGGGACACCTTCCGGTGGGGCGATGTCGCTTCCAACATAGCTGCCCACCTCTGTACGTCCATCGTACGTTGAGCGGTCGTCGTACGTCCTGCCATCGTAGCTACTGCCATCGTCCGACGCGGGCCCGCGCCTTCGTTGCCTGAGCTCCGTCGCGCCTGTGACAGACGTAGGGGCAACGCTCGGTTCCGGCATGGACGCAATCAATTGTCGGAGGCGCTCGATCTCCGCCTGTGCTTCATCGAGCTTCTTAACCAGCTCGGGGTTCGGATCCTGCACGATGACCTGCGGAGCTGGAGGGGGCACAGCCCGTGTGAGGGGCGAGGGAGGCGGTGATTGACGTGCAGGCGGGGGTGCGTGCACGCTGACGTTGACGATACCGACACCCTCGTCGCTTGACGGCTGGGGCTCTGACGGAGTGGGCTCGGGTGGGTGAACGGCGACGTTCGGTGGGGGAGTGGAAGGAGCGTCGTGGTGCTCTTCCTCTTGCGGAGGGAGGATACGTGTCGCGCTGTCGTCCCCACCGCTGTGCTCGCGGTCTGCATGGCCATTCGTCTGGTACTGCCGGACGGTAGCGTACTTCTGGGAGTAGATGGAGGATGTTTCAGGGAATCGTGTAAGACCTGATTCTGACCACACGGAACTCACATCTTGCCCGGGTACGTTCAAGAGTGAGCTCATGTTTACGTGGGTCTCGTCCTCCTCGGGAACAGTCTGGCCCTCAGGAGGTAGGTAGACAACACGGATCTTCTGAGAATGAACCTCGTCTGCTTCGCCGTTCCACTACGCGCATGAGACAGACGTGAGCCGCCTTCGTTTTGAGGACAACAAGGGATACGCACGATCTCTTGCAGAGGCATGCTCTCCTTCTCAGGAGTGATGATGGTGCTCTGGATGAGGAACTTGTCTTTGCATTTCGCGTTGAGGGGCAGATCCTCCTTCATAGCTTGCAGCATGACTAGGCGGGCGCGAGCCTCAGTCTCGATGGGCCGCTTCAAGCAACAGGACATTGACACGTACCTGCAACCTCGACGGTCTCTCCCGGCTCCACCCTACCAGAGTTGGGCCTTACACAGTAAAGCTGGACACGCACGACATGCCGCCTGAGTCTCCTGTTAGTGTTGTTGTAGCGCCATGAGGGCTCACCTTGGGAGCAGTTGTCTTGACTTTGAATGCGACTGGGTTCGCATTGTTGTTTGTGATCTGAAGTGTACGCTTGACGGATTCGGTGAACGGCCCTGCGCGCACATCGAGCGGGGGGCAACACGGAGCGGGGTGAGGAAACGGAGTAGAGGGACGTGGATTATTAGAAACCAGGATCGGTCAGCATGGGCCGCTCGCACGCGGGAGGGATCTAATCCACGCACTGTTGAAACCCAGAACGCTGCTGGGATTGAGGGAGACGGACATTTTGGCTTTGAGGGGACAGCAGAGGGCGGCGGGAGAATGGGGGCTGAGGGTATGTGAGGGTAGAAGGAGAGATAGGATGGCTGGAAGAGGCACGGTGCGCGAGCGTGAGTGATGACGGTGCACTACCGCTGCGAGCGCTTTTGAGCGGAGTCCCACCTCTCGCCTCCAGCCGGCCCTTCTCCGCGTGGCCCTGCAAGTACCCCTTCCTCCAGCACCTCGTCCTCACAACCACCTTTTCGTCGACTATACTCTCGCTCAGCCAACCACCATATCGACGGCAATACACAACGGCGCGGCCGTCGTGCGCCGGCCATGCTTCAGGGCATGCCATCATGCACTGCTGCCACGCGCTGCGGTCATGAACCCCTAATTTATTGACCTGGCACCGCTTCTGGGTTTTTGTGTGTAATCAAGCACATCGCTCGCAGCCTGTTGTGCGCAAGTACGGGCTGAAGGGGGATTAGGGAGCGACTATTACATTGGTGGTGATATTATCAAATCGTAGTGGTGTGCAGGGGCTAGGAATAGGGATGCAAACAGGTTTCTTGTGTGTAACGAACGCGACGAGAAGCAAAGAGCGATTAGCGACGAGACTTGTATGTAACGAGAGACGACTAGTAGAACTCTGAACAGACCGAGATATACAAAATCCGACACCCTCCGATTGTATTGTATGTACGAATGGATCCTGATGAGATGAAAGAGATATAGCGAGGGCGATGCAACTCATGGAGTGCGTGTTGTAAATTACGAAGGGCTGATAGGCATGTGGGTGCCGTCGTACGAGAAGCCTGGAGGAATGTTGTTGAGTCAGCAGCGCCCATTTCCCCCATCACTTCCCCCTTACCTGCGAACTGAGCCTGTACGGTCTGCGAAAGCTGTGACCCTTCGACGACACTATCGAGGGGGACCTCAGTCGTAAAGACGGTGTCGAAATTAGACACATCCTATGCAATTCGTATGAATACAAACAAGAGGAGATGGAATTGAATTAAATTAGGGGCGTACCACTGGGCTCGACACGCTCGGCTTGAACGGCGGCTGAATCTTCTTCTGAATGAGCTTCTGGAAGTCAATATGGTTCGCAAAGAATGGATGAGATCTGATCTCTTCTGCCCCGTTGACTCCGAGACGTTGTGTGGGGTCCCGAGTGAGGAGGCCAGTGAGGATGCTGCGTGCCTCGACCCCGATATCGTCTCCGAAGACGAGAGGATCATGCAGGATCTTCTGGTACATGACGTCTGTGTTCTCTGTGGGTAGAGGGTTGGCAGCAACTCGTAAGCAGAGCGAGAAGCTGACTAACCATCGTAGAAGGGGGGAAGTCCCGAAAGCATCTCGTACAGGAGTACACCCAGGGTCCACCAGTCGATCGTCTTGTCTGCGGTAGTATTAGCACGCGCAGCCGCTTCCGTTGACGTCAGCAATACGTACTGTACCCTTGGCCGCAGAGGATCTCAGGCGCGAGGTATTCTGGCGTGCCACAGAATGTGTTCGTCTTGTCTGAATCTTTCATGTTGAGCTTGCACAATCCGAAGTCGCACAACGCGATGTGACCAGTGTAGTCAAGCAAGATGTTCTCAGGTTTCAGATCACTATTGTGAGCGATATGAGGGTCGTGCGTGCCTGACAGTGAAGCTTAAAATCATACCGATAGACGACATCGAGCTCGTGAAGATGCTCCAAGGCAAGCAGCAGCTCGGCACTATAGAAACGTGACCTTTCTTCGTTGAACCTCTGTTCACGCTGCAGGTGGTGGAAGAGCTCCCCTCCGTTGACGAAGCTATGACCCCTATCAGCACAGAGCCCCACGGCACACATGAGCGACATACGCAAGCACAAGGTAAAGCTTCTGCTCAGACTGGAAGCTGAACTTGAGGGGCACAATGAACGGATTGTTGACACGAGCGAGGACTAATCGTTCCGCTAGCGTGTGCGTAATTTCTCCTCGCTGAACAATGTATTGTTTCCGAATTGTCTTCAAAGCATAGATACGAGAGGTATCTCGCTTGCGAACTTGCATGACCTAGAGATGGGGCATTGAGAAGACGGTGAGAGCGCAGAAGAGCGGCTCCGTACCTTCCCGAAGCTTCCCTTCCCAATAACCGTAATGAGCTCGAAGTCATCGATAGTGAGCGATTGACCCTAGAAGCAAGATGTGAGATACACACGCAGGCGCGCATGGTGCAAAGTCTAGACCCACCGTGCTCGGCTTGAATGCAACACCTATTTGGATCCTTCCCGAACCTCCCGCGAGGTCGTACCACTGGTCCTGCGACGCGGAATCGTCAAAGTCCGGAGTGAACCGGACACCGCCCATGAAGAGATCGTTGCCCATATCATCTGCGATTCCATCGCCTCCGCGCTTGGGCTCTTCCGTACGCAAGTAGCACTGGATGGAAATCTCCGAGTGACGAGACACGTCGCTATGGACCACGTCAGTATACCCTCCGTTCTGTACGCTCCTAGCAAAGACGGCGAAACACGAATAAGCACTCACAAATGCGTCTCGTACATGTACAGCGGCTTGCCCAGATCGCCGCCCAAGGGGGTGATCAGCACCTGGTTCACCTCAAACTCCATGACGAGGTACGGGAGCCACCAGCACTGCGTCCTTTGCACGCTGTCCCTGTTGCTCTTCCTGTTCGCCAGCCGGTTCTGCGTGACGCTTGAAGGCGACACCGATGCGGCGATCTTGGCCTGCTGCGACGACAGGGCGGCCTGCACCGCGGGGGGCACGGCAGCCCCGTCGGGCAGGGCGAGGTTCTCCGCCCACAAAACGCGGATTGCAAGTAGCCCCGACTGCGGCTTCCCGCTTGGGTTGCCTGGGGTAGGCGTTGTAGAGCGCGGATCCATGTCCTGAATCGACAGCCCGTTTGCGGGCTGCTTGGACTTGCTCTTGCCTATCTTCCAAGACATCCTGATGTTCTACGACCGCAGGACTAGCGCGAGAGACTGGTGCTGGGGCTCGCCGTTCAGAGTCAACGACGAAAGGATCTACAGTAAATGCAAAGCCTGCTTTGCGCTCGAGGGACGGATGAGTGACGAGGAATGTGGGGATCAAGCGGAGGGACGGATTGGTCAAGGCCGATGACGCCCATACAAAATGGTCGCTGCATAAGCGACAGATCCCGATCTCGCTCGACCTTCCGACCGTCAACTCGTCAAGTCGTAGCGATGTTCATCCAGACATCAAGAAGGGAAGCCACCGGAAGCCACTCAATTCTATTCATTGGGAAAATGCGGAAGCATCCGTTGTTATGTCGCACATTCCATCTTAATTACATCACATCATCTGCACCGATAGGTGCGTGAATTACCGCATGTACATCTGGGAATAAGGATAGGACAACACGTGCACAGAATTGCCAATGTCCACAGGAATTGGAGGTCCACCAAATCCCGGCAAAGTCGGCAAAGCTGATCGTAAAACGCAAGTGTGTATGTAATACCAAGGCTACGCGCTGTAACCTGACTACGGTCAAGGGCGAGACTGCAGAGAAGACGACGGCCTAGATCTCGAGGTCGGATGCCAGATGGGGCGCGCCGGAAGTGACTTCTCGATAGCGATAGATATCATCATGCAGGACCGTGAGTCGACAGGTCCGCGAAGGAGAGGTCGAAGCAAGAGAGTTCAGACCATCTGATATAGTGCTTGTCACGTCGATGACCTGACGAAGATAGGCGGCGTTGGCGGGTCCAAGGATGCGCCAATGAAAGGCAACCGCGAAACTCCTACTCGTTGAGACTGGCAAGTAGCCTCTTCCGGCTCTCGGCCTCTGCCTTCGCGATACGTGCAAAAGACCTGGCCCCGCGTCCGAAGAGGGCTTTGCGCATGCGCATGTCCTCGTTCGCCTTCGCATGCGCGGCGAGGGCTGCCTGGTTGTGTGTAACGCGCTTCTTCGACTCCTTGAACGGACCTACTGTTTTCGCCTTCAGTCCAATTCCAAGGCGGTCGGTCTTGAGCACAGTAGCAAGCGGAGTGAGCAGCGCCTTGGGGTTGTGGGAGACAGCGGCAGCAGAGGAGTCTGGTAAACCAACACCGCGTCTGACGTCCGTCTCGACATCGCTCGATTCTTCGTCAGAATCGGAGAGCGTTAGGTCCACCACATCCACGCGCCGAACCTCGCGGATGTCATCATCTGTGCCCACCGCTACTTCCAGTTCCTCCGTCTTGATTGACAGTTCGCGGTCGTCCAAGATGGTCCTCGCTGGTCTCTTCTCTCGAGCGTTCTGTGTCAGCGATCGTCTCGGTGCGGCTGCACCAAGGGCTTCGCCCTCGCTCCAACCACTCTGCTGAAGCATGGCGAAACCCTTGTTGGACGGGCCGATATGAAGAAAGACGGGAGGAACAAACGGCTGCTCCTTGCGTTCCGGCGGCGGTTCTCTGGACAGGATGTCGGCAAGTGTTGGTGCGGGTACAGGCGTGACATGCAATGATGAAGGCGCAGAAATTGTGGATCTAGTAGTGAACCAGTCGACCTTCTTCTCGGATGGTGGCGCAACGAGGGTCTGCGCGGGTGGAACATCAAGCGTAGGTTGCGGGGAAGAGGACGAGGATGGGTCGACGCGAGCGGGAGGGGAAGCCTGTGGCCCGATCACAGGTGCGCTTGATGCGCGAGGTAAAGACCTGTACCATTCACCGACGTGAGATGAAGGAGCGGGCTCTTCTGCACGAGGTAGCGAGGATGAGGCACTGCCCATCATGTTGTTCACCTCATCGTAGGATACGATGGCGGGAACAAATCGAGGGGCGTTCTTTAAACGACGATTGACTCCGAACGTCGATTCAGTAAGCCAAGGATCTCGTTGATCCTCTTCAGCCTGTTCCTGTACGACCTCTTCGTCTTCCTTCTGATTGGGTGGATGGTAATGAGAATATATGTAGTGAGTAACGGTAGCCATGAGGTGATGGATAGAGAGTAAGAGCAGACTCAGCGAGTGCAGTGCGGCTCCGCACACTTGAGCAATGCCGTCACGTGGTGAGAGGGTCTTGGGCGTCTATGTTATACCCGCCCACGGACTCGAGCGACTCAGAGGCGAGATATTGCACTCTGGCAGGCGGCGACGACCACTCGCCCAGACAATACCTATCATCTCTCCCCAGCTCCTGAAGATTGCCTTGTGCCGTACACTGTCTTCTTGCAACGATGGATTCCGCTGGCGACGCCGACGTTCACCGTGTCTGGACTCTTCTCTCTGAGGTTTCAGAGCAACTTAGCCAAAACCGCTCTTCTGCTGTGAACCTGCATGCCCTCGCCGATGGAGCAAAGGTGCGTCGCCTTCTCTTATCTTACATGAGGTTTGTTGCCTTTGGTCTCATATGTGACTATATCACTACCAGGCTCAAGCCATCCATTCACAAACCGGCTTTGTACTCCGCCGGTGTGTACTCTAGCAACTGTCATGTCGCACGGGTCTGATAGAAACCAAGCTTCAACCTAGACAAACCAAAAGGTACCTCGTTCCTATGGTGTATATGCGGACACTGACTTATGCGACTCATATTCCTAGAGGTTTACGATGCCGAACTGGAACGCATGAACGCGGCCATGTCCGCGGAGAACCAGGCCCTCCTCAACGACAACCGCCAGCTCAGCGCCCTCATCCGCGAGTACGAGCAGACCCTCGAAAACGTCATGGCCACCTTCCGTACGCGCGCGGTAAGTCCCTGCCGGAAAATGCTACCCGTCCACCTCCCCTCAACCCTGCTTTAGCACGAGGTGCAACGGCGCGAGCTCGCCCTCATGCGGCAGTACGAAAGCGTCCTCGTCGAGCGCGAAACCGAGGCTCTGGGTGAAAACATGAAGGTGAACACCGCACGCTCGGAGAGCTTGGCTCGTGTCGGCCGCATGTTGCGCGCCGTCTTGCGGAGATTGGGTGGGGAGGATGTGCAGCTGTACGAGGCGCACATGGCAGCAGCGGCAGGAGGGAAGAGCGCAGGTCAGTCTCGCCAGCCCTCGACAAGCGCAGCACCGCTATCGGTACGCCGGGAAGAGAGGAGCGGGGAGGGTGAGAGCAGCAAGAAGGACAAGGGGAAAGAACGGGACGACGGGACACTCGACGAACATCGTTCAGGGTCCCCAGACCCTGATATCGACCACCTACTGGACGAGGAGGAGGATCCGGAGCGGCGGCTCGCGGCCGCAGAGTGGGCGTTGGAACGCGAGAGCGAGCTCGCCCGTCTAGAACGCGAGAACGAGGAGCTCCGTGCGCTCGTCAACGGACTGCTCAAACCGGAGGCGCCGAGCTCGACAGCGCCGCAACGACCATCCGAACTGTCGTCGTCCACCGCGCCGATCCTCATACCCGACCATCCGGACGGCGAGGAGGAGGGCCGGAATGCCGAGGAGCACCCTTCATTCGCGACGATCCCCCGCCAACATCGATTACTCGGTGGTCCGCCAGGGACCGTCGGGCCATTCGGCACCTACAAGAGAAACACGCTTATCCGGGTGGATAGCCGGTAGTAGCTAGTGAGTGCATCGTGCCTGATTCTGTGCGTGCCACTCACAGAAGTATATGTAGATTTCATGTGCCATCTACGTCACCAGGGATTGCACTCGGTCTCCCCTCATGTTTGTACCCTACTTGTCACACTGTGTACTTCGGATCGGACAATTCATCGCTTTCATCTGTTCGTGGAATATAGATACATTACTATGGTATGACTGCAAACTGCACGAAGCGTTCTCGTCTCAGAAACCAACGATCAACACGGGGAGAACACAACATACGAGAGCTATAAGCAAGATACAACCGCCATAACTTACACATGTACAGCGCCGCATAGCACGACAGAAAGAGCATTTGAGCAACTCAGGAGAAGGGTATCAAAACCAAGCTGAAGGAGCATAACAGCCAGCGAAAACCAAATTGAGCTATATCACTGTGAGTTGGAGAGGACTTCTCGCGATCGCTATGACAAGTCCGGCTCGCCCCAGATGCTCTTCACAGTCTCGCACTTGACATCGGCGACGTACATGCGCAGCCACTGCACCATCTCCTTGCTGACCTGGGGACAGCGCGTGAGGTCGATGGACTCGATCCGGACAGGACGGCCAACCGTCTGCGACGCGGACGAGAGGACGGGCACCGACGGCTGCCGCGACAGGATGTGCGCGGAGGCGGCAAACGCGGAAGCCGAGGAAGAGGCAGAGGAAACCGTGGCCGAGGACGACATGGCTTGCCGGTGGTGGTGGCCGGACGCGCTTGAGATCGCCGGCTGGCTCGCGGGTGCTTGTGGGACGTGTGGGGGGGCGGTCTGACGCGGGAACGCGCGGGAATGGGGAGGCAGGCGGGACTCGACGATTGCGCGGAGGGTTTCCCATTCCAGCGACGTGCATCCTTCCACCGAGAGCGTGCTCAGTCTGGGACACACCCAGGTCTGGGAGACCGGAGGGGTGGCAAGGTTCTGTGGACAAGACCGTCATTACCCCTGATAGCTGAAGGGACAGCAGCGCTTACTCGCATGAGATTCGATGTCACGTCCTCCACATCGACGAGCTCCAAGGATGTCAGCGAGGTCAGGCGCGGCAACAACCGAGCAAAGCGAAGTTCGTTGAAGAAGCAGGACTCGATCCGCAAGTGACGCAGCGGGAGGACGGTGAGGGACTGCCTGCGCAGAGCCTCCAGCATCGGAGAGACGTTGTCCAGATAGCACAGCTCGATGCGTTCTAGCGCCGGGAACGAGAGCAGGGTGAGCACGGTTCGGGTGCGCAGATTGCCGGAGTAGTAGAACGAAGCTTTGCGAAGCCGCGGCAGGGAGATCGAACGCGTGTCCGATGCGCGTGCCAGGACGTGATCGTCATGCTCCGAGGCCTCCGGAATGAGCGTCGTACAGCCGTCCGGGTCGACGTCGGACATATTCCGCAGGACCAGCTCCTCTAGCTGCGGACACGAGCGCAAGGTCTTGAGCAGAGTGTCGACGGAAGGAGAGAGCCCGTTCCAATAACCGCCGAGCTTGAGTACGCGGAGATTGCTCAAGAGCGCGAGGTCCCATCCGAAACTGAACGAGGTGAAGGACGAGGTCCGTAGCCGAGGCGTAGTGCGTTCGAACAGGGAAAGCGGCGGCTTTGAATAGTGGTCTTCCTGCATCGAATGGGAGACGCGGACGGAGAAGACCTCGAGCTGTGGCGCCTGCTCCTTGCACCGACTGAGCGCGACATGGGCCTGTGGCCGGCTTGGTACAATCAGATGGAAGGTCTTCCAGCGCCATATTGCGGGACGGACGAGCTCCATGGCCGTAATGATACTCTCGGTAGAGACGGTGCCGTGTTCCATGCGAGGGCTGAAATCAAGGCAGACGTACAACGGAGCGGTCCGGGATCGGTCGAGCTTGAGGATCGCCCGGTCTATGGAATGGTGCGTACCCATTGCGATGCGCGTCCAGAGCATCGGAGAGTTAATCGCCACCTCTCGCCAACACCGGCACACGAGCATCAGGTTCGAGAGGGTGATCGAGTCCTCGTCTTCTTCGTCCAGGACCGCAATCGAGAAGATCGACGAGAGGAGATCGTTGGGCATGCGCTGGACAGGAGAGTGCATACGGACCGCTTGCTCCAACCTCAGCTCCAGCAGGTCTCGTTCGCTCAGGAGCGTCGCCATCTTCGAATCCAGGGAGAGTATTGCCTCCCGAAGGTAGGGTATCGACAGGTCGAGAGCCGATCTTCGAGGGCTTGACATCCACGGAGCAGCGGATGCGCGCGAAAAGCTTCCTGCTGGTGGCGCGGCATCCTGCGGACGACGCTGGGATGAGGACTTGTCTGCATACGCCGCGGCCATGAGCGCGGCCGTGTCGCACACGTCGTAAGGTGGCGGCTCGGTGGAGTACTCGGTCGTCCAGGACATTGTGGTGGGTGCGCGAGCGAGAGGCTGTTCGAGAGTAGCGTAAGACATGGCGGAAGGGTGTAGGCGGGGGGTGGGATGAATGAGGGGAGTGTGGTGCATGATATAGCCTGTGGCGGGGCGACCGATCGCGGCCTGTTGCGCGGCGCAAGCAGGCCTTATAGAGGCGGGCGAGGAGGCGGTCTGGAGGAAACCTATGAGGGGTTTCAGAATCTCGTTGTGTTCAGACAGCGCCGCACCAGGCGTTTGCTAGCTCGATTTGGCCTAAGCGATGGAATGGAGGCCTTGGACGACGCGAAACGCGACGTCAAAGCTGATGCGCACAGTCTTCAGGATGCAACGCGCACAATAGCAGTGTGTGGCTGAGGGCGCGGAAAAAGGGTGCTGGGACAATAAGACATTGGGATGGTGTTTGGGGCGTAGAAAGGATGGACGAACGTACCTGGTCGTCGTCAGGTCGTACAAGACGGCCGCAGAGGGCGCTGTGGGATCAGGCGGACTTGGGCGGCGCGTTATGCTTCGACGGACGGCAGACAGGGAGAAAACATGAGACGAGGTTGCGATCTGACATTGATAAAGCGATTTTCGGGCAGAGAGGATGATGGGAGAGACACGAGGCTGGGTGCATGTCTGGCCGAGCGGTGCGTGCCATAGAGAAGAGTTTGGGAGTGACCTGCAACGTGGGACGTCGAATAGCAGCCTGCAACACGAGGGAGGGAACGAGGCCGGGCGCGGGCAAAGTCCGCCTCCAACGCTCGCTTCTCTCCTTCCTCCCCTCGCACGCTCCCACCAGTTCATCGTCCTCCCTGGGCCCCTTATCGCCTTTCCCAGTCCCGCGCGCCGTCCCCGGCCTCATCAGAAGAACCGCGACTCGGCCATAATGCTCTACCCGGTCACCCCCGACGCTCAATTCGCTGTGCTTCACTACACGTTTTCTACCTAGTCTCGTCTATTGTCCGTCTACCACTGCATCTATCAGCCCGACGCCCGTCGCTTGTCCTCTTGCCGGTACTCGAAGAACTGGTACAGCACCTGTGTGCGTGTGCAACAGCGTCAGCCCATCGCCGCGTGGCCCGACAAAATAGCCTCGAATCTTACAAAGACATCCAGGAAGACGGTCAGGGCGCTCCCTTCAGTAGGTGTCGCATATCGAACGAAGCGTTGCACCTCTCATCAGACCGGCGTTTCTGACCCATTCTCGGAGATGCACGCACCGGCAATCCAGGGCCCATTCACCACAAGGTGTTTCATGCTCAGCGACGCCGCGAGAATGGACAGCACGTACGTCGTGTTCCCCGAAATGGAATAGACAAAAAGAAAAGGCGAGAGCCCTTCGCATCTGGTACTCAGGTTCTTGACTGTGCGTTCTGGCCTTCAGTCCCTGGCCCCCATCGCTAAGCTGAGCCACGCACCTATTTGCGGGACCCGCGCTCCGACTTCGTACAGGTGTGAGCTCGAGGAATTTCCAGATAGTACACGCACTCACGGAACAGGGCCGCACTAATCCACCCCAAGACCTGGCTTCGCCACTCCACCACCTCTTCCTGAGGGTCCAATGGAGGTGTGCTGTAACGGATGTATTTATCCACGGCCCACGCGCCTACGCCAACCCCGAAAACGAAGACCATCGCCGCGATATACCTCAAACCATCCTGCCACACGGGCCGCACTGGGGATGGTTCTTCAGAGCGACCGTCTCCCGGTAAGAGCGGACTTGATTCATCGTAGAGCGCAGACTGCCTCGAGTCTTCGGTAATGAGGAGCGGTGCATTTCGGCGTGTCCGCTTCCATCGGTAGTAGTAGATTTGAGCGAGAAGGGTTGCGTCACACACAGAGTACTGGGCGTTGTTTCAGCCGGTCCCCTGCAACGTACCAGAACGATAGATTGGCTCACATAAACGCCAAGTATGATGATCGTAGGCTGCAGTCCGGCCAAAATGGCACCAGACGTATTGCATAAATCGCCAATCAGCCAGGTGACAACGAAACCCACGCTCAGCCCTTCGCCTGACTGCAGCTGGTAATTTTCGATGATCTGTGGTGAGTAAACCACTATCCTGATACAGAATCGGCGAATCAGAGAACAAGATAAGGTGAGACGAAATCTGTGAGGCGTACCAGCAAGCGATGGAAATCCAACCCAGCTACATAAATCGAGAAGTTGAATACCGTCCTTGGGAGGGTCTCGGATGATATTTACATACGAAGTTACTGAGCTCCGGATTGCCTTCGAAAACCATCCCTTGCTTGAGACCAGATTACCAAAGCTAGAAGTGGAAAGCCCCTTTAACGGGTGTCCGGCAGCACTGGCAGAACTGCGTGGCGTACACGACGGCGTCGAGACAGGGCGAGCCGTGGAGAGACAGAGATATCTGGACTCTCAGGAATCCTTCCGCACTTCGAAGCCAATGCTCGGCAGTTGCCGAGCCCTGGCCGCATTGAGGCGCCGTACGCTGCCGCGTAGTGTCGTCAGTGCTGCTCCCCGCCCTCGAACTCCTTCTGCACGGCTGCCTCCTTGCAGCTCGACCTCCGACTATACCTATGAACTCTCAAGACGCTTGGAGGCGTTTCTCTCAGCAGTTGCAGCGTGCAGCTGCCTCTGGTGGCGGCGGGGGCCCGCGTCTACCCATCAAGGGCTTCTTCACCGGCTCTGGTTTACTTCTCGCCTTAGTGGGAGGCGGCCTTGCACTCAATGCCAGTCTATTCAACGGTGCGCATATCTACCGCCCAACCATACCATAGTAGCACTGTTGATTGATGGGTTACGCTCGTGTAGTGGATGGTGGTCACCGTGCAATAAAGTACACTAGGTGAGCAGTATCCGAGCTTGGTCTCCGTGTTCGATGTCGAGCGACTTCTGCTGCTCAGGCTGCACGGTGTAAAGGAGGACGTCTACCCTGAAGGAACGCATCTCATGGTCAGTGCTTACCCAGCACAATGGCGACGCGGCATTGACACGTTTGTACCCTCACAGATCCCGTGGCTCGAGACACCTATCGTCTATGACATCCGCGCGAAGCCTCGGAACATTGCTTCCCTCACAGGCACCAAAGGCGCGTCTGATAACAAGTTGTGGACTACCTTTCCGACTTACCCTTGCCTCGTGTATTTAGACTTACAAATGGTCAACATTACGTGCCGTGTGCTCTCCCGACCGAATATTTCGGCACTGCCAACAATCTACCGAGAGCTAGGCACTGATTATGACGAGCGCGTCTTGCCTTCCATCGTCAACGAGGTCCTCAAAAGCGTAGTCGCCCAGTTCAACGCCAGTCAAATCATCACACAGCGTGAACAGGTACGCTACACGTTATACATCTCCGGCTCCTCGTGGCCCTTACACGCTGCCGCGGCGCCACATAGGTGTCAAGATTGGTCCGAGAGAACCTTACCCGCCGCGCGTTACGCTTCAATATCGTTCTCGACGACGTCTCGATCACGCATGTTGCCTTCTCTCCCGAGTTCACCCACGCCGTCGAGGCGAAACAGGTCGGTCGCTTGTTCTTGACCTTTCTGCGGGGGCGTTACTCATTACGTCTATACAGGTCGCCCAACAAACTGCGCTCCGTGCTGCCTTCCTAGTCGATCAGGCAATTCAGGAGAAGCAGGTGCGTACGGATTGCCTCGCAGAGCAAGGATCACGTCAGACCTGACGCCCTTTCCCAGTCTATCATCGTCCGGGCCCAGGGTGAGGCGCGCAGTGCCGAGCTCATCGGCGAAGCCGTTCGCCAGAACAAGGGCTTCCTGCAGCTCCGTAAGCTCGAAGCTGCCCGCGATATTGCGACTCTCTTGGCCGCGTCTGACAACCGTGTGATGCTCGACTCGCAGGCTTTGCTCTTGAATGGTACGTGGACAACAGTGAATGTCGCCGAAACAATCTCTGATGTATACTCTAGTGGCGGATGACGCAAAGGATCTGCTCTCTCTGAAAAAGTAATCGCTTCTATGTCTGGTCTGTACTTAGGGTATCTCGATACTATTCGCGCCGCTCTGCCGAGTGCTGCCTCCCCTCCCTTATACAAGCTCCCTTCCCCGCGTGTCTTTTGGCACTGAGGTCGCATGTTGAACACCCACGAAACGCCGATTTAACTCAAGCCGACTGACTGCCGTTAGGTGTTTCTCGGCCTTACGGCATTGTCTCCGTTTTTGTTCGATGGTTCTAGCGCTGCTCACAGACTTGCGGTGTCCGCGCGGGCACGTGACTGGGCATGATGAGACGCGACGCGTTTGGGCTGCCCATCGTCTTCCTTCCATTCTTCTTTCACCAGCGCATGCACCTGCTAGAAAAACGATGCCTCGACTTACAAAATCCAAGCGCCTGAGCGTTCCACACACAAGTGCGCTTGAAGAAGAGCTCGAAGAAGAGACCACAGCGCTAGAAGCGAGTCAGACGGACGACACGCTGCCGCGGAAGAGGGTCCGATGGGAGGGAAGTGTAGACACTCCCGAGGAAGAGGAAGATCAGGAGGTGGAGGAAGAGTCCTCGTCGAGCGGTACCGCCGAGAAGGCAAGTAACTGCGCGACACATTCATGTCGCATAGGACTTATGGGAGGAACCAGGTCTGCCTAGCAGCCACGTGCCAATCGTAGGTCTTACTCACTTGACATGGAGAGGATGTATGACGCTCATGGATCAATCAGTGGCCGAGTTGCGTGCGCATACTATGATCCAGTGAAGTGTACGGTTCTTGTTTTCGACGACTCCCCCGAGGACCATCACCTCGACCTGACAAAGGCTTGTAAGTGCTCTCAAGTCCTTCTCGAATATCACTCCGTAACGAATGTCGCGTTTGCGTAGTGTTGGAGAAAGCAGGCCCTGATGTGGTCCTTACCAGCTCTAAGGCAGATGACAACTTCATCGAAGTACTTCGTAATCATGGTACACATCTCGATTTCACATATAAACAAGCGCATATACTCACCTTTTCGCCTAGTTGATGGCTCCAGAGGCACTTTCCAAGTCCGACCACATAAGGATTTCATTCCTCTGAAAGGCCGCGACCGGCTTCTCTCTCTCCGTCTTCTCTCACAGCTGCCCGTCTACCAAAACGATCAGGACACAACATCGGAGCTTGGCTCCATATCCGAGCCTAGAAATGCCTACGATTTTATGCGACGTCGAAGAGAAACTGGGGGCGACCCAATGCTGCAGAAATGGAACGCTTCGGTCCGGCTCGCGAACTTCGCCTCAGTGGAAAACTCGCCTCTATGTGTGAGCGTTTCGCCTTGTCAATGCGAGGTACGCATGATTTACGACGTGTAGCTCGGCTCAATTGGTGCACTGCTCGACTACCTTGCTCGAGCTCGCGCCGTTTCAGATCTTGAGGACGAAGGCATCAACGGACTGGAGATCCGCAGCATCGAGCCACTCCTTCTCACAGACACCATGCAAATCAACATGGACGCTCTTTTCTCCTTGCAGATCTTCGAGGACGAGAACCACGCATCTATACACTCCGACAAGACGAAGGAGGGACTCTCCTTGTTCGGCATCCTCAATAACACGAAGACAACATTAGGTCGAGCGCTGATGCGCGAATGGTTCCTTCGGCCGTCCATGTCTCTCGAGGTGATCAATGCTCGTCACGACGCGGTGGAATGCTTCCTCCGCCCCGAGAACATAACGACAAGGAATGCCATGCAAGGACATTTGAACGGCACGAAGAACGTTCCAAGGATCCTGGGGGCCATCAGAACGGGAAAAGCCAAGGTGTCCGACTGGCAGGCACTGGTGAAGGTAAGCACCATCTCCGCACTCGCAACACTGAGCCTTCCCTCACGAGATGGATAGTTTGCGTTCCACGCGTTGCTTTTGCGTGACGCCCTATCAGAGCTGAAGCATGCCGGTAGCGTCATGATAGTCCGGAAGGCAGGTCCCCGTATTGACAAGACGGACTTATGCTAATCACCTCGAGCAGCTTATCAAAGCGTTGGATGTGTCTAATTTTCGACAGCTAGGGAGCGCCGTCAACGAAATAGTACTCAGAACCATCGTGCATGCGGCGAACACTTATGCATAATTGTGCAGATTGACTGGGAGGAGAGCACGAATACGGGTCGTGTCTGCGTTCGCCCGCGGATTGACGAAGAACTTGACAACTTGAAGCATATTTACAATGGCATTGACTCGGTCCTGGTACGTGCTGCAGAACGAGATGGTTGTTTATATTGTGATTAGTCGTTTTCCCTAGTCGAAAGTGGCAGTCCAAGTCTCTGCTACCATCCTTCCTGACTATACGCCTTCCTTGAACGTGGTGTACTTTCCACAGCTTGGTGCGGAAGCTTTTGTATTCGTGCGCCGTTGTTCGCTTGCTAACCACTGTCGCAGGCTTCCTGATCTGTGTTCCTATGAAAGAGGAATGGAAGACCGATGCTGGGATTACTGTACTCGACGGTTGGAACTTCCAGGTAATCATTATGCCACGACTCAGATTGGTATGCACGGGCTCAACCACATTGATCAGTTCTCTTCGGAGTTCGTCTTCATAGCAATTGGTGGGGGAAGCGAACTTCTGACTACGATCTCATAGGTCTCATGTCTACTTCAAATCTCAAGAAATGCATGGTGCATGGGATTTGCCTTCATGATGCGACACTCGCGCTGATGCACCGAAACAGACATGGACGTCCACATAGGCGATCTTCATCCGGCCATAGTGGGTGAGTCTTCTGCAATCTCTGCGCGATACCTACTCGATTGACACGTACGCGAGATCGTGAAATCGAGATTGTGCAAGCTCTACAAGAGAAGATACTTGTCTACGACGAAATCATAGGCCATGCATGCGACGTCTGTGCCGAATTAGACTGTCTCGTATCCTTCGCGTTGGCCGCGCGCTCCTATGACTACCGAAGACCGTATATGTCCACGGAGAACATCATCGATATCAAACAAGGCAGGCAAGTTTGAACGTCTCTGCATCCTGTCGATACCTCTAATGTTTCTTCAATGTAGACATCCCATGCAAGAATTTGCCGTCCCTACGTTCGTACCGAACGACACATATCTGGTCGGTGGCGCCGGTATCGGAGTCACCTTCCCAGACGATGAGACGGAGACAGAGTCACAAGAAGAGCCACACAATGTCAAGAACAGCGTGATGGTGTGTACGGGTGCCAATGCCTGCGGAAAGGTGCGCGTTACTTTACCTCGCAGGACGTCCGCACTAAGCAGGAGGCATACAGAGTGTGTACCTGAAACAAGTACGTGATCCTCTCAACAATGTCAGTATGCGGTGAAATCCGAAGTCTTGGTGTAGGTCGCCCTGATCCAGTACATGGCTCAAGTATGTGCTCAGATACGCTGCCCTTGTACATGCCAATCGATTCCTACCTAACCACAGATTGGATGGCAAGTACTGCTCGCCAGGATGAAGTCATAGGCTTAGCCTTCACCGTAGTTTTGTTCCTGCCGAGTCCGCTATCCTCGGAGTCGTCGACAAAAGTGAGTACCATCATTATGACCAGGCAGACATGAGCTCTATTCTCACCTGGTCTATCTGGGGAGTCTTTACTCGGGTGCAAACTCGAGAATCGGTGTCCAGGGTAAAGGGTCGAGAGCGCTTCATCAAAACTGGGCAGCTACTGAAGCGTAGTATCCCATGACGCAGGTGCAATCAGCCTTCATGATCGATCTAAATCAAGTGTCCCTTGCTTTGCGCAACTCGACAGCACGCTCCTTGTTGATCCTGGACGAATTCGGGAAAGGTACCCTTCCAACAGGCTGGTATTCACATGTTTCCCACCTTTCACGGAGCTGACAATCTATGCGATCCTTGCGGGCATATCTCTTCTACTGCGCGACCCCTTGACGTCGATCTAGATGGCGCCGGTCTCTTCTGCGGAATGCTGAAACACCTACTGGAACGTGGCTCGTCGTGCCCGAAGACCATTGCGACCACGCACTTCCACGACATCTTCCACAACAACCTTTTCAGCCCCTGTCGAGTCCCTGTCACATTTGTTCACATGCAAGTGATGTTTTCACTCAATCAGGGCCCCGGTGCTTTGGAGTCTAGAGAGCCCAGTGCATTTATTGAATACGAAGACGATGGGAGTCAAACTCGAATGGGGCCGGACGACAAAATCGTGTATCTATACAAGTACGCTCACTGCGTCCATTCGATCTGCCATTCATCCACCAATATTCGTACAGGGTTGTCAACGGGTACTCCCTTCATTCACATGCGATAACCTGCGCAGAGCTATCCGGAGTGCCGAAGCGAGTGACTTCCAGGGCACAATATGTCAAGTAAGCAGTTGACCGGCCTCCACCGACTGGTGTCGTACCTGAATTTTCTCGTGCAGTGAGCTTCTAGCTCGACACGAGGTGTGTCAGCTCTTGGACGAAGATATGAGAGACGAAGAACGTCGGGAGCTCGCGGACGCCGAAGAGATCTGCCGCAAATTCCTAGCTTGGGATCCTACGCTACCGAGGGGAGGCGAACGGCCAACCCCTATCAGAGATGAGCTAGCTGTGATGCTTGATCGGGATACATAAGTATCATGACTTGTTGCAGGAAATGGTGATACCAAGTGTACTCTACTACTTAAGTCTGACAAGTGATACAGATGCCCCGAGCTCCGTCATGCCTAAATAGAAGCCAGGGCGGCGATCTCGTCCTCTTCTAGCATCTCTCCCTCGCTCTCTGTTACCGAATCGTCCTCTGATGGATCGCTCTCGCTTGAGTAGGTGCTATCAGAATCTGACGACGAGTTCTCTGAGACAGCTTCCTCTAAGGAGTCCTCAGGAGGGTACAGGATGTCCAGGTCGCTCCTATATACTCCCCACGCGGTGTGCGTGATGCTGAGGCCGGGTATAGCATGGATGGATGGAAGCTCCTCCTCAGGGACTCCGGGTGGAAAAAGCTCTGGTAGCTGCCGAACTGCATTCAGGGAGCGGTCTAGGAGACGAACGTTCCACCGCAGGTCGCTCGCACTCCTTCTCTGTCTGCATCTCTCCAGAAAGTCCTGGCGTATGTGGCCGGCCGGGGAGTTGAACCAAATGTCAACGTATGTCAGCGTTGGATGGCTGGGGAGCAAGTCCAGGACGGAGGTATCATATTCTTGGAAGACGAGGTGCTGAAGTATAGGGCAGAGATGGATGTAGTCGACGTAAGGTCGCCAAGGTGTCTTGTGCCAGCGGGTGGCCATGTCTAAATGATCGCGGAACTCCAGGTACGTGATCGACCTTCCGAATTGCTGGAGGAGCCTGCCCTGATTGTCGATCGCCATTGGCATGATGAGCCGCTTGAGGCGGGGCAGTCTCCAGTTGGCGAATCGTTGAGAGTGATCGCTGCCTCGAGGGACGACGTACTGGCATGATATATCGAGCTCTTCTAGAGCGGCTAGCTCTACGCTCTTCAAAGACTCGTCATGATCGATGTTGATGGTGAGCGTGGTAAGGAGCGGTGCGGTAGAGACACAAGCGATTGGCCATGTAAAGTGAGGGGTACCTCCCTGAGGCCATTGTTCGAACCGCACGAGCGTCCGAGACAAGGCTCGAATGGCAGCAGTGAGTGCCGTCGGAAATGCATACAAGGCTACTCGCCGCAAGTCATCCTCCATTGCGAAGAGGCTGTCGGTGAAGGCAAGAGCACGCAACTCGGTGCACTGCGTAAGGATATAGATAAGATCGCCTACGACAAGGTCCCGTATTTCCTTTGTCGCTGGACAGTCGACGACGATCTTTCTCACTAGACGGCATATATTCGGGTGTGTTCGTAAAGTGCTTGCGAACGAGCGGACCTGAGTCGGGTGGCGGAAAGACACTTCCTCGTATAGAAAGGGCAGCGTGGCGGAGTGCCAACGACGGCTGACTCTCGCCAATGTCATTTTGGCGGCGATAGCCTGTATCCACGGAGTACAAGATCCACGAGTGGCTATGGGGTCTAGAAGGGCGTTTGGCGGAATTGTATACCGAAAGATGGTATGAAGAAGCTCCACGGGCAGATCGTCAGTCGTCCCGACTTGATGCCGAATCCATCTAGAAGCTGTCTCCTTGCAGTTTACCTGTGTACAGTCAGCATCGTGTTACGAGCAGATGATTGAGCAGATACTCACGCATATCCTCGAGAGCATACGCTCCATTCGCAGCGCTTCCAAACGCTGTGCTTCGAGCTGTTGTTCCTTCCAATTCCGTAGACCTATGAGCTCTTTCAGGAGATCGGACAGTGGTTGGCCTTCCTCGAGCAATGCAAAGACGTGTTGGTCATTAATTTCTGCTTCGGGCATGTTGGATTTTATGGGGATGGTGGATTCCGAGGACTGCCAGACGTCTTCCTGATCTGCCGAGCGTGAGTGTGCTTGGTCAGTTGTTGAGCTGCGCCGGGCTTCACACACGATTGGTGTGTAGGCAAATTTAGACCGTCGTGGTTGCGGAGTCAAAGGCAAATGAGAGAATGACACTTCGTGCACAGCCTCATGCGAAACATCCGTCTTATCGGGGAGGATGATATGCCGTACACGGCGCCGCCAAAAAAGGAAAATCAATCAAGTAACTTCGTTTAACGTTCAGTAACTCGCGGCATAGCCCGCCATTTGTTGATATAATAAGTCGTTAGCTCAAAGTGATAATCGTTGGCAATGCGAACGAGATGAAGCGACTTCAAGTAAATTAGGTCGGTGCGCTACGTCCAATTGAGTAGAGAAAGTCACGCGGTGGCAGGGAACCGGGAAAATCGATACAATGTTCGAATTCCTACCACCTTGACGGTTGTGATTGATCTCTCACATCTCAACCAGATACCATCCCCATATCTACACTAATTACACTAATTGCAGATTCCCATTCCACCAAAACCTCATGGATTAAACCCCAACTCGGCAAGACGGTATCTAGGCGTTCTGATGGAGAACTCCAGGTAGCACTGGAGGCATTCACACATCCCATGTGCACTCAGTCAAATTTTCAAATCATAGTATGTCACAACTGACCTGGAGATATTTGTGCCAAAGCGCCGACAGCTCATGGTCGTCGGCAACGACTCTCTCAATTCTCTCAGCGGAGTCGAGAACTTCTTCCGTCAGATGTCGTAGGACTTCTAGAGGAGATACACGTTCTGCATCCGCTCGCAGATGGACGTAATTGCTCTTCTCTCCGGCAATTTCCTCTTTATAAAATGAGAGACTGCTATGTCGGTCAGTTATGTCGCGAAATACGATATGCATTCTACGATGCCCACATGTCACTAATTCGTAACATCTTGCGAGTCAGTGGTGATTGCACGGTTCAGGGTATCGATGGACTCACTTTGTTCCCAAGGTCCAGTGCTCGATGTCACTGGATAATACATTGGGGGTTGGCCACTGAAGATTACGGGCATGTCAAGATTAATCTCGAGACTTACGGTAGGATTTGCAGATAGGTATCCGCTTTCTCCCGCCAACTCCTTGCAAACATGAAGTGCGTATATTGAGGTCCGCCACCGGCCCTTGTCCGGAGATAATATGGGTAGCGTGTAGCCCATGGCGCGATACGCAAACCGCTCGTGGCAAACTCGATGTGTGTGGCCGAGAGGGCGTCCACCGTACCCGTGATGATCGCGTCGGCACCAACGTCAGTCCAATACATGTGTGCCTCCTTCAAAAGACTAGCGAGCCGGTCGAAGATCGGATGCACCTGCGGCTCTCCCTTAACCAAGCGACAGGCGAACTGTGACACGGCATCGGAATCCTGGCCTCCTACGTCTTCGCCGTACAGCATGCAGGCCGTATAGAGCGCAATGTAATCACGATGCTCGGCGGGGACATGGCAGTATGCCGTTTCCGTGTACGAGCAGCTAGTCTCCACTATATTCGCGACCATATGTGCATCGATGTCGAGGGCCCAGCTGTCGATCTCAGCTGCAAGTTTCGCACGCAATTCAAAGTCGCGGGGTGTTTGAGGTGGCTTGTAGTTGGAGCAGTATAACAACTTCCGTACGGTCTCTTGGACATCGGCAATCCGGATATTTGAAGTACCCTGAAAGTAAGGTCAGACGTTGCACTGCCGGGAGAAGTAAGCATGGTAGGGTTTACGGAGACGTAGTCCACATCATTGCACGATACACCGGAAGGGCTTGTTGTGTCATCCGAACAGATACTAGTCATGATTTAGTCAGCAGTAGCAAAGGCTGAGCATAAAGACCCTTCGACAAACCTAGAGCTTAGCCTATGAGCGTATTTCGCCGAAGCGAAATGTTGGGTGGTCGATAATCGAGATGCGAGTGGAGCGAGCATATTAGCGGGCAGGTGCGATGTACTCAGGAGAGGCTGAAATGTCATTGTTTATGCCGACCCACCTTTATACTTGCTCGGCCTCAGTGGTCCTCGAAGTCTTCCGATGATATCGCATTCCCAGGCACTGTTGGATGCCTTTCATGAAAAAAGGTAAGGGGTTTTCCGGGAGCGATTCATGGAACCTGTGCATTGCAATGCGGAGTTGTAGCCAGCCAGGCGCCATCCGATCAACGGAGTGTATGGGCCAAGGCTGTCGAACACTGGTTTTGAAACAGCTGACATTGCCATGAGAACCAGGATGCTCTTGCATCCGTTTTCCCTGCTAGCACGTCCTTGAACCCTTTGAGTAACCCACTTTAATATGCAGAAGTCAATTGTGCGTTAGAAGACAGCGATGGTCTCGAATACAATGAGTTGCCTGAGGTCTTTTATTGTCATTTATTTCGACCATCAGATATAGCGTGACGTACACTGAGGAGCGCCGACCGGTCTCACGCAGGAGGTGAACATCAGAGAGAATGAATTTGAAACTGGGTCAGATCCGCTTGCATGATGAACAAGACGGAGTCTTAGGTTGGTTCCTAAATCGACCGGTGCCGTGACGGACTATCGGGGCACAGCTGGAAGGCCGGACGATGTCCGCAGAGTGGTACGAAAAAGGAACAACTGTATGAGTAGCGCTCCAGTATGAGCATCTCGGTTACGGGTTGTCGTTTCGACCCTGAACTTCGTTGCCGAGAGCTGCTTCTCCGTCTTCTTTGTGGAACCCGGAGCCGCAAGTCGCTCGAACCATTCCGACGTGCGGGAAGAATGGAACGCTCTGGAGGCAGAATGGCAAGACATGCGGTACACCTCAAGCATGTGGTCATCGGGCGAATGCATGTTGGAGAACACATCCCTACTTGGGAGCAGGCAGGCCACAAAGTAGGCAAGCCTATCCACATCGGCCTTCAGGTTCATGTCAGACGAGGGAAACGGGTGGGGCACAGCTGACTCTCCCTGGCTTCCTGTGGAAGGTCTTCTACCCGCTGTGGCCCAGATGCCCGCCACCACACATGACAAGGCGATGTTCATGACTGGTCGTACCGTGCCCATCTCGAGTCCTATCACTCATGCTGATGTTCATAGACGGTGTAAGTTAGGTACCTGTCATTCTGGAAGTCAGCCTCTGAACACCGGAGGGGAGGGGAGAACTCAGACGTATTCGCTTCATCTCGTCTTTCGTTCTTCATGGAACTGACTATGACGAGGATCTCCGCGCGAACTAGTACTCAACGGCGGGTTAGGCAGCCCTTCGGTCTATGATCAACTGCATGACAGATGCATGTGATATAATCAACTGCTGTACAGAGTCGTCCGATATACTCTTTCCTCGTTCGCTCATTTGCTCGAATACTTCCCAAGCCACCGGAAGACTTCGTAGTGCCACTTCAGACTATCAAACACCTTCAGCATCGGCCCTATGGCGTACACAACAATCACAGATGCTTACCTGTTTTGGTGGTTCAGCACCCAGTGGTTCTCGTCAGGGAAGATGACCAATCGGCTAGGGACGCCGCGCCTGTTGCACGCCCGTGAGCCCCCAGTGCTGAGCTTCTATGAATGGATGACGTACTGTTGGAGGGCATGGAAGGCGCCAATCCCGTCCGTCTCGGGGAGGCGGTAGTCCTTGCTCCCGTGAATGACGAGCATTGGCGTCTCCCACTTGTCCACGAAGTTGATCGGGTCGAATTTCTTGATCACCTCCTGTGCACGAGGCTCCCAAGGGCGCCCTCCCCACTCGTAGTTGAAGAAGAAGAGCTCGTCAGTGGAGTAGCCGTGGTACTGAGCGCCGAACGCCTGAATGGAACTAAAATAAGTATGTCGCAACAGAAGGGGGCTTTGATGCCTTACCCCGTCATGGCAGACCAGCGCCTTGAAGTTGAAGCCGAACTCGGGATGGCCTTGGATCCAGCTGGAGCGATGTGAACACCCGTGTCCTCAAAGGCAGTACCCAACGGACGTACTTGATAGCGTAGCCGCCGTAGCTGGCACCGGCAGCGACTGCACGGTCGGGGTCAACTTCAGGATAGTTGTCAAGGACGTACTTCCAGCCCTTCTGGAGGTCTGTTGACAGGACATAAGCGGACATGCGAAATCTCACAGGAATGCTAGGCACCCACCAACGAACGGCTTTCCTCCCCAGTCCTCCGCAATGGCATCGGTGAATGCTAGAGACACATATATGAGAACGACAGAAACCATGGAGAACAGGGACCGAGTACCTTGGCCAAACCCAGTAGAACCAGTCGGATTGATCGCAACGACGACATATCCCTGCTGGGCGAAGACTCGACGCGCACAATGAGAACTCGCGGTACTCTCCCTCGCACGAATAACAGCGACTCACCGTTCAAGTTCCATCTGTTCGACCACGCATCCTCCCAAGCACCCTCCGGACCACCGTGGATCGCCAGCAGGACCGGCCACTTCTTCTTCTCGCCCTCCTTGAACCCAGGCGGCTTCAGCAGCCACCCGTGCACCTCCTTCCCCTCCGCGCCCTCGAACCAGAAGTCGCTGCCCTCGTCCAATGACTTGCTCTTTAGCGCGCTCGCCGCGAAGCGCGTCAGCTGCTCGACCGCAGGCTTCCCGCTCTCGTTGAGCCCGCGCAGTACGAAGACGTCGTTCGGGCTCGTGAGCGACGAGCGCGTGAACACGAGCCGGCCGTCAGAGCGCGGCTGGATCGCGGACGCAGAACCAGTCGACGTGATCTCGTGCAGGACACGGAACTCCGCAGAGAGCGCGGGGTCGCTCGAGGAGTGAGACGGCGTCTCGGGGACAGGCAAGGAGAAGATCTTGCCGCGCGCATGGTCGTTGGCAGTGAAGAACACGGTCTTGTCGTCGTGCGCAAACTGCCATGCACGCTGTCAGCGCAAGTGAAGGCGACAATGATAGCAGCTACGCACCGCAATGCTACCGACGGAACGGTCCCAGTGCTCGGTCAAGGTGTACTGCACGTCCTTCTTGAGGTCGTAGATCACGAGCTTCGCACTGTAGGACGTCAGCGGGGCATACCACGGTGGACTTCACTGGGAACGTACCGATCGCTCTCGTGGCCATCGCGGTCCAGCTGCGTCCAAGCGGCCTTGTCTCCAGCCGTGTTGAACACAGGGCTGTGAGTCGCCCCATGTTCCCCCGAGGTGAGCTCGCGTGGCGTTGCCAGGCCGTGTATGTGGACGATGTATATCTGAGATGCAATTCATCAAGTTGCTCGAACGAATACTATGCAGGAATTACGTTTTGTTTGGTGTGCCAGGCCTTCGGAAGCTGAGGATCCTTGGTGGTATATATGACATGAGTGTCGGACACGTCAAAGTCATCGGTGCCTCCGAACGGCTCCACAGGAGCATGCTAGCGGAAATTGAGCCTACACACACTGGGGCGAGGCGGACGAGATTTACGTGGTTGGTGTCCTTCAGCAGGTTCACAAAGTCGCTGCCCAGAGCCCACTTCCCGTCCGCGCCCTTGCTGAGCTGAACGCTGAACAGGGACGGTCTCTTCGGGCCGACCCAGGTGTCCCAATGCCGCTCGAATGTCTCGTCGTAGACGAACGCAGTATCGCCCCGGTTCTCCCAAGCCTCGTCGTTCTCCTTCACCTTCTTCAACTCACCGTCCTTGTGCACGTAGTCCGAGAACACGAGAATGCCCGCCTTGGCCGAGAAGCGGAAGTTGGTCGCGGAGTCGGTGGGAAACTTGCCGATGTGCTGAGGAGAGTCGGGGAGGCTGAGACCGGCAGGCGTCTCGACCTTGACAGAGATCGCGTAGAGGTTGATGACCTTGTCCTTGTCGGAGCCCTCGGCGACGGCGTGAGCAAGAGTACGGTTGTCCAGCCAGAACGCCTCGCCGCCGCTCGCTAGAGGGAATACGATGGGAGTGATGGAAGTCTCGACGGCGGCGATATGGATCGCCTTGCTATTCCTGATGGGGCTTATAGCTCGACGCCCCAAGAAGCTGCAGAGCACTCACTTCTTATCTTTCAAGGTGTACTGAGACACCGGCACAAACACAAGATCTCCGGCCTCATTGGCAGTTCCCGTTCCGGGCCTAGGGAGCTGGACGAGATCGATGGGCGAGAAAACGTCCGGGCTATCCTTGAAGACGGCTTCGGGCGTTGTCATGCTGGTGGTGGAGTTGAGGTGCGACTGTAGTGGGACTTGTGCTGCGAGCCCCAGAACGGATACGGGGAAACCTGGAGTAACCCACATCGTGGGGACTTGACCTCGAAGGCGTTATGAAGCGTCAGAACCAAGATAACGTGGGGGTTATCGATGCGGTCGTCGATCGTGGGGGACAGCGCGAAAGGGGGTATTTCGGTGTGAGACCAGCGTGATCTCACGTCTGCGTCGACATCATCCCCGCCGCATACGCCATATGGCGACCCTCATGCCTCCCACAACCGTCTCATTTGGCGCAATCACAGTGGTTGCTGTCGGAGCATCTGATGAGCGCGATGGGTGTTCGCTACTTACGATCTGGTGAGTATCAAGTACGTACGAAGTAGTCCAGTACTTATGAAAAACGTCGAGGGCAGTCTGTTGAGCTTTGTCTCAGTACGACTCACGGTATACGTCATCCTCACTCTATGGGGTGCAGCAAATCTTTGAGTCATGCCATTGCCCTGAGTCATTCCGGTGTCCATTGGGAAAATGCGTGGATGGAAGGAAACCAGTCGTGGTCTCTGAGGGTAAATATGGGTCCTTCGATGTTCCGCGTGTAGTGGGCAAAGTCGTCATGCCGGGAATGTTCTCGCCCATATAAAAACATGCTACCTTTTCCTTCCGATAATTCTTCTGAGACCGGGTGTGAAAATTACGAGCGAGGAATAACAACAGTTGACCAGTACTCAGATATCGCTATATCAAATGTCAGCATTGAGGTGTCAAACAGACCTCAATCCGAGTGATCTGCTTCCTACGCTGTTGTCTGACAAGCACAGTTGCTGCGAAGCAGTTGAGATGAGTGCTTGATCGAACCACGCTGCCCCGATGCTTATATTTTCCACCCCAGTTCAGCGCAAGGCTTAGTGGCCGGATTAGGCCCGGGCAGTATGACCTTGTCCTGGTTGGAGACTAATGATTCCATGAGTGAATCCGTCCTCCTACGCACAGTCGTAGTGCTATTATCATGAGCAGACCACTCGCGCTACTGAGACCATTATGAAACTCGTGGCCTCCGGACGCACTGTATGATCTGCATGACCTCTCGTGATTGAAAAAAAGGTAAAACGGGACCAGGAGGTAGCAATGTTCCACTCTGGGCGACACGTTTCAAGGACAAAAGGCGACTTCGTCTGTGCATCAAGCCGGCGCGCCATTGCTGCGTGCTATCGTGGTGTCACTCCTTGTGTATGAGCATAGGGGGTGACGGAATGTGTGGATGCTGTTACGTGAAGCGCAAGAAGTCGTTGTAACTCGGTCTGTACAGGTACATGTATGCCCCATAGATACATGGGCGTCGACCACGAACATCAGCGGTCCTTGAGGTACTCGAGGACCTTCAGCACTTTGAGATCATCTCCGCTCGCGGCAGTCCGCCGTGCCAAGGCCTCTGTGAAATCCGTATCAGCCAGATGTAGAAGACATGGATCCAAGACGGAAGCCAATGATCCGCGAAGGGCGCGTACCACTATCTGAGCCTGTCCGGGATATGGCGAAGTAATGCGGTCCCCATCCATGCAGAGTCAGAGGAACGCCTTCCGCAGCATTCACCTCCGTATGCCAACCTAAGCTCTGCGCAAGCTCTTGGTCAATATAGAGCGTGCGGTTATCGAGTACCACTCTGAATTCCTTCGCTGGGCTAGACGTGGCGATACTGCCGGCTAGCCGCGTCGCGGATTGAACACGGAATTGTCCTGGGCAAGACCTTAAGGCACGAGATAGCGTAGCACGGCAGAGTAACATGGCAGAACTTGATTTGGAGATGTGTCCAGTAGCGTTACCTAGAGGTCAGTACCAGTTGGCCGAGATGACAGCTCGAAACCAAAGTAAGGCGCTACAGCTGGTTGCGAAATTTATGCCCGACCAACTCCGACGCAGTTTCGACCAGGGAAAAATCGAAAAAATCGAAAAAATCAAACAATTCATGCACTCGCGATTCTGCTCCCCTGTGTTCTATAAACTTTGCATAACCCCTATAGCAGCGAGTACGAGACCTCACGAAACTTGAGTGGAGAGCGTAGGACTCCTGGTTCCCGACTTGTGCCCTTCGAGGGAAATCAATAGAAGCTCCCTATGGGCGATGAGGCCCAGTGAGAACCCCGTCTGTTTCCTACTATTCTGGTCTTTTTCAGCCGATTGCTGTCTGGCGTAAAGACAGAAACATGTAACAATCGCTAGAAATCGGTATCAATCGATGGAAAACGGTGGCAAAAGGCACAAAAAGCTATTTGCCGTCGATCGACTTTTCACGTCTATTTGCATCTTTTCCCCCCGATATTGGTATGTTCCGGTCTATTCAACGTCTGACAACCATATTGGGACAAATTACGACAGTACTGAGAAGTTCATATGCTTTATCCGGTTCTAGATCGAGCATGGACGAGGATATTTATAGGTGGCTACTCTACGGTACAATTCTCGGATTACATATCAGTACGCTACTCCCCGCACCCGTGCGGCGTGCCAAGCCCACGTTCAGTGACCTATCACAAAGTACTGCTGCGTTGCCTCATGTGCTCTTTGCTTCCTGTGCAGTAACCTCGTATGCGACTTACCTGTATGCTGTGCGACAGCGACTAGCCCACTCACTTGTATGTGACGTGTACAGACAGCGATGCCCCACCTGTTAGCCTCACGATGAGTGAGTGTACCTAAGGACAGGAAGGGATGGTGAGAGAAGGGAAGAAAGGGTGCCCAGACAGGAGAACGGCCATTGCCCACCTTATAAAGAGTGTCGCGAACACGGATGGCGTCATGGACGAAGGAGCCGGGGACGAGATCGAAGACCAGGTAAGAATGGATATGGTCGGATATCCGTTGGTCGGCACACAGGCAGACATATATATAATGGACATGGATGCAACAGTATATACGTCGAACACCCATTTAGTACTATCGATCGACGTCAAACGGCCCATTGTATATATAAAACTAGCCAATCGATGTATGAAATGAGCGCGTTAAACGCCGAGCTGTCATCCGAAATCGCTCAGAAAAGACGGCATTAGATAGCAATAGCCAGCAATCGTTGGCAATAGACGGGGTTTTCACTGGGGATGAGGTTTCTCACTCAGGCATCTGCGCACCGCCTTGCAACGTCACTTATGAAAGTATATGGCTCATTTATAGTAAGTTTTGTGGGTTTATAGGAAGATGTTACACATTCTCGGCCAGAGCAGTAGGCAGTCTGCCTCCTGGCTCTTGCCAGCGCATCAAGCGCCGGAAGAGGTTCAGGCATCGGCGTATCTTCGTGACTCTTGTGCGCTTCAATGTCGTCTCCCCACTCTCATATCTGTAATAGAGTGTCTATATAGGCTCATGATACCTTTTCAGAACCAACTTCGTCAGCAGACACCTCATCAACTCTTATGCAACGCCGGTAGAGGCAGCGTTCAAGTAGCACCTAGTTCCGATTTTCTGGAGGCACCCTTTCCACACAACTGTCTTCAATAGACTGTATGGTCTATCGAAACTGTCTTTGGAATTCATTCCAGTCCAGATTTTGTCTCTTCTGCTCTTGAGAGCCTGTCCGTTCGCTCCGGCCTACCTGCCCAAAGTAGCGCCCATGAGGTCCTTGTAAGGTGCCTTCTGCGAACATCGTGGATCACCTTCGTTCATCATGTTTCAGGCTCTTATAGAGCTAGAAGGGTCGAATACCTTGTAAACTAGGTGCTCGATAGTGCAGGGCGATTTATGGAATTTGTTTCATTTTACGATGCAGAAAGTGCACGAGCGTCAGTCGGAGACGGCTGGCATAAATTCCGCAACCAGCTGTAAGAGTCAATAAACCCTGACCGTCACTACCATACGCTCTACAGTACTCCTGTTATGGCTTCCCAAGCTGCTCGCCTTGCCCGTATCTTCACTCCAGAATATGCCCGTCGAGTCAACGCACAGATAGTACATCCTGCTCAGGCGACGGTTGTGAAGCCCAACGAGCTTGAGTCAGCTCTGGCTCGGCCAGTCAACGTAGCTAGATACGAACCTGATCGCCCAGCGGAATACCTCGCCGCGACTCTTTCGTACGGAGTCATCAAAGGTACATTAGCTGATCACTCAGTAAAGCGTAGGACGCGCCCGCTGATTTGACCCTCTAGGCCATCCATTCTTTGACGGGAACAAGCGAACCGGTATGTGTCCTCACGATGAGGGGCAACAAACGTCCTCGTTAACATTTGATAATGGCTAGCCTTCTTCCTTGCAAACGAGTACTTGCGCGCACAGGGCCTTCCTGGCCTACTTGACAGCTGCGAGGACGACCAGAGCCTGTTCGATGTTGCTGACCAACACGTCAATGCCGCAGCTGGGCAACTAGACGTAGAAGGGCTCGTCAGCAGATCACAGCACGCAAAGAACTGAGATGATCAGAACAGAATGTACTATTATTCAGACCATGTGTTTTGAGAGGGCAGTTGAACTAGTGAAGAGGCTGCAACAGGTACACTATACTCCGAGAGGAGAGGAATATCCAACAATAGCCCAAGTACACGTACACTACGCGACGCATACAGCGCAAACACTAATTGTCCGATCAGGGAGATTGTCCGAGGTGCGATATGTGTCCGCAATGATCACCACGATGTAGTCCGTAACTATGTATGCGGTCCGTCAGCAAGCAGTCCGAGCGTGTCCACGCGAAATCGATTAGGCAGAGCCAGTGGCATTATATACGATAGGCACGGAGGCGAGACTGAACTTCCTCCCAACGGGACCCTGCAAGGAAGCGCATCAGTACATGTCCGGCTCGACGGTCGCGCGCTTCCCGACGCAGCGCAGCGACGGTGGCGTAGGAAGCGTTTACAATAAAGGAAGAGAGTACTCACATCAGCAGCGCACCCGTCCCACTCCTCAATAACCGCGAGTTGCCACGTCTGGTCGCTCGCGCTCTGGCCCGCGCCGAACCCGCCTTGTGGCTGCGAGAAGTTGGGCATTACCAACTGTGGCGGCGCGGGGTTCTGCGGGTAGGGGACTGCGGGATAGTTTGGCGCGTCGAAGCGCCCGAAGAAATACCCGCCCATGAAGACGTCCGAGGGCTGGACGGACGTCGGCACGTCCGTGACGAGGAAGACATTGTACGCATACGAGGACGTGCAGTAGTCGCCGCGAATTTCGTACGAGAAGTTGAAGGATGCGCCGGGAGCGATATGCGTGCCCGGCTGGGGGAGCATGATGTCCCCGGGCGCGGCGAGCCCGCGCGACGCGAGGGTGAGGGCCGTGAGAGCAGTGGCGAGGGCGGAGGTAGAGAGCTTCATGATATGCGTTGTGGAGGAGGTGGAGCGGATCGGTGTTCAGAATTCTCTGGTAGGCGTTAGTAGCAGTGAGCCTTTTGAAGGGAAGGGCAAGGGGAGATGACGGATGAAACGGCAAGAAGCGGAGCCACCAACAGAGCGCAGGGATTTATACGTGCCACTTTACCTGTAGTCGATACCGGATGCAAACGTCCGCGATTCATTCCTTCCGTCACGCGCGCGCGAAGATCAGACATGTGTGGTGCCGTCGTTTTGGCTGGAGTGCGGCATCAACAGCCTAGGATCACCGAAGGCCGCACCAGAACTCACTTTGGCCGAGCTCCACGGTCGACTCCGGTGGACTGTGGTACGTTAACTTGGAAGCTGAAGGCAGTGCGACCGGAGCCCGGCGGACAGGCCCGGACGCGCGGTCCGAATATACCCTTTCAGCCTGGGTCAAGGCCCATGTTGCCAGATTCCGCAGGACAGAACGAGCGTTCTATCGAACCTTGCCGGAATGCTGCTTGTCTGAAGACAATCCTCGAGTTCCTCGCCACAAGGCCCGTCATAAAAATAACGGAACTCGGGACTCGAAGGAGCAGAGACCTCAAGCTTGCAGCGCGGCACAGAAGGCGGACTCCACCGGGAAGCGACCATGACCAGATCCTGTCAATGTCAGCAACGGAGATGCAGCACACCTAATTGACAACTATCCGGCCAATGTCCGACCTAGACGTCGTCGCGCTCCGATGTCATTCGCTGTTGTTGAACGCGAAGAGTCATCATATTGGGCGGGTTTAGGCCGTCTAGCGGAGGAAGACTCACCCGACATCGTGATCGTGTCGGGTTCACTGCCTCGCGGTTGAAAAGCGGCGCATCTGCAGTCTCACGCTGGGAGCTTCTGGCCTGAACTTTGTCCGCTGACACGAGGCCACGAGGCTTCCGAAAGAGTGCTCCAGAACGCGAGAATACCGCGAAGTCGGCGATTAGCGCCGGCGTCGTAGCGGAGTAGCGATGCGAAGGCTGAAAGACAGAATACATTGCGATGCGCAAGTCCACAAACCGAATGCTGACTGAGAAAGACAGGTACTACGTGAAATAATTGAGCGGATTCTTCTTCTTGCTCTGCACTACAGACAGAATCAGGGAATCAGCATATGGAGCACAGGCACGAGGCAGTGCAACGAGGCCACACAAATCAATGCGACTTACCTTCTGCAATACCACTGAGGAAGTGCTCGTGGCTCAACTTCGTGGCACCTTCTCGTAGCGCGATCATACCGGCCTCAACGCAAACTGCCTTGAGCTGAGCGCCGTTGAACTCGTCTGTACTCCTCGCGAGCTCCTCAAAGTTGACATCCGAAGAAACAGCCATTTTCCGGGAGTGTATCTCAAGGATGCGCGCACGGGCGGTCTCGTTCGGCAACGGGAACTCGATCTTCCTGTCCAGACGACCGGACCGGAGCAGAGCGGGGTCAAGGATGTCGATACGGTTCGTAGCCGCGATAACCTGAACATCACGCGTGAAGACGTGAAGCACGTTAGAGAGAGTTTCGAGGGAAGGTGCGTACCTTGATTCGCTCGTCACTGCTGAAACCGTCAAGCTGGTTCAGGAGCTCAAGCATCGTCCGCTGTACCTCACGGTCACCGCTCTTCTCGGAATCGAACCGTTTGGTACCAATGGCGTCCAACTCGTCAATGAAGATGATAGCTGGCGCTTTCTCCTTCGCGAGCTCGAACGCGTCCCGAACGAGCTTAGCACCGTCACCAATGAACATTTGCACCAGTGATGGACCAGCAAGCTTTAAATAGCAAGCGTTCGTTTGGGCTGCACATGCTCGTGCCATGAGAGTCTTGCCGGTGCCTGAAAATAGGTCAGCTCTGCGCGCGGGGTGTGCGTTCTGGCATGCACGGACCTGGAGGACCATACATCAGGCAACCTTTCGGTGGCTTAATGCCAAGCGTCTTGAACTTGTCCGCCTGCTCCATGGGCAAGACAATAGCCTCGACCAGCTCCTCGATCTGCTTCTCCAAACCACCGATGTCGGTGTAGGTCTCCGTCGGCCGCTCATCGACCTCCATTGCCTTGACACGCGAGTCGAACTCAGCGGGAAGCGTATCGAGTATGAGATACGAGTCCTTGTTGACCCCGACAAGGTCTCCGGGTTTGAGCTTCTCGGCCGGGACAAGACCGATTAGAGGGAGAAAAACAGTTTGTCGTGTTGAGGTCTTGATGACGGCGCACTTGCCTTTGCGCATAGAGTCCAGGTCACGGTTGGCACCGTCCTCTTCGCCTTCGGGGTCGACATCTAGGATCTACGATACATCAGCATGGCCCTCCCAAAGACTCGCGCCACCAACCCGAAGATACGGATATAAGAGGTGTCGGGAGCTCGCGTCCTCACAGCAGCAGTGGCGGAAATGCTCACCTCTACGACGTTCCCGACTAGATAGGGCAAAACCTTGTTCTGCTTGATCTTCTCGCCATTCTCCCTTATCTTCTCCTTCATGACACTCTGTTCGTGCTGGAGACGGAGGGTCTCTGAGCGCATAACCTTCGATTCGTGAAATGTTTAGAGTTCGGGCTGCGCTTGACTGTATGGGCAACGCACCTTGAGGTCATTGTCAATGAGCCGTATCCTCGTCAAAATCTCGTCCGTTGAAAGATTCATTATCTCCTCCGGAATATCGTCCCAAGTCTCCTCAGCTGGTTTGTCTGGGGTGGTGTCCATTGCTGCATCCTGGGCAGCGGGGACTGGTACAGAAGACGAAGGGGTGTTGTCAGGCTTGCTGCTGGTGTTGTCAGGTACATCGGGAGGTTGTGCTGAAGACATGGTTGACAAACACGAAGGACGACGGAAGACGGAGGTGCACGTCGCCTGCGCTGCTTGGCTCAGCTGCTCTCGCGGCGTACGCGTCCCGTGACATGCCGTCACGCGTCTGGGTCACGCTCTGTCATCCCACTTGGTGGTGTCCGACCGGCGTTGCGTCTGCATAATGCCCTTCCAAGTTCCCCGAAAACGCCTCCCAAGCATACGTCCGCGATTTGATTGTACATGGTGCTTTGTTATGTGCATACCATTTCTTGTCAACTTGGAGCCCATACTGGACTCTCCGCTACGTTGACAACAGGGAAACTGACCAGAGTTCGGACACATAGCTGCACGTGACCAGACAGACACCAATATTGTCGCGTCGCGGTTAACTCTCCTTTGGTCCTCCTCGCCCACTCCCGTCGTCTTCTCAGGCTTCCTTGCGCACCCGCATCCTCAATGTCGAACGATACGCCATCTGCAGAAGACAAGGCCAGATACGACGCTGCGCGGAAGGAGCTCAACCTCGCCTTGGCGAAGAAGAGAACGCTGGACAAACAGCTCGCAAGTCCTTCTCCTCTCATGTCCTCCCTCGGCACTGACGACGAATGTGTAAAGTCTCAACTCGAGGTGCAGATATATAATCTAGAGACATCCTATCTCACAGAGACTGCTGCCCATAGTGGAGGGAACATCATCCATGGCTTCGATGGCTATCTCAAGAACCAGCCTAGCGGAAGGAGGAAGTACGAGATCAGCGAGCAGGACCGCATATTCTCCGTGAGCAGCCTGACATACAAGAAGGTATGTCACGCGCCACTTCCCCCTTCAAATGACCCAATCCTGGGCAGGCGTTGGAGTTATCCGGGGAAGGAGAGGAGTCGACTGCGACAGGGGAGGACCAGTCAAGAATGTCAACGCCTGGCCTTACCACTATCAGCGTACCTCCTGCACCTCGAACAGAGGTGCTCTCGGCTGCCCAGCAAAAGAAGAATCGCGATAGGGAGTATCAGCGGAAGAAACGGGCGGCGCAGCGGAGAAGTACCACGACCCCCGCCAGCGACGACGAGAGCGTGTCCGGTCGAAAGCCCAGCAAAAGGGCACGTCTGGCTGACGACGATTAGGTGAGTAGAGGTACCGCGATGCCTAGTCCGTGGACTCATGGCTTCACATTCAGAGCGAGACAGCCTCATGCTCATGACATGTACCATCAGCCTGAGACTGCCTATCACGGTGTCCGTGTATTATAGTGTATCGCATACCCGTACATCTACTATACATCTAATGTGCTCAAGAACTTCTTCGCTGCTGCTTCGTCCATGCCGCCACCATCCGGATCTACGGCCTCAATACATCGCGCGATGGCGATAACTTGTCTGGGGTCCTTCGCGCTAATCCACACCCTCCCATTCATGCCGATTGCTGATTCAAGGGGGAAGCGCGAGCCAAGCAAGGGGAACAAGAAGTGATTTGGGTCCAACAACCTGTTCCGTCGAGACGTGAGTGAGGTGTTGGACAGAAAGGAACCAGTGGACGCGCACATTCGACACATCTTGAGACTGCATTGTACAAGGAATCCGCCTTTCAACTCACCGTGCCCTTCCGCCTTCCGGGTTTGTGCGTCGAAACACTCCAGCTCGGGTTCCATGTCCTTGTGTGCCAGAGATACGCGGGCAAATAGTAAGGAACCAACCTGCGATATACCATACAATGATTCAGCAATCACGTTGAGTTGAGGTAGTTGTGGCTCACCTTCAGATTTGGTCGGTTACGTTTTGTGGCGCCCTCGAATGCGAGGCCGTCCAACGTCGCCGTGTGCGAAGACCCGATGTCCACCTTCCAGTTCTCACCGCTCCGACCGACGACGACGCCCACGACTGACTCTTGTGGTGCGGGGACATACTACCTTGCCACCTATGAGCGAAACGATGCGCATACATGCACACGCAAGCTGCTGCTACACTCACCCGACGGGAATTGCCCTCTATCCACCACCGGCTGCGATTTGTGGTATGATGAACTTCTCCTGCACGCGTGGAAATGACCAAAGGCTGTCCATTGAGAGACGATTGCCGCAAAAGTCCCGGTCCGAGCTTGAGGTTGACGTGCTGAGCAGGGACGAGCTCTCCAGGCAGGACGGAAGACATGATCGTCAAGCGCGAAGCAGCTGAGGGGGCGCGGAGCGCGTCCCGGAACCGCGCCCTCGGCTTCATCAACGACCACCACAATACCACTCATCGTCCTTCTTGTCGACACACCTGTGCATCTCAATCACCAACTAATAATGGAGCACCACGCGAATGTACCTGTTCAGACACGACTGACGGCTGAGTTCCCCGAACTGGCTCATCTATCGTGAGGCTACCGACCCCTGGCTCATGTCGTCCGCTCACGCGGTCCCCACGGAACATGTAGGAGAGAGGATCTGGAAGACCTTTTGACCGATCCGCAGTACTTTCAGGCTATCTTCCACACATTACCACAAGTGAAACTGCTGTACCAAGGCCAGGCTGACCTAGGCTCAGCCAACGAATCAATAGCCAGTACGTCTTCCCGATGCTCCGTCTCTGCGGTCTGCAACGAGCCTGCCAGAGAACAACTTGGCACTCCAGGACCCTCTCTACAGGCTACGTAGCGAGACACAAGAGGCCTTCGATAGGGCAAAACATCTCGAAGCCCGGTGGAAAGAGGTGGAGAAACGGCAGCGCGAGGTCTACCAGGTCCGTCCCGTCCTCCGTCCTTCGCACTGCGGCTCCGGTAGCCATCGGTACAACACGCTCACGCCACAAAATCCCCATCGTGCCGTGCGCCGTCACTGCAGCGCTTCGATCCGCAATTCCTGCTCATGCGGCTCAGGCACGCGACGACCGCGCAGGACGATCTGTCCGAAGCGCGCGCGAACGCGTTTGTGCAGGGTTCCGTCGCGGACGCGGATGCGACGAACCTGTCGAACAAGGACATCGACGACTTCGTGCGCGAGTTCCGCGAGCTCCGGAAGGTGTACCACAAGCGGGTGATGTGGGGCGATAGGTGGCAGGCCGGGGAGGTGGCCTGGCGCGACGACTGACGAGGCGGGGTCCGGGAAAACTCGCTGCAGGCTCAACCTTCGTGCATTCTATACTCTATTTTTGTTGAGGTTGCTTATACATCTATTGTATCATAGCGGACAAACACCATGCAGGTACCCCAGGGGCTGTGCAGAAACATATTCAGATACCCTTCAACAGACGTCATCCGCCTCTCCATCAATTCCCCGCAGGCATGTTCAACGCTTCCAAGCGCGAAGACGGCAACACTCGTCTAATTATAGTGGCAAACTAAGAGCTCTCCAACCAATTGGTGGACCCTGAGAGAGGAAGATTCTCGGGAAGTCCGCACATCCTCAATCCGCCTGACCACATTCGGAAGAGCTCTGCAACAATCTCGCTTCAAGTCGTCTGCGAGCCTACCGTTCACTTTCTCCGTTCGCTCCCTCGACCCTCAGTCCGAGCATTGACACTCGGCTCGGCTGACTGTTGAGGAATCGCTAGGTTGACTTGTGCCTGGATTCTCGTCGTTCGCGCCAGTTCGAGCACCCAGGGACGACATATCGACCAGCGCTGGCAGTCATTCCGGGCTGCACTCGGGTATAAAAAGGCTTGGCGCGATGTAGGGTCCGCAGCGAAGTCGGCATTCTCATATCACGTCTTGGGCACCATGAGGTCCTGTGCTTCTCTCTTCGCCTCAGTGGCACTCGCTACGTCTGCGCTCGCGCACACCATCTTCCAGGTATGCTTGGACGCCGCTCATCTGACCTCCATGCGTCTCGAGATTCGTTTCAATGCTGATCCGGATATATTTCGTCTTATTCAGGAAATGTATGTGAACGGCGTCGACCAGGGTCACATCACAGGTATCCGCGTTCCGGATTACGATGGAGTATGTAGTTGCCAGTGAATCTGAGCTGTTAGTCCAGAAAGAGTTGACGATCTGGCCGTTTCAGCCGATTACAGACGTGACCTCGAACGACCTTATTTGCAATGGCGGCATCAACCCATACCACCAGCCTATCTCGACTGCGATCATCAGCACCCTCGCCGGCGCACAAGTCACTGCTGAATGGCACCACAGTCAGTACTGCAGATCTTAACCGCTAGCAGTGTCTCATGTGCTGACATGATCTGCAGCCCTTGCCGGTGCGGACCCTAGTGACCCTGCGGATCCTATCGACCCTAGCCACAAGGGTGAGTGCGCTCACTGAACTACTCTGATTCCCCTAGTTGATCTCCCTTCTAGGACCCGTAATTGCATACCTGTTAGTGCCGCCGTCTTCACCGGACCTTGCTCCATGTTCACGAGGCATTGCAGCGCGAAGGTTGACAATGCAACCGATTTAACTGTTACTGGCCTTCAGTGGTTCAAAGTTCGTGCATCCGGCAACATCACCCAGTGGGGCAAGCGACTTACGGTCTGTTCAGATCTACGAGGATGGCATGGACAGTGACCAGTCGTGGGGAGTTGACCGCCTGATCGCAAACAAGGGCAAGGTGTCCTTCTCGATCCCAAGCTGCATCACGGCTGGCCAATACCTTCTCCGGGTCGAAATCATTGGTATGCTGCAAATGCATACACAAAATGTGTCGTGCTAAATCACTCTCACAGCTCTTCACGCTGCCTCAAGTTACCCCGGTGCGCAGTTCTACGTAAGACACTCTACGTGTTCTGGTCATTGGAGTACGAAATACAAACGTTGCTTTCGTAGATGGAATGCGCTCAGCTCCAGATCACCGGCGGAGGCAATACGCAACCTGCGACTGTCAACTTCCCTGGCGCATACTCGGGCACTGACCCCGGAATCAAGATCGACATCTACCAAACGCTTCCTTCCTACACCGTCCCGGGTATGTGTTATGTTGTTGAAACATACCCAAATCATAGTACAAATCTTCACAATTCCTTGCAGGCCCGCCCGTCTTCACTTGCGACGGTTCATCTGCTCCCGCACCGACCTCCGCCCCCGCTCCGACTTCCGCCCCCGCCCCGCCTCCTTCGACGTCAGCATCTGTCCCCCCGGCCACTTCAAGCGCTCCGGCCTCGAGCGGTAGCGTTGCGCACTATGGCCAGTGCGGTGGTTTGACGTGAGTGTCCGTACCTGCACGCTCTTCATAAGTTGGCTAATCATCCGTTCCTGCAGCTACTCTGGGCCGACTACATGTGCGGCACCGTACTCTTGCGTGAAGTCAAGCGACTACGTGAGTCTCCCGAGCTTTTCGTCACTGCAAGAGGTCCTCCGTCTGACATACTTCCGTCTCTAGTACAGCCAGTGCCTGTAGTAACTCGTCCGGGTCCTATTGTGGTGACCTGTAGGCTAGAAGTATTGTCAAGATTATGCGTTCACGGTTATGACATCGAATTTCTCGTGTCCGTCTATGTTCGTTGCCGATACCAATATGCTCTCCGACTGTGCCGAGGGACGACTCCGCGCCTGTTCCAGTCGTCACTTAATCCACAGAGTCTGCGCATCAATCTCGCTGTCGCTAGCCCGCAGAGACTTCTCTCCGATGAGGTTCAATGCCAAGAGCTTCCTGCTCGTGGCCCGTGCTGCTCTTCCTCCATCCCACGGCTCACAATCTGCCTGTTTTGGGATTCCAGTGTGAGTCTCGTGTCCTTATGCAGCCCTGTTCGTAGACTTCGGCTTGTCGCCTGATGCAACAAAGGCACGATTTGACAACTCCGCTCTCCGAGGATTACAATGACTTCACAGTATGCCGGTCCCTGTCCTACGGACAACATGCCAAACTGCATCGCCAGCAGGGAATGCGTAGAAAGGCCCGCACGTAATTCCGGCCAGCATTTAAAGGGCACTATTCCACTGGCCATCGATAGCAAACGATCCGCTCCTCAAGATGCAGCCATCATTCCTGCACCTCGCTTCTCTCATCCTTGCCGCCAGCTCGGTGTCTGCCAGGACCGTATTCTCGGTATGCACTACGCAACATCAGAAGTTAGAAGGGTTTTCTGATTGAAGGTCGTTTGTAGGCTATTGCTGTCAATGGCGTCGAGCAGGGTCATGGTGTCGCTGTTCGTGTTCCCACCTCAAACACTGTCAGTGATTCCCACATGGATCGGGTTATGGAAGGAACACTCTGACTCAAGTTTGTAGGCTATCACCGACGTCGCCTCTAACGACGTTATTTGCAACACCAACTTCATCCAGCCCATGTCGAATGTTGTTGCTTCCGTGCCCGCTGGCGGTGTCGTGGCTGCGGAGTTCCACCATACCTCAGCTGGCTACACCGGCCCCGACCCAGCAGATCCCCTAGACCCCGAAGAGAAGGGTGAGTACTCGGCGCAATGCATTGCAGATGATCTCATCAACACCGACCATAGGACCAGTTCTGGCGTACTTGTGAGTCCAATGAATTGCGTAGTAAATGTCTTTGGTTTTGACCCATCCCAGAGCTGCCATCCCTGACGCCACTCAAGCCGAAGTTACTGGCTTACAGTGGTTCAAGGTTAGTTCCATAGTGTTAGCCATTCACCATGACATCCTCATTTGTACGCCATAGATTTTCGAGGAAGGGTTGAACACTACCACTCACCAATGGGGCTCTGACCTCCTGTTCATCAACAAGGGATATGTGAACACCACTATCCCGTCTTGCGTCAAGGCTGGCCAGTACCTTCTCCGTGTGGAGTACATTTGTTGGTATCACTCGATCATGGAGTGTGGCTCTGGCTGACACAGTGTTTACAACGCAGCACTAATACAGGCTGCCCAGTACCCTGGTGCCCAACTTTTCGTAAGTCGAGTCGTATGCACAGACATACTCATCTATACTCATTCATACTAGATGAGTTGTGCCCAGATTGAGGTTACCGAAGGCGGCGATGCCACACCGGAGACAGTCAGCTTCCCCGGCGCGTACACTCGTAAGTCCCATGCTCGAATCCAGTGACTCGTTCTGAAACTATGTGATTATCTGATGACCTGTGCATTACCAGCGACGAGCGTCGTGACTGACCTTGACAATATATCCAGCTATACCGCTCCTGGTAAGTTTAGTTCACATCGCCGATCTTTCGTTGTTGCTGATATCCAAGCTCACAAATCGCTTGGAAGGACCTGCGGTCTTCACTTGCTGAAGTAGTAGAATAAGGGAAACGCCTACATGGGCAATGCTTAAAAGGGACCCAATGGTACCACCCATGAGAAAAATGCTATACGATCTATGCACGAATTGTCAGCTAGTGGGTCCAGGCTGCTGAAGCTACATTTCCACCGCCTGGAACGTTGGGATCATCTTTCAGCGTCGTTAGCTGCCCGGGACTGGGAGCCGCTTCCCTGAGCGCGGCTGCGCTCACTAGACCGAGGCCATGCCTTCAAGCAGTATCCGTCAGGTTGAGAATCTAGTATTTCAGCCAGGAGCTCACCTCATCTTCCTCGGACAGTGTTAATTCTTCTTCATTAATGATATGCTGGCTTAGTCCGCGACTCAGCTCCTGCCACGGCCAGTCTCCTACCCCATTGCTCGATTTCCATGCCTTGGACAGAGCCCACCTCTCCCCCTCGGCAAATCTCCCATCAGCATGCCAGTAGTGTCCGGGGAAGAGAACCCCTAGGGCTAAGAACAGATACCGTAACGACTGCACGGCATGTGTCAACGACATAGCGCTAGGGTCGAGATCAAGTACGCTCGCGCTATCCTGAAACTGCGCTACGTGTTCATCGAGAGCATTTGGCGAGACGGCAATACGTAGGACAAGGCGAAGATGTGTGAGACGCAGGTGCTGAAATTCTGAGAGCAGTGTTTCCTGAGACATCCTCAAGAATGAATTGACCTTTTCGAGACGAGCTGTCAGATGGGGACTCACTACTAGTAGGTACCATATATCTTGTAAGGTCCTACCCTGCGCGCTTAGGAGAGATGTGTCGTAGGGAACGAAGAGGACGAGGTGCGAGAGGTGTGAGATAGACCCTTCCCTAGGAAATATTTCCTGGAGCTGGGTCGTGCCTTAGAGAGCAAATTCCTGTACGTTCATGGAGAGCCTCAGGTGCACCGGTGCATTTTGAAAAAGACTATCTGCGAGGAGGTCGTTCCAGAGTCTGGCAGGGGAGTTATCGACGACGAGGTGGCGGACGGGGCATTTGAGACCTAGACCATACAGCGTTTCCGTCCTACAGGCGACCCAGTCTAGATATCTCCAAGACCGGCGCTCCTGAACTTCGAGATTGCGCTCCCGTGTATTGATGAAATACTGGTCGGCGTACCCATCAAGCCGGGCGTCGCAAGAAAGGGTGACCAGATTAGGGAACAGCCGCATGAGACACTCGAGCTCAGGAAGTTCCCGCATTTTGTCCAGTACTAGCGAGAGGACAGCAGTGAATGGGATGATATGGGGCAAGGGCTGTCTGACAGTTCGCAACTTGGCTAGCGCGAGATGTTCCAAGGTGGATGCGAACCTGGCCATGCAAGTCGTCACAGATGCAGGAGTCCAGAAGCCGCCGGGTAAGTCTGCGATGGAGAGAGTTCTGAGGGAAGACTGTATCGTACGTATCCAGGAAGGCGCATCGCTGTGAATGGATCTGAGCGAGAGAGTCCGGAGACCTCGTAGCCTTGCGATCGCAGACAGGACGCTAGGATCACGAAGGAAGTATTGTTCGTTGATGGCAAGCTGAAGCCATCGAGGGTAGTCGTGTGCTCCAAAAGCGCTACGAATTGGCCCGTTATCACGGCCATGAACTCCCGGCTGGGAATTGGCAAGGAGCTAACGCGCGCGGAGACGTCAAGGGCGTGGATGTGAGGCGCACGCCGAGCTGGGTCGGCGAATACAAAGGCATGTAGCTTCTGAACGGTATGTTCGCTGTAGATGACGATTAGGCTCATGGAAAGAGCGACCTCGACAGCCAGCGGATGTAGAGTAGAGCAAGTGACCGAGAATGATAGAACGTCAGGGCGCTCCGTCAAGGAACTACATATCAAGCCCAAGACATCGAAGTTGAGGAGCATCTGCGATGGTTGAGAGCATTGAGCACGAAGATACCCAAGAAGACGAGTTTACCGTACGTTGTGAGGGAGAAATGGGATTTGCAACGGGGAGATGAAAGAGCACTGCACAAGTATAAGTGGTATGAAGTAGTGCAGGAGTGGTTCGTGGTAAGTAAGATCAGGAAGCGCTTATGCTCAGGTTATATATTCCGCCGAGACCGGCCCGCCTTACAATCTGAGCGCTAGATGTCCAGAATGACGCATGAGGCGGAAGGCACATCGGGGACGTCGCAAACATCCCCCACAAGCCACTGCCATGCTGTATTAACCTGTGGGTTTGAAAGAATCAACAACCTCGCTAGCACATCTTCCCCCCACAATCGCGATGTCGACTTTTGTGTCCCACGTCGTCGCGGACCTCGCCCAAAAGGCCCTTCCGACAAGCGCAGCGTCCGCCAGCACCGAACGCGTCCAAATCGCTTCATCCCAATCTAAGGAGGTTCTGCGCACCGTCTTCGTCAAGCTAGAGCAATCACAGTCTCCACAGGACATTCGGGAATGCATCGACACGCTCCAGAATCTCGAATATCACCAACAGCTGCTCTCAGCTGAGCTGGTGGACGGAGAAGAGCAGTCTCTCCGACGCGCCATCCTCGGCAGGCTTGCGCTGGGACTGTACGGACAGGCGTTGACCACGTTCTTGGACGAAGCGAGCGAAGCAGAGGCGGAACGGCAGTGGTGGAGTGATATTGTACGGTCGCGGAGACGAGCTGCGACGTACCTCCTGCAAAGTACGCTCCGCAACGATTCACATTATGATGCGTTCTGACGACAGATGCAGCACTTCCACTCCGCATTGTGGATGTGTCCAATGTGGTCTTGTCCACACTACGGACACGGAATATTCCCATCCACCTATCCGTGCTGAAGCCCTCCTCTCTTCGCCAACTCTTTCCGCCAACCAGCACCCTCCGCCCGAATACACTGACTCTTGCGCTATTTCCCCATCTGCACCACGAACCATACTCCATCTCGCTCACCGGCGCCTTTCACCCGCTTTCCGCCATTTCCATTTCTTCGTCACCTACTCGAACAGCGACGTCTGCATACAGCGCCTGCACACAAACGCTGTATGGTGTCGCCCGTGTCTGTGGCACCCTCGCAACCCTCCCCCTAGAGCTTGCACGGAGCGAATGCTCTTTCAAGCGCAAGGAGCTCACGCGCATACGCGACGAGCGCGCCGAAGTCCTCGGGTACCTTGTCGGGCTGCGCGACAGGATCTCCGACGCACTCGAGACGGTCGACGGCGACGCAGCGCTGTTCGAGCTAGCGCAATTCGTGCATTACCTGCAGGCGGTCGTCAGCGGGCAGGAGTCTGCGCCGTACAGCGATGACGTCTCGCCGGGACGCGTGCTCGAGTCGCTGTCTTTGCTCGCAAACTTGACGCTCCCCTCCCATGCCTCTCTGCACAGCGCGGAGATCAAGACGGGAAAGCTCAGACGCCCCTCGTGGCTCACGCTCACCTGGCCCCAGCTCGTGCTCCTTCCTCCGCTGGCCTTGTATGGAATCCGCACAGCATACGCGTCGCGCGCGACATTGGAGGAGCTTGCGCGAGACGCACTCGAGACGATGAAGGGGTTCTGGGAAGACTGGATCCTCGAGCCCCTCCGCGGAATCGTGCGCACCGTCCGTGCGGGTCGGGATGACGGCGTCATCGTCACCAAGGAGAGCGTCCGCGCCGACCTCGATGTAAGTTCAGACCCTATCAGAAGCACGCTGGTATTGACGGCGATCCAGTCGCTAGAACGGATGACGCTCGCCCTGGCGCAGGACAAGCTGCACTACTCTTCCCCGCAGCTCGAGGCGCTCTCGCGGCAGGTGCAGATGGGCGACCTGACGGCGGTGATGCAGATATACGAGGAAGACATCAAGTCCCCGCTCAGGTCCGCGGTGCAAGGCACGCTCCTCCGGTCCTTGTTCGTCCAGGTCCAGAAGGCGAAGGTGCGCTTCCCGTCTTCCCCGCCACGCTTGTCGCGGGCTTCTCGATGATGATTGATGAATGGACGGCTGACGTCGACGGGGCTGTCCTATCGTGTACGAGCAGGTCGATATTGATATGGCGCTGTCCGGAATCGACAAGCTGCTCAAGAGCCAGGAGCTCACGTTTGCGTTCGTAGGCGTAGCGCCTGCGCTGGCCATCGTTTATGCCGCCGGCAGCTACCTGCAGCGTCTGTGGTCCGGCGGGAAGGGTCGCGGGCGGTATGGGGGCAAGGCGAAGCGCATGGGTGTTTGGGCTGCCGTGAGGTCCGTCGTCTCTCATCTTTCTTCGATGCCACGGTGCCGCCGAAAACGCTCTGTACTCGTACTGATGATACTCATGACCGTTGTATGTAGGCGCGTCGACCGCCTGCTCACCGCCCAACCCAAACCACACTCGTCCCACACTCGACCGCATCGGGTCGCGGCCTTGCAGAAGTCTCCCGCGACGGCCGTCTCGCCGCTCACGTCAGGCCTTCTCCTGCTTTCTGTCACACAGCTGAGGAAGTACGCGGAGACGACGCTGCCGGCGAACTCTCGTCTACGCGAGGGCTTCTTGGAAGACGTGACGGATTTGGAGGACCCGGGTCTGGGCCGTGCGGACAAGCTGAGGGTGGTAGATCGGATGTGGCGGTCGTGGGGCGAGCCCTTGGGCTGGAATAGGGTAGCAGATTAATGAATGGCGACCGTCTTCTCGCAGTAAGCGTAATTGCGAGGGGCGGGGGAGTTCTGACGAACGGCGGGGATACCGCCGGGCGTACTTGTGACCGCGGCAAGAAACAAGACCCAGGGACGCAAGCGTGCTCACAGGGCGGCAGGTTTGCAACCCGCACCCCAGCCTTCGATGGCCAAGGGTGGGCGGACGGTCGCAACGGACAGGTTCTGAGCCCCGCTACCCATCTGGGTACCCACCGCATTCTCCCTTCGTTTTCTGCTCCCCCTTGCACCGCTCTTCATTGCTTCTCCCCCAAACAATCCCTCTGGTTAGCACGAGCCCTAGACTCACATACGTGCAGCGTCACCATCACCCCCCTTTCACGTCGACGGTATGTATTCAGGCCCACCACGAGGCTCGGCCTCGCAGGGCAATCGAGGGGATCTAAAGGAAGGAGCGTAATTGCGCCGACCCGTGGGGATAGGGCGGGGTCGCCCTTGAATAGATATTCGGACCGAAATCCGCAAGTCCGATCGTGTGACGAGCGAGCGAGCGCGAATGGTCGATGGATTGCCGCTTGCAACGTATATACTTACAGTACCGCGCGCTCTAGCCACCTGTGGCTGGGACTGATAGCCTCGTGTCTCGTCTATTCGGTTGCGCGGTGTGTCCCGACTCTCGATCGTGTGCCACTTGGCTCCAACTCTTGGATCTCGGCAAGCATGGCGTACTACTCAACGCTCAGCGTTCCAGCGAGCAGACACGGCGATTCCAACGCAGTCCTCTGTATACCGGGCACAGGTTCGCTCAGAGGACAAATCCAACAAGCTTCAGGTGACCGAGCGTCGTCGACGCCTTGACACATCACAGACACATCCTGTCCGGAACGTCGGTCGAGTGGTCCGGAGAAAGTGCACGATCCCGTCGCTGGGGAGGCACCCTCTTCCCAAGAGAAGGATTGGCCACTCCGACGGCGGACGCGACCCTGCATTGTGAGAAGACGGCGTGAGGGGCTCTGGGGGTGCTGGTCGCGGGCTATTTCCAGATCGGTCGGTGGAGGGGTGGGAAGGGTGTGGGGAAAGAAGCAGGATGGAAGGCTTCGCTGGAGTTGGGCGATGCCACGATGATGCCGGATTGGGCCCCGCGAAGGGCCCATGTGAGGCTTTCCCCACACTACCCCCGTCCTCTCCTGCCCCGCCTGCCGTTTTGGCCTGTGAGCAGTACGCAGCTGACGCAGCCGCGTCTGTCATGCGCTGCCTATCAAGCCGGCACTCGAACGCAAATAAAGCTTACTGCGAACGGGCCCCTCCTCGCAGGCCGTCTGCCTCGATCGACCTCTCCAGCCTCGGACACCCTCTTCACGCCTCCTCGCCCTTGTGCAACTTCACGACTCGACCGCGGTTCGTTCTTGCTGCAGGAGAACCGCTGCATCACGCCGACGGACGCATTCACCGACTACTCCGATCGTGCTTACTCAACCGTGGTGCCCTCGATCCCGACCGGCGGCACCGAGCCACATCGCGCCCGCTGACGAGTACAGGACGGCCATCCACTGTTGATTCATATTGCTCGCCTCCGACGGCATTCGTTTGTCGTCGACATCCCACGGCATCTCCTCCTTCACGCTCCCGCCATATAAGCTTCCCCCTCACACATACCCCGCTAACAGTACTTCTTCCTAGTCGTGCGCCCCTCGCTCTAATACCACCTTTCGGCAATCGTTGAAATGCCGGCCCCCACCGAGGTTTCCCCCCGAGGCTCGCCCTCGGCCATGTACACCCTCCCAAACGTCGCCACACACGATCTCCAGCGCGGATCCCCCACACCCAAGTTCGAGATTGAGCGGCCGCGGCGCCGCTCGCCCTCGCCCGTCCCCGCCAGCCCCACGCCCTCCTCGTCCAAGTCCATGTACGCGCCGCCACCCCTCACCTGGCGCAACGCCGCCCAAGACGCCATGGCGGGCATCTACTACACCAAGGACGCGTTCCCGTCCTCGAGCTTCCTGCCCCCGCCCTTCTCGCGCGAGCGCGTGGCCGTGGACGCGGGCGACCGCGTCGAGCTCCTCGAGGAGATCGACGAGTACGCGGTGCGCGTCCGCGTCCTCCGCACGGGCGCCGTCGGCCTCATCCCCGCGTGGAACACCGAGGGCGCGCTCGAACGCCTGACGAGGATGAACACCGCGTTCAACGAGGCGGTACGTTATCTCCCCCCCCTCCCCCTCCCCTTCGCTTCGCACGTTCGTTCTGACGCACGCGTTGTTCCCAGGCAACCTGCCCCGTGGAGGCCCGCGCCCTGCGCCGCCGCGATAGCGGCTCCTCCTCAGGCTCCGCCGCCAGCTGGGACGACGCCGCGAGCGCGCCCGCCGACGGCTGCTCGCTGACGCACGTCCACTCGCGCTGCATCCCGTTCGCGACGCGCGTCCGCTTCCCCGACTACTACGGCGCCCCCAGCGCGTACAGCGACGACGACGACGGATCCGACGAATCCGACGCATCCGACGCGGACACGCCCGCTGGGTCTCCCCGGGAGTACGAGCGCGGGCGTCCGCTGCGGCAGTCGTCGCAGCCCGCCGTGTTCGAAGCCCTGCCGCGGACGCTCGAGAAGGGCGGGATCTCGGCGTCGGTCGGGACGGCGGCCCGGTCGCGCTCGGGCGGCAGGAAGTCTGTGAACTTCGCAGGCGGGGAGCGCCCGCAGGTCGTGTTCCGGTACCCGTCGGAGGAGGCGGTGGGTTCGCTGTTGGGGGAGGAGACGGAGGCGGAGCCCGAGCGCGGACACGGCGAGGAGGGCGAGGAGGAGTGGTGGTGGCAGGGGTGGGAAGAGGCGCGCGAGGAGTCTGCTGGTGAGAAGGGAGGAGAGGGAGAGGGGAAGGACGCGGAGGCGAGCGACGAGACGGCGGCGGCGGAACAGGGGACCGTCGACTTTGACGAGGTCTTCCCGTTCGCGTTTGACGAGGCTGGGCTTTGACGATGGTGTCTATGCAGGCTCGCCCTCTACAGCTGGCAGGGCTACCGGAGGGCGGGCAGGTGAGACGGGAAGTGGCAAAAAGGCGGCAGGACGCTGGCCAGATAGCACTCGCACACATAGTAGGTAGGATTTCGCGTAGGGATTGGGCTCGGACGACGGATACCGGACACTCACCCAGGCTCGCTGTAATTGTCGCTGCACGGCTAGCGTTGTTGTATAGTATCTGTAACGCATAGCAAACATTCTGTTTAATGTCCGAAATCAGCGGGGCGCGTGAGCGACTTGGGTTCCCGATGACGAAGGCGTGTTTGCGAACGCACTTCGGACGCGGACGAACCAGACTACTATACTGGCAGGAAGGCGGACCGGGATCGTTCGTTGCGTAGAATTCGCATTACGAGGACGATACGACGGCCGCGGAGCGACGGACCCGTCGGCCAAGGCTGCGATTGGCTGCGATTGGCTGCGATTGGCTGCGAGGAGGATTGGGAGCCATGATGCGCAGCACGTGATCGCGTCTTGGAGTATGACGTCGTGGTGTCGCGCGCGCCCCTGGACGGACACGCTGCCCGACATCCACCGTCGTCCGCGATCTCTGACGCCCCAACGCTCTTATATACACTCGGCAGCTGACCGGGCACATCCCATTCCTTATCTTCTGCTTCTTCATCCACGCGAATAGCTGAGCCCAGCACCATGGCAGACTCACAGACAAAAGCTGCCGGCAAGCAGCCGTATGTCCTCCCCCAATTCACGCCGAAAGACTACTCGACTTTCTTCTTGGCCGGGGCGCTATGCGCAACGTGAGTGCGGGTATCTGCATGCACGAGACACTCACTGACACTGACGTCGTCCGAAGGCTCACACACGGTGCGATGACTCGTGAGTGGCCGTCTCTCTTTCTGTCGCGTCTCCGTTATTCCCGGACGCTGAGCACGGCCGCCGCCCAGCCATCGACGTCGTCAAGACGCGCATCCAGGTCGACCCCGAGATGGCGCGCATGTCCCTGCTGTCCGGCGGGAGGCGGATCGTCGCGCAGGAGGGCGCGTCCGCGTTGCTCACCGGGTTCGGCCCCACCGCCGTCGGCTACTTCGTGCAGGGCGGCGCCAAGTTCTTCGGGTACGAGTTCTGGAAGAAGCAGTTCGCGTCGCTGGCTGGCGAACAGGACACCGCGGTCAAGTACCGCACTGCGATATACCTCGGGGCGTCGAGCGTCGGAGAGTAAGTCGTAGCAGTGGAACGCGAGCGGGCGTGGCACTTACCGGGAACTTGAATGCAGGTTCTTCGCCGATATCCTCCTCACGCCCCTCGAAGCCACGCGGATACGGCTCGTCTCCCAGCGGGGCTATGCCACCGGTCTCACAACGGGCTTCGCGCGATTGGCCAGAGAAGAGGGCGTGGCGGGGCTCTACGCGGGCTTCCTGCCCATTCTCTGCAAGTACGTCCCGCACGCACGCCTCGCCCCCCCACACGCACCGCGCCTAACCCTGACACGACGGCTGCCCGCAGACAGATCCCGTACGCGATCGGTCAGTTCACAGTGAACGAGTTCTGCCACGAGCTCGTCTTCCGCAACATGTCGGAGGAGACCAAGCGCTCCCTGAGCCAGCCCGCGAAGTACGCGATCAGCCTCGGAAGCGGCGTCGTCGCCGGCTTCGCTGCTGCCATCCTCAGCCAGGTCCGTGACCCCTTCCCCGCGACGTCCCCCGCGGGAGAAGCGCGTCGCTATTCTCGATATCAGAACGGGTGCTGACGACCACCGAACTCCGTGCGCCTGTGTATCGCGTGCCACACGTGCAGCCCGCGGACACGCTCCTCTCGCAGATCAACAAGGGCCACGGGCCTGAGGGCTCCATGCCACACCGCCTGCGCGTGCTCGCCCAGCAATCGGGATTCCGTGGGCTTTTCGCAGGGCTGGGCCCGCGCATGATCATGACCGCTGGCCTGGTCGCCGGTCAGTTCCTCCTGTACGGAGCGATCAAAGACGGTGAGTTGGTGCTTTCGCGTTATCGCGGAGACGCGCGTGTGCAGACGCTGACGGGCGTGCGGTTTGCATAATTAGCTCTAGGAGCGCCGCCTGGCTTGGAGATCCACAAAGAGAATGAGAGGAAGATCTAGGGGCGGAGATTGCGAGATCTGGGCAGACGCCGTATGTAGATGTACTCAGAGAGATCTTGTGTTGGACTCGTACGAGACGATACCAGATTATGTATGAGCTTACCTGGCAGACGGGAAATGCCCATGCAACAACCTGTCGCGAAGAGTCGTGAGCGTTCGTCGAAGAGCAGGTTTGTTACGCTAGCGGTTGGAAGGACATTGATTGAGGCAGGAGAGGTCCAACCCCATATCGTGCCGATGTGGCAAGAACGCGGCAGCTCACGACCGGCTAATCCCGGTTGGTCCGGCCTCTCCCGAGACTAGGATCGCAGGGTTTGCGTCGTCTTCTGCACCTCTTGCGGCCCATGGTGCATGATCTTTCTACGAGCATCGAACGACTGGTATACATCCAAAGCCCGGTATCGATCTTCAATGTGGCCATCGATGCGGTGAACTGAGCTCCGCTTTGACAGAGTAAAGCATCTATGACATGCAAGGAGAAACCTCGTGCGTCTCCTGTCGTTCCTAGCCGCGAAATTGGCTTCGCAGGCATGCGCGTCGCCGAGCTTCTTGTCGGAGGAGGGCCCGTCGATCTCCAGGTGAGCACATTGGCGCCTCTTCACGCAGGCAAGTCATTAGGCCTTCATTGTGCCGTGAGTGCACTTGTTCAAACCGCGCGGCCTTCCCAGCTCGATGTCATATTTCTCCGGAGGCAGTCGATTGCGTGCGTCCATCGTTCAAGTCCCCGTATAGGTATGACGATACCGTGCAATGCACGTATCGCGGCGCCTGCGCGCGTTTGTCACCGGGGCCTTCTCTTCCTCAATCTCCTTTTCATATCGGTGTTTGATTTGACTGATCTGGTGAAAGAGCGCAGTTGTGATGGGTTGTCTCGCGTTCTGCAATCCTAAGACTGGCGTCAGGTATTTTCGCATTGCAATATCTCGGTTTCTCCTACTTTTACCAATGTGTAATACCCAGGAAGGAACTGCATCCGCCTCTACCACAATGGTAGGAGGTGGGGAAGATCGCTGGCGCTGAATACATCAACGTAGGTACGTAGGTAGAGCCAGCGTATGCTCAGCGAAGAGGAGAGCACTTCAATGCCTCGCCGCAAAACACAATCTTTATCTCTTTCCCGCCGCACAACGGCCGTCAGTCTTTGTGGCTCGCTCGGCGCTAGCTCTTGCCACGAGACAGTGTGCACAGCTCCCTCTTGGGCTGCCGGTACCAAGAGTCCTAATCTCGTGGCCAGAAGCGAACAACTTTCTGACAAATAGCGATATCGGTGGGGCGGCTACAGACCTTCCTCGAGCTGTGATGGCCCCGCCGGCCGAGCCATGAAGCGCTGGAGTGTGTATGGACAGCTACTATTCTCTCAACGCTTCACGAAAAACGCTGTTAGTTTTGTGCTTCAATTTTCATCACATGCTGACACTTCTTGATTGTCCATCGCACATCGACTACCACGTCGCAGCGTGTGGTTTCGGGCAGTTGGACGGCGAAACGGGCATGCATGAAAGGAGTTAGGCAACCCATACGCTTTCTATCGATGCTGCTGCGCGGAAATTCTCGAGTGAGAGCTCCGAAAGGGCGGATGCGTACCACGGCAGGACGTTGCTACGGATCTATGGCTTGGCCTACGACTTCAACGAGCACTGCTCCCTCACGACAAAGTACTGGGACAGGTGTTTTGCGACGTCTGATTGGCTCGTCACACTTATGACGACGAACAATCCAGGTCCTAATCAAGTCCGGGAGCAGAGCCACCCTTCCACCTTGCCAGTCAAACTGCTTGTTTTGAACCTTGAGACTTTCACAGAAGTCGGTGTGTTCTGTTGAATGCGATTTGGTCGGAACACACGTCATGTATGTGGGCATCGGTCTATCGCCGATGCCCGCGTACTCCGCGGGAGCTAGAGAACCCTTCAGTTCTGGGCAGAGCGCTCTATACATCGAGCAGAAGCCCGCCATGGTTCTACGTCCTTCTGAATCGCTGGGACGCTCATGTATCGGTCTGTACAGCGGCCGCCGGCTCGAGCGACTATTGGAACAGTCGGTTATGGGCGTCCTGTGTCCCGAAATAGCTGGTATCGTATCGTTGCCATTCTGACAGAAGCTCAATGCGTGACAGTTCAGGGTCAAGCATGGGACGTCGCAGCGGGAAGGAGCGAAATGCATATAGCATACAAGAGGACGCAGCCTGCAAGTGACGGCGACTTGCGTTGACGGAGTTTGGGTACGTCGCGGCTATTTCCGATTTCAAGGGTAACTACCGCCGCCCGCCACTGCGCTTATACGAGGCTACCGCTGCCAACGGCGTTGTCACTGTCCTTTTGATGAAAGGTGATACAATTGCATGATCCCAGGGTATGTCCTAGGAAGTATTTGAGTTGTTTGCTAACCATCGCGCGACGCTAGAATACACATGACAAGTACTCAGCTACGTCACTAGTACCAGTGTCACTTTCTTCAAGGCAGACACACCACGACGATCTCTAGAGCTTCGGCGACATCAATCTTGGAGATCGTAGCCTATACATACCGAAGTAGAACTCCGATCAATACGCCCTCCTACCGGCTCAAGACGCGCAAATTCTCTTCCATTTCTGTCGTGCGTCCAGAGGCGCTTGACATGGCGCCTGCCAAGCGGATCGCAACGACATCCTGCGGCAGTTACGACGCTGAGCGGTGCACTTCCTCTGCTGGCGGTTGCTGCTGACAGACAGCGTCAGATACGCATTCACTGACCTGTCCCCGAGGGTGATACATAGCTGTAACGACAAGCTGCTCTGAACGAGCGGCAGCACGCTACGAACGGCATAGTACGAGCACTCCAGTTCTGTTGCCAGCATACAGTAGTGCTCACCACCAACTCGCTTCCAGAACTGTCACGGGGGCCGGGGTCGTAGACCTCCGTCGTCGCGGGCTCAAGGGCGTTTACCTATGCAATCGAATCTCTATGCGAACCTGGGGTTCAATGGCGTGGTATGAACTACGAGTCTGGCAGTACAACTGCTGCCGTGATGATCAGGCCATTGTAGGTGACCTGGGACACTATATAAGACCCATTGCTTGCTAACTCAATAGATCAGATTCCTCATCCTCCTCTCCAGGTTCAGTCAACATGTTTACTTTCCTCAACGACCCCACTTTTCCCTCACTCAGCGAGGCGCACAAGCCGTTTGTCAATGAGACGGTCATGGACGTATGCGGTGTTACGTGAGTACTAGCTTCTACTGCGACGTGTAGTACCATTCTCAATCGGTTTGCCCAGACGGCCTTTTGCCGTTAGCAAACTCAGGCATAACGGCGATGTAGACATCTTAGTAGGTAGTTTGGCAATTATGTGATATTCGACGCTAACGTTCGAAACCAGGGCAGCGACGTAGACCCTATCATGGCCACCAAAGCTCTTGTGCGGGACTTCCTCGACCGACTTCCCTACACTGCCCCCTGCGTCCCGGCAGACTCGGAGCTTAGGCACGAGGTCGCAGACCTGATTGCCTCCTGGAACGCTGGCCTCAGCTGGAAGTATATCGAAGGCCTTACAGAAACCAGCTGCTCCATTGCCGAGTCAGCTTATGCACACACTAGCCACGAGCACCAGCGCATGGTCGCCATCTACACGGCATGCCTCACCTTGGCTGACGATCTCGGGCACCACAATATGGAGGCGCTTGGGCAATTCGTTGGGCGATTCACTCGTGGGGAGCCGCAGCTGCATCCTGCCTTGGATTGCCTGGTCAAGCTACTCGGTACCCTACACGAGTTCTGTCCCCGCATCAACGCCGACGCAATCATCGCCAGCACCGTTGATTCGGTGAGCGCGATGTACGTCGAGGTCCTTTCGCAAGGCGATGTCATCTCTCCCTTCGCGACGAAGTACCCCTTCTACTTTCGCCTCAAGACCGGTATCGCGCCGGCTTACGCTCACCTGAACTTCACGAAGAGCTGGGGGGACGACGTTGGAACTTACTATCTGCAGCTTCTTCCGTGAGAAAGCCTACTATTCATGCTATCAGGTCTCGCAACTTACGATTCGATCAGTGAGACCGAGCTTGTGGTAGTCGGTTTCAAGTGAGTCCTTCCCTAAATGTAACTGGATAAGCGCCGAGAGCTGATAAATCTCTTGTCTGTAATCCAGCGATATGTATGTGATCCCATCCCATCCCTCTACTGCATGAGCTCAAACGACGACGTAGAATTTCGTTCTATAAGGAAACGCTCGCAGGGGAAACAGATAATTACGTCAATATGCGCGCGGCCGTGGAACAGAAACAAGCAATTTCGGTCCTCCGGCAAGTCATCGCGGAGAATTTGGACTCGGTGTACAAATTGAGGCAAATGGCTGCCCCTCAGCCAGGTCTCACGGAAATTTACCTTGGTTTCTTGATGGTCGGTAACGCAAAGAGTTGTGCAGTTGATATATTGGCTAATGGTTTGATGCATTTGCAGGGCTACGTGGAGTTCCATTTCAAGGCACGCCGATACCGGTTGCACGAGATCGTAGCGGAGGTGGACGAGCAATGAGAAGTCTACATAAGGGTTACGTTCAGTGGCGGAGCTCTGCTTCGCGAGTCGTATGGCCAACTCGGACTTCAAACTCTGCTTTGTATATGTATCCTAGCTCTGCAAACTATTCATCACAACCAACAATTCGATGAACCTCCACGATGTAGACGTTCCGAATCATCAGCTTGTCATTCCCTTTCCCACCATCTTGCACCAACTGAGGTTCCTCGCAGGAGGAGAGAGCCCAAAAGGCTTGTTCTGATTCTAATGCCTGTCAGTTACGCAATGCACAGGCTCTGCTACGGTGACAGCTTCCAACAATTTGACAATGGATCGCACTATACACCCGATTACTTATGATGTCGCTGAAGCAAGTGTTCTCAAATCACTGATTGATTCCGGCTAGTGGCAGCTGTCTTCAGACAGCCAGTGGCCCTGTGGAATCGTGTCTCGGGCATATGTAAGCTCGTAAGCAAGCAACTGGCGCGGCCGCTTCAAGGATGGAACATTCGGGCGGCACAAATGATCTCTGCGTGTATGACGCAATGGTAAAACCGATTAGAGATAGCGTCCATGCAGGACACTCCATTGACAACTAGCTGGCACATGTCACACAGACAAATGCAGGCTCTCGGAACCTCAGGCTTCAGAATACCGCAAATGCAACAGAAAGCGCCGGGTCCCAGCAAGACGGCTACCGCCTGGAATCGAGAAGGTGTTGTGAATTCTCTGGGCCTTACGACCCTGTGACACACATCAGCACGCGCCGGTGTTGATATGATTTCGAACTGTCCTGGAAATGACCACAGATTCACGCAAAGGGATTACAAGCGCTCGTTGTCGTGCCGACGCGCCTAGAGGACACCGGATACAGAGATCTTATGATCGGGAGGTGGAACGCTGGCACAGCACTGGCCGAGAATATGGCTCTTCAGTTCACCGACAACGACGGGAGGAAAGGTATGTTATTCAAATTCGTCGGCGTATGGCTCGATACCACATGCCAATGTGTCTCAGATCGTACGACACTCCAGTCCTGGGCTCGGAGGCTCCTCGTTCAATCGCCGGATCAGGTCACTGCTCCGAGTCCCGAACCAGTGTTCCTGGCAGCAGCAGCAGCATCGTCACAGGCTATGCGAGTCTTTTTGAGAAGGAGGCAGTTTACGTCAGATGCGTGCAACGCCAACCGCGACGCTGTATGCAGCCGACCGGTGTCGGGTTTTGTGGGCAGACAAGTCAGGTTGCGCCGGATGTAAGCTCCACTTATGGGATCAGGTCGAACTCTTGTAGTGCACGGTCGTGAGCTCCAGGAAGTGTCAACACTGTCGCATTTCCAGAAGCGTTCTTGGTACGACGACGGGTCGGACTTCGGTAGGCTATATAACCCCACTGGTCGTCTCGGTCTACGCAAGCTAATTACCTCACCCAGCAATCGCCAGGATCTCTTATTCCCATGCTCGCCGTGATGTCTCCAATCAGTAGTAATCTTGCTACAGTCGACGAAGTTGGTGTGATCCTGTGCCCACCATCATCTTCCGCTGACCCAGTCTACTGTTTCAGATTGTCCCAGATCCCCATGTCGAGATCAAGACCCTCATCCGTGGTTTCCTGGACGCTAGCAACTACCAGTCGCCTAGAAGCCCCCATGACGCCGAGCTTCGCAGAAAGCTCGCGGAGGAGCTGACATCCTGGCCAGCTGACATCAAGCCTGCCCTCATCGCCAAAATCATGGACGGCAGCTGCGTCTACGCCGAAACCACATACGGCCACACGACCCACGAGCACCGGTACTTCATCGCACTCTACACAGCGTGCCTCATGTATGTCGACGATCTCGGTGAACGCGACCTCGATGCCGTCATGCGGTTCACCGGTCGCTTCGCGAGAGGTGAAAAGCAGCCGGACAAAATCCTCCAGCGTCTCGCGCAACTCCTCGGGTCCGCCCACGATCTATGGACTCAATTCGGCGCAGATGCTATCATCTCCGGAACGCTTGATGCGGTCACAGCCATGTACATCGAGTTCACCACGAAAGATATGGTGGTGAAGCCGTCGGCGACTCGCTTCCCCTACTATCTTCGCACGAGGGCTGGACTCGGTCCGCCGTACATCCATTTCATCTTCATGAAGGAGTGGCGTGCGACACCGGAGTCGTATCTGCAGGTGCTTCCGTAAGTGGCTGTTCTCGCGCGCGTCCACCGTCTGTTAATTAATGCACCACGTCAGGGACATGGAACACTGGACGCTGGGCACCAAGTACGTGGGTCGCTGCTGTTTCTGACTCATTCTGACTGCTTCACGGCGGTTTCTATTACAGCGATATGTGTGTATCTTTTGCAATCCGTTACGATGCCCTCGGAAGTAGCTGACGCTCCTCCCCGCAGTCTTTCCTTCTACAAGGAGGAGCTAGCGGGGGAGACCAATAACTACGTCCATCTCCGTGCGAGCGCGGAGCGGACATCAACGGAAGAGGTTTTACGTCGACTGGTTGAAGAAGTTCTGGACAGCGCACGTCGCATGGACGCCTTGACGTACGAGGATTCGAAGTTGACTGCCCTATGGCGGACGTACATGCAAGTGCGTATAACATCAGCGAGTCTGAGTCTGATGACTGACCTAATTTGCTATAGGGATACCTAGAGTTTTCACTCAGTGCGAAACGCTACCGGCTTGCCGAGTTGGGTTATCAGCCTTGATATGCGGCGTCGGCTAAGAGAAGTGGCAGCCGGAGGGGCGATGTTACCGAACGAGTCTTCAAGTCATTCCGCAGCTCTTTCTTTCTTGAGCATTAACAGTGCCAAAAATTGTAGACTTGTCTCCCTGGCATCCCGTGTAAACCGACTACTCAGGCTGGAGCAACGGGGCCGGAGTTACAAATGACGCTCATGTGCTGATAGTTCTCATGTCCCGTCTTTTCTCCGTGGAATGTGTCCGCCCTCATCGGCTTCACATTCATCACTTATATCCGTTCTCCTGCCCTCTGGGGCCGCTGAGTCCACGGTCCGCGGAACTGGGAGATAACTCATGAAGCTGCGCGCTGACTGTCCGTTCTCGCTATCAAAGCCTCCAGATGCATCTGTAGTGGACGTCTCATGACAGCCTTCCATTCAAACCCCTTCCAGGGCTTGACCGCCAGTGCAGAGTCCCTCGGCGTCTGATGTTTGGCAATTGAGACCATGTAGCGTCGGGAATAGTGTCAACTGGACGGCGCCCGTGATTGATTATTGGACTATAAAAGTCACGTAGCCCCAAAATCCCCGACACAACCGCAATTCCTGGGCATCCCGCACCTCACTAATCCCTTACAGGTGCATTATGCATCCTACCCGCTGCGGTATATCTCACTGACTGTCCACCGCTAGTCTGGCCATCCCAAACATGCCCTACGCTGCTCTCGAGGACACAAACGTCACTAGCGTGAGTCTGACGATATTATCTTCGTCGTTGCCATGTGTATGTCTGACTCGTGTTGCCTTTTCAACAGAGTAACGCCGTCAGAGAGATTCTGAGCGATCTCCTCAAACGGGGCATAGTCAACCATGAACTTTCCTCAACTCCCCGACACAGGGATGATCATCTCTATGATGATATCATCGAGGAAGTGGCCGACATCTTCGCCGCCGCCGGAGACGACAAGATATTCGTCGAGAGGTTCAGTCGTACCGGCTGTGACCTGGCTCAGATCACATACGGGCACACAAGCACCGAACACCAGCACTACATTGCCCTCTACACCGTGTGCCTCCTCTACGCAGACGACCTGGGCATCCGACACCTCGACGCTTTGACCCAGTTCGCCCGTCGCTTCTCCACAGGAGAGAAACAGCTAAACCCCGTCTTGGATAAACTCACCGAGCTTATGAGGCAGGCATATGACCTCTGGCCACAAGTCGGAGCTGACGCCATCGTGTCCGGAACTCTCGAGGCGGTATCGGCCATGTACATCGAGTGCACGAGCGGGGATATGAAGATCACCCCGCAGGCGACATTGTGGCCGAATTATTTCCGGAACAGGTCGGGGATATGCCCTCCGTACGCTCACTTCAACTTCATGAAGAACTGGCGGTCGGCTCCGGATTCGTATCTGCAACTGCTACCGTGAGTCTCTTGCGAGTTCAGATTGCTGTCTGTGTTGAGAAGATGTTCTAGGTACCTTGAGTTCTACATCGTTGCAGCTAAGTGAGTGAGCTGTTGTAGGCATTTACAAGAATTATCACCTGACATGCAGCATCAAATCTATCCAACCAGCGATGTGTGAGTATAAGAATCCACTTTGCATTCGGGAAAAAGCCGTCTCACGCACCGCCACGATAGCCTGTCGTTCTACAAGGAACAACTAGCTGGAGAGACAAAGAACTACATCCATATCCGGGCTACGACAGATCAAATGACGCCTGTCGACATGCTGCGCCGGGTCGCGGACGAAGTCCTCGCTTGTGGTGAACGAGTCGAACTACTCATCGGGGACGATGCGCAGTTGATGGGAATATGGCGGTCGTTTGAACACGTGCGTATACGGAAGCTGATGTAACACTGCAGGCATAGTTGCTCATGCAATTGACAGGGTGTGTTGGAGTTTCACGTGAAGACGCAACGTTACCAGCTCGCGGGACTGACCTTCGGGTCGTGAGCTATTTGCTGGCATATGTATGCAGCGTGTATTCCGTCATTCGTCAATGAAGGCAACACACGTACTTCCAAGATCTAGCAGGCTCAGAACTATTCATGAAGATTTATCCGACGAAATGGTTCATCAGATTGAGATAGACTCGCGGTGATTTGTTTTGAACATCCTGGCAACCCTTTCGTGGGACAACTGGCCTGATAATCGGTGTGAAGTGCAGCCTACGGACTCCACATCGTCAGCAAAGCTGGCATGTTCGCTAGAGATGCTCTATACCAGCATATATTCCAAAGGAAGATGAGGAGAATAACAATATGTGAACTAGGACATTGGACAGTACATTAGTTTTCTGCCGACAGTCCGCCCACGCCGCCTGCAAGCGCAGCGTTGCCAGTCGAGTACAAACTTAGGAAGCAAACGAGATGACACGATGAGTGGTCACTAGGATGGAGAGGAGGGTAACGGAGTATGTGAAACAACGAAGGTGAGGAGAGATGAGGGATAACTAGATGCTGAGGGATAGACGTAGAACTACTAGTGGATCCGTCTGCGAGTCGGACGCCCCAATGACACCAATGAAGACGATGTTGTATTGTCCATAAGCACAGAAGGGATGAGAGAGCGGACGAGGTATGTATGCAACAACACAAGTACAAGACAATGAAGCGATGCAGGTCTACAAAACGATAACGGGGAGTGCAAAGCCAAACGACATTATAACATGAAGACAGACAAATGCGACGGAGTAAGTTGGAACAAAACTAGACATTATGAAGCCGCTGCAGAGGGAGCCACGGACGATTGTGACCGACTCGCCCACGCGAAGAGTTGTCGCGGCACATCGCTGCTCGGAGGTGCCTCGGCAGACTGTTTCGGCTCGACGAGAAGACTGCGTCGATAGAGATCCTGCAGGTCTCCTTGTCGCTGGGACTTTTCAAAGGCGTCGCGCAGGTACACTTGGACCTCAGGAATCTCCTTCAGGTTATAGGGAACCTGGAAACGTTGCATATCTACGGGCGACAGCGTTAGCGACGAGCGACAGACCACTATCTGCAAGATTACCGTACCTTGTACGATACGCGCGAGCTTGTGGTATTTGTTGAAGTTGAGGAGCTTCTTCTCAGGCGCCTTCGGTGACGTCCTGTGCGAAGGATTCCCTTCGCGGCAGAACGTTATATCTGTCAAGTAGAGGCCTGGGTGACCGCGCGTCTCAGCATGAAAGTCGACCACAAGCGGCGCGGGACCAAACTCACCAAGGAAAGGCACCGCAGGTGGCGCGGTGTTCCGCAAGCGCGAGCGGTATTCATGGTAATTCCGCGCGTGGTCAGCAAGCTTCCGGAGCGCCTCCAGCTGCAGCTTGCTCTTCTGAGACAGACCCTGAATGACATCACCAGTCAGCGTGCGCCCGACGCGAATCCATCTTCAGAACTCACCATCCAAGTCTGGTGCAGCCTCGCGATCGTCGACGAGTCGAGCGCGGCAAGGATGGACCGCGGCGTCGAGTAGTTCCTCAGCGAGACGCACCGGTCGCCGAGCTTGATGAAGAACTTCACGAGCGCCGTCCGCTTCTTCGTGTCCGGCTCGTTCAGGATGCTCTCCGCCACCCAGCCCGTGATCGCCGTGCTGAGCGACGTCACCGCCTTCACGCCCGCGTTCGGCGCCGCGCCCTCCTTCTTCGCGCTCGCGCCCGTCTCCAGCACCTCCTCCGGCTGGATCGCGCAGTACAGGAAGCACTCCATGACCGTCATCTGCCGCGCGAGCTCGAGCGGGTCAAAGTCCGTGATCGCGACCGCGGCAAAGTGCCGCGAGCGCAGCGCAGACAGCACCGTCTTCGTCATGATCGGCCGCGGGACCTCCGAGATCGGCCCGGGCAGCATGGGCGGGTTGAGCGGCATGCCCGCGTCGCGCGCCCTGTCGCGGTCCGCGCGCGGGCTCAGCGTGTCCGCGCTCCCCGCCGACACGCGCTGGTGGACGAGCTCGAGGATGCGCTGGGACGGCCCGGGGAACATCGCGGATAGCGCGTCCTTGATGAACGAGACCAGCGTCGGGACGACGACCGCGTCCGTCGCGTGCCGCCAGTACGTCTCCACCCACGTCTTGATGAAGTTGCTCACGCGCAGGCGCACGGGGAGGCCCTTGCGCTGCTGCCACAGGCGCAGGTCGGCGTCCGCGAGCCCTGGCGGCGGGAGGATGTTGTAGCGCGCGATGACCGCGTCGAGGAGCTCCGCCGGGGTCGTGAACAGGCGGAAGGTCATGAAGAACACCGCCGCGAACGGCGGCTCGACGAGCGCGTCGTGGGGCGTCATGCGTTCCACCAGCGCCTCGAGCGTCGCGCCCACGAGCTGCCCGTCCGAGTTGTACGCGACGTCTTCGGGGGCATGGTCGTGAGGGAACGTCCACGGCAGCACCGCCGCGCCAAACGGGTGGGCCCCAGAAACGGCCGGGAGCTCCCCGCTGAGGAGCTGCTGCTCGAACGACGTCGTGCTCGGAGCGGCGCCGTGGCGTTGGCTGCCCTCCCACGTCGTCCTATCGTCCTCCGTGGGTGCGTACGAGTTTAGCGACATCGCATCCGAACGAAGCGTCGCCCTGTCGAGCGACGGGCGCGGCTCCGGCAGGGGCTTCTCTGCAAGAATGGGGGAGACGACGCTCGGCGTCACCGGCGTAGGCAGCTCGCTCTCGACGCCTCCATCCCCATCTGCACCAAGTGAGGGCGAGGGCGGAAGCGACGGAGGCTCCTCGATGACAGGAATGGCCTCGCCCTTCACCCTCAGCGTATGCTCCTCCCCGTCCACGCCCTGCGCCTGGATCGTCAGGTCCTCCTCCTCCCCATCGCCCTCGCCCTCCACATACAGCCCGCGCACCGCCTGCAAACTGCTCTCCCTGCGTATCCTCGGCCCGCCGCTGCCTCCTCCGCTCTTCGTCCCGCTCCTCGCACTCGCCGTCGACGCGCTGTGCGCATGCCCGTGCCCGAACTTCCTTGGGGTGTACACCCCGCCCTCCGGGTCCCCGGGCGCAGGCAGCACGAACACGAACGGGCGCTCGCCCGCCGACGCCGCGCGCTGCACGCAGCGCTTCACCGCGTTCACGCAGTCCGAGCCCGCCCTGAGCGCGTCCGTCGCGCACCGCAGCAGGCCCTCCTTCTCCGCCTCCTCCGACACGCCGTCCGCAGGCGGCGCGGTGAGCACGCGCACCGAGTCCGCGAGCGTGCTCGCGACGGCGTACAGGCCCTCCTTCGCCGCGCGCACGCCCTCCGCGCGCGCGGGCGGCATGTCCGGGTGGCGCAGGACGGCGTCGACGAGCGTGAGCAGCCGGCAGACGACGTCGACGACCTCGCGCACGAGGTCGTACATGTGGCCCGTGCTCGCCGCGTGCGAGCGGCGCGAGTGCGAGTGCGCGTGCCCGATGAACGCCGCGATCGTGGACAGGAAGCTGTCGTGCGTGTACCGCAGCGCGTCCGTGAGCTCCGCGGCCGTCGCGGGCCCCGAGGGGAAGACGGGCGTCGCGGGCGTGCCGACCGAGTCGCTCGAGAACGACGACGACGATGACGACGACGAGTAGTTGCTGCTCACCGAGTCCTGCATCGGCCGGTGGTGCTGCCGCGGCGTGCTCTCGCTGAACACCCTCCGCGCGGGCGACGCGAGCTGCTGCTCGGACAGCTTCCGTTGCGGGATCCTCAGGGTTCCGGCGGGCACAGGTGGGTAGTCGGCTCCCATCGCAGCCCGTTTCGGGATCTTGAGGTCGCCCAAGCTCTTCGGCCTCGACGGCGTATTCGCGGCGTCTGTCATCCGCCTCGCCCTCGTCGCGATGCCGTTGCTAGTCCGGCCGGGCGTCGCGAAGTGGTCCTCGCCCATCTCGCCCGCTCCCCAGCGCCCCTGCCCCTGCGAAGACTCCGCGTCGGCACTGCGCACGGGACGCGCTGCGGCCGCCGAGGGCAGGTTCACGCCGCACTGCACGGCGACGGCAAGGAAGCCGCGCACGTGCGCGAACAGCTGCCCCGCAAGGCGCACCATTCCCTGCACCTCCATGTCGCGCGTCTCCTCGGAGATGCCGGCCGTCCCTTCGTCGGACGCGCGCTTCGCCTGCGAGACGAGCGACGCGAGGTCGGAGAGGATGCGTTTGCGCTCCTGCGCGAGCACGCCGTGCTGCTTCAGCACGGGCGCGTCCCGCGAGAGGCAGCCGATCTCGGACAGGAGGGCGCGGACGCACGATATGATGCACGCGGTTGCGGGCTGGAAGTGGTGTACGCGATTCATGCGCACGGCGTTTTGAAGCAGAGAGAGTGCGCGGAGGAGGGGCAGCATGAGCGGGGGGCAGTACATGTCGATGGTGGGGCCAAACGAGTCCGCTGCTGTTGGCCGGTGGTTGTTGCGGGGGAAGGTGGCTTTGCCTTTCTGTGAGACGTTGCTCGCCCAGGACGTCGTCGACGACACGGACATGTTGTGTTTGTGGCCGGGTCGAGAGTTCTACAGGGCGGGAAACCTCATGGTCAGTATTTTTGTCCGCGGGCGTTTAGGATGGCCATGCTTCCAATAGCATTGCACGTAAAGTTAGATGGTAACAACCCGACGCCGCCGCCGTGGCAGAAGTCCGTGTAAGAAGCCCACAGACGACCGTGCAGAACATGCTCATGATTCACAGGGCTGACATGCGATCCCGATGAACACTGGACTTGTGATTGCATCGGGATGCTTGTTGTGCCTCCGTCTTCGATGACCTCATAAAGCATCATGCAGACAACGCCGCAATCGAAGTCGGAGCAAACGAATGATGATATGACCCCCCACAACAGGTGGACCATCCAGTTCCACTCTCCCGGCATTCTCAGCGGATTGGATGGTCCGAAACCGGAAGACTTGACTCAAAACTGCAAAGATGCCGGAAATCTTGTCCGGACATCCCAACCCCACTTTACCTGAGGCAAGATCAAAACCCAGATAGCTGAGCTCCAGAAAGCCGACGGTCTGTTAGCTACTCAGCAGCGATGTGGGCATGCACAGTAGGGAAAATGGGCTTGGACCCGAAGTGCGGACGCTCGAAGACAAAACGGGCCTCAAAATCCGGACATTTCGGGTCTCCCGCTCCACGACAGGATCTGGCTTCGCCACCGATCCTCTGCTGATGAGGGGCGTAGCAACACGAAATATTCCCCAGAAGCTCGTGTTCCCGCCCAGTGAGCGCGGCCAACTAACGCGGAAAGGTTCTGATCCGCTGGATAGAGAATCAAACTTTTCATACGCAATCGGCATATGCCCAGACATGTGCGGAGTTTGGCGCCGGGCATTCAAACACACGGTAGACAACGCAAGATCTGCCCGGCGAGAAGTCGATGAGGGGAGACATAGGAGAAGGCGGCGTTTCCGGGAAGAAAAACACCGTTCACCAAGGGTAGGCAGTTGCCTACTGCAGCTCATCGTCGTCGACCGCAGACGCCGTGACAGCTGCACGGTCGACCCGCATTCTCAACACGGCTTCAGCGACGGCGGCAATGACAGATCCAGCAAATTCAACAACAAGCACGACGTCACGACGAGCGATCGCACGCATCGAGAACGGAAAGAAGAAACCGGTAAGGACACACACCTTCGCGCCCGGGAGCTCTTCCTCCGTGAGCAGCCCGACCTCGGCGGTGACATAGTTGCTCGGGAACCAGCCCCGCCTGCCGTCAAGCTCGCCGTCCCACCAGCCGCTCTGGTCGCGGTTGAGGACGTGGATGACCTGGCCCGCGCGGAAGCTGAGGCAGGTCGCGTTCGGCTGCTGGGGAGAAAAGTCGTGCATGGCGAGCACGTAGTCGTCCGTGCTGCCGCCGCCGATGGCCTCGTCTTCGGAGCCGGAGTCGGTCATCATCGTCCACGCGGAGGGGCCGCTTGGGCGGGCAGAAGAAGTAGACGAAGACGCGGGGGCGGACGCGGATGTTGGAGTAGATGGGCCAGGACGGCGGGGGGAGCGGGCGGAAAGGTGTGATGCGCTCGAGGGAGCACGGGATGCTGCAGAGGTGGGGGAGGATGCGGAGGAGGGGCTGCGGAGGCGACTGGTGAAGCTAGCGTTGCTGCGGGCGGAGAGGGGGGTGCGGGGCAGCCCTGGGCTTAGGCCATCGCGGGAGGAGTGTGTTCGGCTGGAGGAAGGGTTGGCAGAGGCGGTTATTGAGGTGTCGATTCTGAGATGTGTGGTGGGAGGCATTCCTCATACGCGGGCGAGTGGTGATGAGAGTAGCGATGGGTGAATGCGAGTACTTGCCGGTCGAATGCAGTGTGTTGGATAGCCGGGATGTGGAAAGCAAGGCGAGAGCGGGGGCAGAGAGACAGAGGAGCAAGCGAGGACGGACGAAAGGGGGGAAGCCGGGCGTAACAAGTCGTGAAATAAGAGGGCGGGGATAGATGGCGAGTGTCGGGGGAGGGAAGCAGGCCGGGAGAGACGGAAGGGGACTCGGAAGAGGACACAAGCGGCCTCAGTCGGACGCGGCCTCAGGACCAGGTTCGGTTTCCGTCACCCCCGCGTGACATCCTCTGTGACACACGCGTATCCCGCGACTCTCGCGTCCCAAGTCGTGTGCCAGTGCCCATCGTCGTCGACTGGCCCCCAAGTATGTATGTGTTCCTGCCGTCTTCCCCCCCGCACTCCTCTCGTCGCGTGTCCGACTTCCAATATTTACAGCCCGGCTGGCCTCCCGATCTTCCTATCCCAATCTAGTCTGGTCCGCGCGCTAGGTCCCATATGGTCAAGCACCCTCAACCTTGGACTTGTTCAACATCAGCAGGCACTGCCATATTCCGCTCCTTCAAAGAGCCAAAATTGCCGGTTCCCGATTTCTGCCCCCCCATTGATATTGGCTGCGCTCAAGACAGGGTCTCCGCTCTCTCGGATGCTGATTCGAGGAGTAACTGTTGCCGCCATGATCGATCCGCACAATCTCTCAGCCCGTCGAGCCAAGGCTTGCGTAAACGCAGTTCGTTGTGCTGCTGGTGCAATCCCATCTTTCTGCATCCGAAAAACTTTCACCTGACATACATGCTCACGCCGCCGCCTGCTCTTTTGTTTCCTCTCGCTTTCCCGGGCCGATACATATCATGCAATGATGTTTGACCATCCGAGTCAAATGTCTCCCCGATGTGTGAGCTTAGCCTAACCAGTTCCATCTCTTGCTTCCCCGACTTTCTTCTGACCGAGCAACGCTTCCATATTCCGCTTACCACAACATTCGCCCGCGCATATAGCGGAAGCATACGAGTTCACCGCAAGATGATCCGCGGTGCTCATGCATCAGGGAAGGTCAGAGTGATCAATTCTAACAATGTTCCCAGTTTCGTCTCAACGCCAGACTGGCATTCGGATGCACTCGCCAAGGGGGCACTTCGAGCAATTCATGGCAGAATCATCGATTTCGACTCCGAAATCAGCATTCCCTCCACTTCTGCTTTGACGAGCCATGACATACGCCCCTAATCACGTGGAAAATGATTGCGGGGCGAAGCGAGGTCTCTTGCGCTCCAGGTTTCTGATTCTGTGCACAATCAGCCCAGAATGCCAGAATGGGACCGGAATAAACGTCAAATGCGTTCGCTCTGACCTCGCCAACTAAATGGCAGCACTGAGACCTGTTTGCTCTCTCTAGCTACATAGTTCTGAGCCTTCCGCTCTGGTCCTTCGCTTCAGTCCAGGGATCTGCGTCACTTACGGGACGTGTACGTACTAATAGAACACGTCTTCTATCGCAAACCACACTCGACAGTACCCGCCTGTCCATCGATCCGCCTTATCGTCTCGACTCCTCTCCTGAACGCCGCACTCCCTTCCGCTAGCGCTCAACGTTATCGCTCGAGGACGGTCCCACTCGCCGGGTCTCCCAGCTCTCTCCGCAGACCATCGACGTGCGGTCCCAGCCAGAGCTGCATCTCCTCGCCTCCTCTTCCTTCTGCCTTCTTTCACTGCTGAGCTTATACCAACTGTCAGCGCATATGATGACCACGCCCCGGCGCTCAGGTAAACCCGCGCGTCTCAGGCTCACGCTCTTTGGCCGCTCCGTCCTGCTGCTCACCGCCGAGCTTCTCGCGAACGCCGTCTGCTGGGCCGTCTCTGCTGTCCTGTTCGGCCGGAGGCCCGAGACGCGCCCGGTCCTCTCGCTCGCGCTCCTAGCCTGGGTTAGTGCGGTCGCATATCGCCACTTCCAATTCGAGCTCGTCTGAAACCAGTATTTATGAACGTCTTCGATGCCGCTCTATCGCGCCTATCGAACGCTACAGACAATCGGTCTCAGACACGGTACGTGCTGCATGCTCTTCGCCCAAATCAGGAATAGGATGGTCGCAGTAGGCTCCGCCTCGTCGCGCGGGGGCTGGAGGCAGAGCACGCTCTCCGGTGCAGCCGCGCCTACCTGCCTTATCCGTATACGCCGGCTACAAACGAAGTTACCGCGAGAGAACCGGGCTCGAACGCAGCTGCTTAACCTTTCCGACTCCCACCGGCTACTAAGTTCACTTTTAGCTCATCCTCCGCGCCCACGTCGGACTGCAGGACAGACCCCACGCTGACAGCCCCCCCCCCGTCCCACCACCCCACAGCGCTCGATGCGGACCACATCAGGTATGCCGCCCGCAATCTCCCCGTACGTCTTCCCCATCCGTCCGTCCGTCACGCCCCGCGCGCGCGCGCGCGAAGGCGGGGAAGCTCACCGGCCTACTTAGGTTCTGTCGCTCCCCACAAGACGGCTGCTGACACGGCTGCGATGCCCTGCGCGCGCACGGAAGCGCGATCGATAACGCGACGAGGAGCCTGATCGGCATGGGCCAGCTCCCCGTCACCTGCGGCCTCTTCTTCTCGCTCGGGCACAGCACGATTGTGGTCGCGGTGGTGAGTGCCCCGGTCCTTCTCGAGGTCTCTGTGCGGGCTTCGTGCGTGCGCCCGCGGGCCTTGGACAGACTTGGGATCGGCTCCTCTCGAGACTTGCGCTTTGTTCAGGAGCCGGGAGGTCGCGTATCCGCTGCTGCGTCGACGAGCGGGCGCTTGCCAGGGCTACCGACCTCCGCCTTCCATTCTCGGACCGAGGCGCGCTGGACGACCGCCGTCCCCCATCTGTGGTTATCTCATCCCGTTCTATACAGAAAATCGCGCCCGTTTTGCCACACCATCAGCTTACTCCCTTTCCTTCTCGTCGCAACAGAACGTAGCCATCGCGATCAGCACAGACGTCTACGACCGAATGCAACGCGTGGGAGAGGTGGGAGGTATCGTAGGTAACGCTCCCCGCCGGCACCCTTCGTCGGCAGGCTACGAGCTCACATTGCGTCTGACATAACCCCCTCCATTCACGGGGGCCAATTCCCCCGGGACAGGCTCCGCCGTCAGCGCGTCGTTCTTGTTCGTCGTCGGGCTCGCGAACTCCATAATCCTGTATAGGATCCTGCGCAAACGTCATCAGGTAGCTCCCCCCGTTCGCCGACGTCATCGTCGTCGGCTTCGTCTCGGTCTCGCGCCGTTCTGACCGTGTGGCTCGCTGCAGATCAGACGGCTCCGGGCAGAACGCGCAGCCCAAGGCGCAGAAGGCCATGGCGGCGACGCCGTGCTCGATGAAGAACCGGAGGACGACGGGTCGCACCAGAACACCCTCATGATGAAGCTCCTCGGCCCCGTCGTGACGTTCGTCGACCGTCCGTGGAAGATGTACCCCGTCGGCGTCCTATTCGGCTTCGGTGTGTACCCCACGTTCCGCCGTCCCCATCGCGGGCCACTGGCAGGTGAACCGCGGCTCACGCACGCCGTCCCGCAGGGTTCGACACCGCATCCTCCATCGCCCTCCTCGCCGTCTCGGCCATCGCGAAGCGCGGCCCTGACGGCCAGCAGATCAATCCTGCGGACATCGTCGTCCTCCCGGTGCGTGTTCGCCCCCAAGTTCGAGGACCGAGGGCGGCGGAGCCCCAGAGCCGTACCTCGTCTGCACCCACATCCTAATCTCTGCGCAGCTGCTGTTCACAGTCGGCATGACGCTCATCGACTCCCTCGATTCCGTCATCATGCTCTATTCGTACGCGGGTTTCCCGGAGCGATCCTTCGCGCTCTTCGAGCGGCGCTCCGCCCCTAGCGACCCCACCCTCCCACACACGGCTCTGTCAAACAAGCCGGACGCGGACGATGCAGCCGTGCAGGTACTACCGCGCGAACCAGCCGCGCAGACCGCGCTCGTCGTAGACAGCAAGGCCAGAGACGAGAAGCCGGCCACGGTCGGTGTCGCAGCGGACGGCGTCGCAGCGGACGGCGTCGACGGCGCGGATATGCCGCAGCGCCGGGCGATGCGCGTGAAGCGCAACACGATGTCGAACCTGAGCATCCTTCTCACGATTATGAGCATCTTGGTCGCGTTCAGGTGAGGGGACGTGCTTGCAGCTCGTCGGACTCGGGGTTGAACGGAACACCGCAGCATCTCGTTGATCACGACCATGGGCCTCATCGGCGACAACTGCACCCCGTGCCGAAGCGCTGCGAACGCACCGGATGGCGGGGGACTCGCAGGAAGATGGTGGAGAGGATGGGCGAAGGTAGGCCTTGCACATGTGCGATGCACCCACGGGACACCGCTGACGGTGAGGCTGGGCCAAGGCTAACGACAACAGCGGATACATCGGAGCTGCCATTGTTGGAACGTTCGTCTTGGTCGTCAGCAGCTGGTATGGGTTGCGTTTCCTGCACGGCAAGCGGCAAGCGCAAAAGAACCGGGCACAACAATAGGAATGTGGAACTTAACGAACGCAAACAACCAGTAGTCGTCACGATAGCAGTTTCACGCCATGTGTCTACCATACAATCAGGGCAATGTATCACAAATCGCTTCCGTCATGCATCATCTACCATTGTTGGAGGACCAAACATGAATCTGACTGTCTTGTCGTTCCTTCCGAGCAGCGTCGAATCCGACTTGTTGAAGTTCATGATGTCTTCTTCTCCCCTAGTTGCGCTCTCGCGATTTCTCGGCGTGTGTTCCGTCTCCCGCATGACAATTTTCAGTCGAATGAGCTGGTCGGCTTTGTACGGTACTGGCGGGGGTCGAGGAAGCGCCTGCTGCCCCGCGCTGTGCGAGAGATGTGGTGAGGGAGAGGAAGGGGTGCGGGGTGACGTGTTCGCGGTGGGGGTTTGTGCCGCAGCTATGAGAAGATCGATGAGGGCGTGGGCGATCTCCTCGATGTCTTCGATGTGCGCCTGGAACTGCCTCCCCCACTCCCCTGACGCACTCAGCGTGGCAGCTATTTGATGGGCGGTATTGTGTCCTGGCCGTTCCGGTGACGTCCCACGCTCGAAGGACGAAAGCAAGGCAGCGAGGTACAGACAGCCGAGAGCCACGACGTGTGGAGGGTACTGAAGATTGACTAGCGTTCGGAAGCTGTGCATAGTCAATACACACATCGTGGCAGCAAGTGCGGAAGCCTACCTATCAGTGGCCAGTCGATATGCCAATTTGGCTAACTTCCTCGTCGCTGTGAGAAAGCGTTAGGAGGCTTTATTGAGGAGGTAGTCTGACCACCGACCTCCAAATGCACGGCTGATTTTGATGACGTAGGGGAATGGTAAGCGAGCGTTAAAATTGAAGCAGATGGTTTCAACCACAAGTCGCTCAATGGCAAGCAATCTTTGCCTATCTTGCTCCATAACCTATCCCCTTGTGAGCTATCAGAGGCCCAAGATAGGAATGTGCACGCACATTGGGGTCAATGTCAATCTCGCCACCCATAGCCTTCGCCTTGGCGGCTCGTTCCGGAAAGCGCGCTCCATATGACGCTACGAGCACATCTCGAGTTTTCTTCAACGTGTCATGGATTTTGCATGAAACGAACAGCGCCGCTAAGCACACGTCCTAAATCATGTCATGAGTACACGCGGTTCCGAATGCTCGAGCGGGACCCATACGTGGTACGCGAAGTCTTTGCGGGGAAAGAATAGGTGGAAACGGTGGTAGAGGTTCTGAGCAGTAGCAATAGTCTTCCTTGGACTGCCGCCTTGGTAAGCTCAGCTTCAAAAGGCACAACTTTGAGTGGACAGAGACTCACAAGCCGATATCTGAGCCGACGGTTTCGATAAAGCCACACGCCTGCTGCCTAGCCTTCTCCTCTTGTGTCACCGATAACTTGCCTCTCTGCTTCTCCGATAATCTCTCTACCTCTTGAGGAGTAAAATACGGAAGGTAGTACTTGAAGTAGTTTGCAGGGATGAGCGAGGGTGGGTCGCCACGATAGTCTATGGCCATGGTCGAGGTCCCAAGTCAGGAAGGGTGATGGGCGCCTGCATCATACGCGACTTGCTCCTGGCTCCGTTCATGGACGACCCGTCTCTGCTTGCTCTCGTTGCCGTCCGAGTCGCGCTTGCCTTCGCCCCAGTACCTGAGACCTTCAAATATGATCAGCAGCTCTCGTCACCACTGACAGCCTACTCACGGTGTGCGCAAGGTATCGCGTTAGGTTCTTTGGGTTGCTAATGCGCGCGTGCAGTACGCGAGGGTATCTACCTGTTCGATCATGGCGTCGACCCATATTCAGGAGGGTCATTCAGACATGTACGTGAATACAGTCTGCTCCGGCTTTCAACGCTTACGCTGCACGCAGTCCCCTCTGTTGCTATCGCTCTTCTCGACAGCGTTACCGTTGACGCGCTACACGTCGCCAGTCTTGTGGACTGCTGCAGACGTCCTTGCTGCCTGGGCACTCGCACGAATATGGAGGCTTAGGACAGGAGCAAAGTACACTAAGAGGGACAAGCAGGTCATCGCACTGTACGTCCATGTGTCTAATCATGCCGCGGTTCGTTCATCCAGCCACCCACAGCTATCTATTCAACCCGTATATTCTCCTCCCCAGTTTGGCGCTCTCGACCTCCTCCATAGAAAACTCCTTGACCCTCCTCTCCCTGATGTTTGCGTCTCGGGGTGAGTGTTGACCGGCCCCGTTCTTTGCTTACCAGTCAGACTTGACATTGCATCCTAGGCCGAGCATCGGCATCGCTCTTCGTCTTTGCCATCCTCATCCATATATCTCTACCGTCTCTGCTGCTCCTCGTTCCTATTCTTCTCTTGAGCATTTCGAGGCCTGTCTCGAGTCTCACGGTGCCCCACCCATTTGCCGGAGATCCAAAGGGAGCGCTGCCATTGCTGGGCGAGTTCCTTGGATATACTGCGCTGCTTTCCTTCGCGTCGACATTAGTGTGCGGGAATTGGTCTTGGATAGAGAAGACATGGGGAGCTTTGTAAGGCATGCTTTCACAATCCAGCGCTTATATTTGTTGATGGTCGGCACTATAGCATCACCCTTCCAGACCTCACGCCCAATCCTGGTTTGTGGTGGTATTTCTTCACGGAAATGTTCGACCACTTCCGTCCGTTCTTCCTCTTGGTCTTTACGGTACGTTCCCAACACTCTAATCTCCCGACCGCACTCTGACGTGAAAGTGTAGGTCCATTTGCTCATATATATCGCCCCGATATGCATCAAGTTCCAGTATGTCCATATTGAAAAAATCGAGCTCCTCATGTCTTGATTCGCTAGCAGGCATGATATGCTTTATGCCGTGTTCCTTCTCGTTGGCATCCTCGCGGTTTTCAAGCCATACCCCACGCTCTCCGACCCCGGGCTCTTCATCTCCATGTTTAGCCTATTCCCAGAGACTTACCCATGTAAGAGCGATTCGTCTCAGCTCTTCATCGTGACTCAACTATTGCTATACTCCAGACCTTCGTCACCCGATTGTGACGGGATTAATCCACCTGCATGCGTCACTCCTGCTTCCCCTTTTCAACAGCCTCTGGCTGCGGCAAGGGACAGGGAATGCTAACTTTTTCTATGCGTCTACCCTTGTGTTCGGCATGGGCAACGGTGCCGCCCTTCTGGATGCAGTGTGGGCAGGCCTCCGAGTAGCGATTGGCAAGCTGGATGATGGCTACGAGGTGGTACAGGAATGATCCTTGTGTTTTCTCCTCACGCGATAGCTCTGCTTGATGGTAGCATTCGAAGATGTGTTGCCTTCATTGACGAATGACGGAATACACGCTGCATACATATGCCAGCAAATAGCTCACGACCCGAAGGTCAGTCCCGCGAGCTGGTAACGTTGCGTCTTCACGTGAAACCCCAACACACCCTGTCAATTGCATGAGCAACTATGCCTGCAGTGTTACATCAGCTTCCGTATACGCAAGTGTTCGAACGACCGCCATATTCTCATCAACTGCGCATCGTCCCCGATGAGTAGTTCGACTCGTTCACCACAAGCGAGGACTTCGTCCGCGACCCGGCGCAGCATGTCGACAGGCGTCATTTGATCTGTCGTAGCCCGGATATGGATGTAGTTCTTTGTCTCTCCAGCTAGTTGTTCCTTGTAGAACGACAGGCTATCGTGGCGGTGCGTGAGACGGCTTTTTCCCGAATGCAAAGTGGATTCTTATACTCACACATCGCTGGTTGGATAGATTTGATGCTGCATGTCAGGTGATAATTCTTGTAAATGCCTACAACAGTTCACTCACTTAGCTGCAACGATGTAGAACTCAAGGTACCTAGAACATCTTCTCAACACAGACAGCAATGTGAACTCGCAAGAGACTCACGGTAGCAGTTGCAGATACGAATCCGGAGCCGACCGCCAGTTCTTCACGAAGTTGAAGTGAGCGTACGGAGGGCAAATCCCCGACCTGTTCCGGAAATAATTCGGCCACAATGTCGCCTGCGGGGTGATCTTCATATCCCCGCTCGTGCACTCGATGTACATGGCCGATACCGCCTCGAGAGTTCCGGAAACGATGGCGTCAGCTCCGACTTGTGGCCAGAGGTCATATGCCTGCCTCATAAGCTCGGTGAGTTTATTCAAGACGGGGTTTAGCTGTTTCTCTCCTGTGGAGAAGCGACGGGAGAACTGGGTTAAAGCGTCGAGGTGTCGGATGCCCAGGTCGTCCGCGTAGAGGAGGCACACGGTGTAGAGGGCAATGTAGTGCTGGTGTTCGGTGCTTGTGTGCCCGTATGTGATCTGAGCAGCCGGTACGACTGAACCTCTCGACGAATATCTTGTCGTCTCCGGCGGCGGCGAAGAGGTCGGCCACTTCCTTGATGATATCATCATAGAGATGATCATCCTTGTGTCGCAGAATTGAGTGACGTGCGTGTTTATTGGCCATGCCCCGTTTCAGGAAGTCGCTTAGAATATCCCTGACGTCGTGATGAGGTTCGGCGACACTCTGTTGAGGCACGGCGCTTGTGTCAGGAATACACACGGCGACGAAGAAATGATCTTCGAACTCACGCTAGTAATGTTTTTGCCCGCTGGAGCAGCGTATGTCATGGATGGGAACGTCGGCCTAGCCGTAGACAATCGGTGGATTTGGTCCTGAAAGGGATACAGTGACTATGATGTGAGATGGTGAAACGTAGGATGCCCGGTACTCGCGGTTGTCTGTGCGATGTTAGTGTTGGTGGAGCCACAAGGTTCATTTATATAATTCCAGGGTACACCATAGGCGCCTAGTCTCGTGACCAGACGTTCGGAGCTTTGAGCGGAAATGAAAAAAATCGGGACTTTCCGCGCTCCTGAACGTCTGGTGGATCCACCCCCGTGACTCCCCGCTCGGTGACCTGTGTGACATACCAACGCCCCGTTAAGGTAATCCGACAAAGTCGGAGGGCGCCCTCGGTGCGCAATGCGGCTGCACGCTGTCCTAGTTACAAGCTTGCATACCTCCTGTACTGTGCACAATGGCTCGAGCTCTCGGTCAACAATCTCCTCCACGCACTCCAGGGCAAACTTCTCGAGAGCCTTCCTAGCGCCCTGGGGCCGTACATGATGGTGTCGTGAGGAGGATGCGCGAGGGACCTTGTACCAGCGCTCGAGAATGCGGGGAAGCTCCTCGCTGCCCATAAGAGCACTCCGCTCGTACTGGACCTTAGGGTCTGAGATACATGGGGAGATTCATATCTGGAGTCCATAAAAGCCAAAATCGACTTAACGCAGTCGACAACGCTGGTGCGCGTGCGGGAAACCGAGAACACAAGGCGCTCGCGCATGACCCGGGTGTTGTGGCGGTATATCGGCGGGATGGGAGTCTCGGGGGCAGCTTCGATCGGATTCCAGTCAGACGCGTCGGAAAGCCGGTCGCTGCTGCACTCGGACGGAGCGTAGTCTTCGTCCTCCTCCTCATCTTTGAAAAGAGCTCCCCATCTGTTGTGGAGCTCATCGGGTTCTGCCTCGGGTCCGCGAGGGTCCATAGGCACGCACTAGAAGAGTTCCTCTGTCTGCCCATATGAGAGACAGAGGATAACAGACGAATTGAGTATGGGGGACGTATAGCAACTGCTCGCGAGAGTCAGAGAGATGTACCGGTTACGGGAGTATCGACATCGAGCAGACGGTAGGCTCGGCGCAGCTCAAAGACGTCGCGAGATAAGCAGGCAGGCGCGCGCGACAAGACAGCTCGGACACGTCGGGAGAGAGGCAGGAAAGTCACACAGGTCACCGAGCGGGGAGTCACGGGGGTGGATCCACCAGACGTTCAGGAGCGCGGAAAGTCCCGGTTTTTTTCATTTCCGCTCAAAGCTCCGAACGTCTGGTCACGAGACTAATAGGCGCCATACAATTGCTGCTAATTTGCCGGACTCTTCGTGGTCTCACTTGCTACCAAAGCTGTTGTGGCAGCCACTGGACGCGGAAGGACACTGC